ATCCGCGCATCACGATGCGATGCATATCCCTTCCTGCACAGAGAAAACACGCATCCAACTCCTGGACGATATATATACGTGGGCACTGGCGGATGCACGACCGATATTCATCCTGAACGGAGCAGCTGGAACAGGCAAGAGCACCGTCGCAAAGACCGTGTGCGCTGCGCTGGAGGGGAAAAGCCGCCTCGGAGGCAGTTTCTTCTGTTCTCGCGGCGGCAAGGCTGGGCAGCAGGATGTAGAGTCCATTTTCCACACACTTGCGTACTTCCTATCGCACTATTCACCCACATTCGCCGCCGAAGTCGCTAAGGCTCTTCAAGATGCCCCAGACGTCGCGAAGTTTGTGATCAAAAAACAGTTCGATGTCCTGATCGCGAGGCCCGCCAAGATCGCATTCACCACGGCAGACGCGGCGCCGGTGCTTGTCATTGATGCTGTCGACGAACTTGAGTGGCCTCGCAGCAATAACGCTGCTACACCTAAAGATCTCCTGGATGTCATCGTAGACCAGGCACCTCAGCTGCATCTCAAGTTCTTCGTGACCAGCCGGCCGGAGGCAGGCCTAAGGGACATGTTTGGGCCCCTTGACTCGGACTCGCGCAAACATATGCGGCTACAGGATATCACCCGTAACGTCGTCGACGCCGACATCCTGAAATATCTGACCGAAGAACTCAAAGCCGTTCCGGCGTCCACAGATGATATCAGCACTCTTGCGGCTCGTTCTGAAGGCCTGTTCATCTACGCGGCCACGGCATGCAAATATATCAAAGCGCGTAACGTACCCCTCCCTCAAACGAAGCGGCTTCAAGCACTAATCTCGTCACGCGCGAACGCTCCCACTGGTATCGACAAGATGTACGACTACATCCTCGAGCAGGCTCTTCAGGGCTTGGAGAACAACGAAGTGGAGGTGGTTCTGCGGTGCTTACACGCCGTCGTCTGCATGTTCGATTCCCTCTCTGTCCCCGATATCGCGCACTTGCTAAGCCTCACCGCTGAGGAAGTCCGCTACGCGCTCGTTGCTTTGCATTCCGTGATCAACGTCCCCGACCCTGAGGAAGAACATGGTATACTGACGACATATCATGCTTCGTTCCTCGACTATCTCACTACGCGCACGCGGTCTGGATCGAAGCGATGGGCGGCAGACATCGGAGCGACTGATGGTGACCTCTTCCTCGGGTGTCTCGAGAGCATGAACTCTGGCCTTTGCTTCAACGTGTCGGGTTCTAGCACGTCGTACGCTAGCAATGCAGAGCAGCAACCGCGGCAAGTCCCTCCTTCGTATCTCGTTTACGCGTGTCAATTCTGGATCAAACACCTGACGATGTCGTCCGTCTCGGAGGAACGAGCGACTCAAGATGTCTCGGCTTTCTTCGGAAAGCAGTTCCTATACTGGCTGGAGGTGTTGAGTGTCTGTAACCACGCGGACGTAGCATCCTCACTGGTCAAGAGGCTGGAGGTTTGGCTCCGGGGCAAGGTGTGTCCATTTATATATTGTCATGCGGATACATGCTGACTCCCTGGCACACCCAGCAAACCGATCGAAACACGGAAAACGCGGATGTGTCACGATGTCTGCGACTTCTGCAGGACGCGTATGGCTTCCTCATTCGCTTCCGGACGCCGATCGTCAACAGCGCGCCACATATATACATCTCGGCTCTCGCATTCACGCCTCCGGAGTCGGAGATCGGCCAGGCATATCTCGGTCTGCTCGAGCGTGGACTGAAGGTGGATACTGCGCAACAGCTCACACCGTTGCCCCTCCTGAAGATACACGAACAATACTCCATTCGTGCACTAGCCTTCTCGGCTGACAGCAGATGCATCGTGTCTGCCTCAGCATACGATGTCTGCCGCTGGGATGCAAGGACAGGGGAGTCAAATGGCCAGCCGCAGCAGGGACCTGACATTCCGTATTCTAGCTTCGCACTCTCACCGGACGGGTCTCGCGCTGTGTCCTGGGACGCCTTGTACTCGAGTGCCGTCCATATCTGGGACACTACACTGGATCACCCCACTGGACGGTCGCTCAAAGTACCTATGGATGCCACATCCCGCAGCTTGGTCGTGTTCTTGCCCGATGGCAAGTGCGTCGCAGCCGGTATCACGATGCCGAAAGGTCGCGACTCGGTCATTTGCAAATGGGACGCGGACACGGGTGACCCCACCGGCCAACTGCTTGAACTGGCAGGATCGGCGTGCGACTCGAACGACCGCGAGTTTGTTTCGATTGTGTTCGCGCCCAATGGCAAGCGAATCGCTGCAGTAAGCAGAACTGCTGAGAATACTGGGTTGTGGGATGCAGAGACAGGCGCTAAGGTTGCAGAATCATCATATTCACGGGCAGGTACATTCTCACCAGACAGCGCATTCGTTGTGGGCGTGGACTTAGGCGGTGCTATTCATGTCCGGGACGCGGTGACTGGTGACGCAATTGGACAGCCGCTGAACAGACACACAAACCATGTGTACTCGCTCGCATTCTCGCCGGATGGCAAGTTCATTGCGTCCGGGTCGTTTGATACCACGGTCCGCGTCTGGTCCTTCGAGCATGGCAGACTTGCCGGTCATCGGGTGCTGAAGGGACATGCAGGCTCCGTCGAATCGGTCGTCTTCTCGCCGGATGGACGCCTCCTTGCATCCGCCTCGGATAACGGGGAGATCTGTATCTGGGATGCAGCCCAGACTACTACGGGGCACACGAATTCATTTGGCGAGCGGCCCGGGCACACTGGGGACGTGATGTTGGTCGCGTTCTCGCCGGACGGCAGACAGGTTGCATCTGCATCGCTAGACGGAACTGTTCGTGTCTGGGATGCACATACAGGTGCTGCAGTCGGAGAGCCGCTGCTGGGACTAGGTCACGACTGTGGCTGCTGGCCAGTAGCCATCGCATTCTTGGTGAATGACAACAAGATCAATCTTGTATCTTGTTCAAATTGGCCCTACTGGAAGGACTACGACGGTCATCGTGGTCCTGCAATCAACGTGTGGGACATGGAGACGAGCAACTCTGGTGAACGGCCACACAAGGGATACTGGGGAAAGGATGGTACGCGGGCATGCGCGCTCTCGCCGGACGGCAAGCGGATCGCACTTGGGTTGGAGGGGCAGGAGGAGTCGTCCACGGAGATTATCGAATCGGCGAAGGGTGCCCACATCGTGGACCTGGACATGTCATCCCAAGCCCATTGCAGCTTATCCGCCACGTTCTCGCTGGATGGCAGGCTCATTGCAGCCTGCTTCAACGATGGCACCATCCAGGTTTGGGAGACAGACACTGGTACCCGGGTCGCGCCGCCGCTCGAGGCAGACAAATGGCGTGCCAGTGGGGATCGCATCGCGTTGTCGCCCGATGGCAAGCTCCTTGCGTACTCCGATTATTCGGAGCGTGTTCGCATTTGGAATGTCCAAACCCATATCGAGCAGTCATGCCTTGAAGACGAGGGCACGGTGACGTCACTCGCGTTCTCGCCCGACGGAAAGCACATCGCGTCCGCGTCGCGTAAGACGGTTCGCGTCTGGGATGCTCAGACGGGTGCTCTGGTCCTACCGCCTCTCACAGGACACACGGGGTACATGTGGTCAATCGCATTCTCGCCAGACGCTCGGCACATCGCAACTGGTTCAGAGGACAAGACTGTCCGTATCTGGGACGTGACCGTCGGGGCATCGCATTCACCCCAGATCGTGACGGGATCCGGTTCACCCTCCCTCGTCGATCTCTGGGAGTCGCATGGTGCGGAGTTCGGTATGAGAGAAGACGGATGGATCATTGGCCCTCATGAAGAGCTCTTTCTTTGGATTCCCCCAGATTATCGCACTGGCTTGTTGTGGGCTCGCACGACTGCAGTCATGGGCGCACATCGCGTTCATCTCGACCTCCGCCAGTTCGCACATGGCTCGACATGGACAGAATGTTGGGGCTTGGCGTGAAGTGGCGGATATGGTAAGTCCTGCAGTATTATTCGCGCCTATAGTGCTCTCACCATGACTCTGCAGATCGTGCATCTGAGGACTCGGTCCTGCTGCTACCACGGACTGAAAATTGGCGAATTCAGCTGAACGGGCTGGTGTGGAGGTGTTCACATTACAACGCATACACATGTATATATAGACTCAGAGCGAGATGTGTACTGTTATGGACGTTATGGACCTTGCACGCGATACAGCTCGCCCTCCTTTACGAGCATATTCAGTCTCCTCCGGCCAAGATCCCGCAGGTTCGTAGCTTTTGATGTTGGCGGAGGAACAGGGCACGGTCAGCACGAGCAAAATTAGCATAGACAGCGCAAGACATACAGCGGCATCGCGCATACCAGCCAACCATCGATCCGACCCCGCTCCTGCTGGCTTTTCGCCATAGTCGCGCTTGACAATGTTAGATTTGCCCGCTTGTTTGGCGTCGGCTGGTCCGACCGACCGACTCATCCATCCACTCTGCTTCGTCCACGGGCCCGCCCTCCTCATCAACACACGTCTGCGTCTCCCCCTTCACCTTCTACTCGCACGCATTCTCCCGCTTCACCTGGCGACCTTCGCAAGGGCCGCTGCGCACTCTTTGGTCCAGCGAAGGTCGCGCCTGGCAGCGGTGAGGTCCGAACTAAGCTTAAATAGCGTCCGCACACCAGGGCACTCACGGACTCTTCCTCACTACTCACTATGATAGAGCCCTTCCGCCTAGCATCCCTCCTTCCCGCTCAAGCACATCGATGTCGTTGTCAATGAATCTTGCCGTCCATGATACCCGGCACCCGGACACAGTGGCTCGCTCGTCTTGCGCCCTTGGGCCGTAAGCTTCCCCGAAAGAGTGGGCTTCATGCAAGAGGCACGCTGCGCGACCTCTGTCCCGAGTCTGCAAGAACGTAATGATGGCGTTATGCACCACATACAAAACGGCAGAGGCGGACTCACCCTTGCGGCTGATGTTGTTCACGCCGTGCCTGCGCCGCCCTTCTCCGCGTGAACGACCTTCGGTGAGCACTGTGTAAAATGTAAGTTGAGGTACGTGCAAGCGTTTCCACTCGACTAGGCAGCTATTTGGGAACAAGCAGACGACGGCCCGTGGTGACCCAAGACTCCGATGACCCGCGTGGAAACTGTAGAGCTTTTGACCGGGAGCCGGAACAGGTCCGAGGAGACCACCAACGCGGACTCGGAGAGCGTCACGCGCACATGTAGGTGTTGTACTGTATGCAAGGCGTGAGTCAACGGGAAGCTCGAGGAGAACGGGATGACCGACGCAATCGTCACATATATACTAACGCTACACTTCGAATCGGTATCGTACAAGAACCACTTGATCTCATTGTTTAGTTCGCCTAACCAGCGCCGAGACAACTGCGAGTCGCGCATCCGAAGGTACGCGTCCACGGAAAACAGCGCGCATGTACTCAACCTTGTTTGTGCTCCCAGCCATCTCCATCGTGTTCAAGTTCTTCGTAGGCGGTCCCAAAATACCAGGCGTGTCGATGACTGGCCCTCGCATGTAGCGATAGACGAGGTGTCTGACGAGGAGCGACTTGATCGTGAATGGGTACGGATGCGTGACGTCGACATCCGCGTGAGCGACCGCCGCCCGTGTTGATGTTTCGCTAATAAAACGCACTTCAGCTGTTAACACAGTGATAGGCCCTCCTGCCAGGACAAAAAGCACATTCAGTGTGCTCTCGTTGCATAATATGGCGGCGTAGCTCGCGGATTGGGAAGGCTGTCTGCCGACGCGGTCGCGTCGCCACCGACACTTGCCCTGAGAGTCTCTGTCTTCTGAGTTGGGCCTGATGCCTGTGCCCGGCAAATGGGAATCCATATGCAGGGCACTGAAATCAAGACCGCAAGACCGCACGAGGGACGAGCCAAGGGCATTCTACGAGCGATAGAAAGGTGATGGGAGGGCGGTCGTTCGCATCCCTTTTCCGAGCGAGGTCGGTCTTACTTATGAGATTTGCAGCAAAAAGATGGAATGATGAGTAGATCCAAGCGCAAGGCGTACCGGGACTCGAGCTGGTGATTCTGTCAGTCGCTAGATGTCAGAGTCGTGGCAATGAAGAGCTAGCAGATTGCTTTAGGCAGCTGGTCGGCGAGGAGGTCCGGATCCAGCCTTACGAACACAGTGGCAAGGTGGATGGCAGACAGCAAGGGCCGGTCGGACAGTGGTCGTCGTGTTGGCGTGTACTGAGTATTACATACTGTTGACCTGAACGACAGGATGCTAGATGTCGCGGTACTGAGAGTCCCACTGCCTCGAGAGGAGACTCGGACTCGGGCGTCGCGCGAGGCGTAGGATCTGCTCGGATGGATCTCGGCACCACCCGAGCCGGCGCTAGCGCGTCTGCTCTGCGATCGACGTCCAGTGCCACTGACGACCGATCCTCCTCCCACCTGGCCACCACGGCGCTGTTCCTGCCCTCGAGTCGCGCGAAATCATGGTACCATACTACGTGCGCAGCTTTGTCTGGATAATGTCGTCTCTTGGAGCTTAGACTTGGAACCGCGCAAGCCCAGCTGACGCGCTCGCCATCCTCTCCGCCGTCTTTTCGATCCCCGTAGACTACCGACCGCAACGGGTCCACAATCGAAGCTTGTTTTGGGAAGACGGGAGTCCTGCCGCATATAGCTCACGAAAACTGTCGCAGTCTACGCGTTCGTCCTGGACAGGCTCGTCTCAACCAGTGCTCTACCACCCTCGGACGAGCGACCCCGAGCAAAGGGGAGGCCTTGAGCGTTATCGGACGTGAGGTTGTAATGCGGAATATTCTGTGGCCGATAATGTGGATGGGGCTTGGATTGAGTTGGCTGTGCTGTCGCTGAGGTGCGCCACTACTTCGTGCTCAGTTGACCGTACGCTAATCATGGTCTTCGACCCCCAGTACGCGCTCTAAAATACATTTTCCTCTTTCTTGTCTTGCGCTAGACACGTCCGAAAGGCTACGCCTAGTAACAATGGCAGTCCAACATCCACAATGGACAATTTCATGGCATCGACATGGACGGACACCGCGATGGACAATTGAACACGATGCGTTCAGCCACATCGTTATCGTCATACCGTCCGGTCCGCATGCCTGCTTCAGCGGCCTCATCTCTCTTCCCAAATCCTCGCAACATTCCGCGTCTGTTGACACGTTATTCGACACCGGCCGCGCTTTTCTGAGACGTTATTCCGCACCCGGTCAGTAGACCTCCTGTGCCTCGCACACATCAGCATTAACCCACTAGCCAGTACGGTTTCAACTGCGGCTCTACGCTGCTCATCACGTCGATGAGTCGTCGCACGCTGACAGACGGTGCCATCGGGTGAGGGCAACTCGAACGCGTTACGTGCAGACGTATCGGTAAACACCTCGCCCAAGAATGGCTCTAAGGTTAGGGCAGCACGTTGGTCGTTGCGGCTCGCGCTGATATGCGTACATCCTAGATACACTGCCATCTCATTCTGCAGTGCGGACGAATGTATGCGCCACTGCCGCGACCCACTGTAGCCGCCGACGTGCGGTTCGTTACACCCGTGAGCACAACTATACGGACCCCAGGCCTCAGGCTTTCCGCTAGCAATAACACAGCTTCGAGACGTCCTTGAGGCTCCCTGCTCGCCCTCGCTGTCACCCGTTGACTCTGCATCCTAGAGCGCAGTTCCCCAGTACTACTGCGTTAGGGAGATGTTGCTCAGACACGAACCAAGTGTCAGTCTTCTATGTTCTGTGTTATTCTGTCGCGCGGGCCTGATCAGTGATTGAGTATAGCTCCCTTCTTCGGACTAGATTCGACGTGCTATTCAAACTGCGTGCTCATCAGAACCAACCGCCCTCCCTGCAGGGCATCCCGCCTCAGTCGCTCTCTACTCGTAAATCGCCCACTGAGAACTCGTAGCTGCGTTGGTCGTTCCCTCTACAGAGCCTGTCGGAGGCGCGTCGTACGCGCCGGCCCGTGGTCGCACTTTCTAGACTCGGTTTCTATGTAGATTCGACTCTTCGCCCCCATTACCCGTCGCTCTATCCTCGCATTTCGTTCGACATCTTCTCGCTTCCCATCGACGAGATGGACCGATCAGCTCTCCCCATTGCTGCGCGGGTCTGCGTGGCTTGGTATCTACAAGCTATGCCCGACCTCTACCGCGGCATCGGGATTCATAACCGCGGGAGCTACGCAAGGCTAGTCAATATGTCTCGCGCCGCGCCGCGCGCGAAGGAGTGGCTCATGGCCGTGCGCGGGCTCAACGCGTTCGATCTAGACACGCTGGTCAGTAGGGAAGGATAGTAGTTCAACCACTTCTCCTCTCACTCGGTCGTCTGTCCCTTGGACCTCGATTCCTCAGCATCTCTGGATTACTTCGTTGCACGCGGCTCGATCACCTCTCGCACTTCAAGTTCGTCCGCACATTGCGTCTATCCGCGTGTACGTTCAAGAACATCTCACAGCCATTTCGGCTTCCCCCATTTGGCAGAGCTTGCTCTGTGGAAGATCGGCGACTGGGGTTCCATGTCTCGCGAGCCCACGAAGTTGACGTCTCGTGCACGCCTTCGATCGGGTTCGACATGGTTTGCACGTTTCCCTGATCAGTGACGTCGAACGGGACAACACGGTGTGCATGCGCGTACGCTGCAGCACAACGCTTGTCTGCGCGATATCCCGCATGTACATTGAGACTTCTGGCCGGTCTATGTGAGCCCGCACAAGTATTTGCAGTTGTACGGTTCTGATGACATGATATAGATCGAGCGCGTGCCTGTCTGAGTTCGACTGTATCTGCCGGCATGGCGATCGGGACTGTGCCGCTGAACGACTCGGCTCGCGGCGCGTCTTCAAGCTGCAGGCGCAGAGAAGAGCTACGGACCGAGGAGAAAAGCGACGAGGCTGAGAGAGGTGCTCTGAATCGTCTGCTGCTTAGGTGCGGTCGTCACCTCTCGACTATCCTATTTGTACGCCAACGGAAGGGGTTGCTAACACAGCACCTGCGCAGGAGCACGCCGTCGCCTGGTAGACCAACTGTGAAAACGAGAGAGAGTCGAGTATGCTCGGCTGGCGTTATCTAGGTGAGCTCATGCCGATTGCATGTATGCGCCGGGGTTGGCAGGTAACGTCGAAGAGGCAGACCTGCTGTCTAAGAGACTTCGCGGTACTCCTGCGGTCGGGGCTACCTCCCAGCCGTACGGCCTATGGCGTGTGACTGTGTTCCAGGCCATTACTGGGAATAGCAGTTGGGCACCCGGCGTCTACAAGGCAGCTTGATTTTGGAGCTTCTGCTCCTTCGTTCCTAGACGCTTGCTGCTTTCTCCAATGATCGTATTTGTGTGCGCGTTTCGCTGTACCGAGTGTCGGGTACAAGGCAGAGAACAACGTTCACCTGCGCTGGTAGAACGTGCCGAGATGTGGCTCGCCAGTCACCATAACAAGGGTAGCCGATTCCGCACCACACGTTATAGGCCTCGTGTTGTTTGTCCTCGGAAGCACTCTTTGATCTCTGCTCACAAGTCGTTATCAGCACGCACCATCGTCGAAGTTGCCGCGCAGGTCTCTCCCTGACTCTCACCGTCGCCGTTACCCTCTCCCGTGTAGTCTCGCTTTCCCTCCTCAGTCGCCATGGCTAAGAGGCCTAAGAAGAATATCTTCAAGTCTTTTCGGCGACAGCCCTCCTCTACGCCTGAGCACAAGTCAAGACCTGCGAGCAAGGGATTTCATCGCCTCATGTCGCTCCTGTGTCGGGGAGGTTCCTCGCCGTCCCTACATATGCCGAGGTCGACAAGCCCATTCCGAAGACAGTTCAGTTCGCAGGCAGTGCACCCCCAAGCAGACTCGCTGCTCGAGCATTCAGATGTCCGCCTCCCAGCGGGCGCCTCCGATTCCGACGCTCCCAGCTCAGGCGACCAACCTGCCGATCCAGGCGAGGGCGTCGAACCCCCTGCAACGTATGAGTCCCCCAGTAGGGCCATGATAGGCCTAGCTGTGTTCAAAAGCGCGCTGCAGATCACGGAGAGGGCCGCCGACGTCTTTCCCCCTCTCAAGTCAGCCGTGGGGGGTCTGCTGGGAATCCTCGACTTGGTCGAGGTACGTCAGCATGCAGTAGACCACAGCATCTGTTGACTTTGTTTGATCAGACGGTTGTCGATGTGCATGAAAAGTTCAAGCGCATCACAGAGAAAGTCTCCCTCGTGACGGAGGTGGTTGAGATGTATCGATCTTTGGACTCAGGCCGTCAGGGCGAGATGATGAAGTACCTGGACAAGGTCGCGGAGTACGTAGCGTAGAACTTGTGTGCGCTCTATGATACGACTCAACAGATGTCCACAGCGAACTCAACGCAGTGGAGGAAATCGTACAAAAGAAACAGGATCGCAAGATTAGCAAACGCATAGTTCTTGCGCCAGCCGACGTCGACGAAGTTGAACGACAGTTCCGTGCTGTTGGGGATGCCACGGACCTTTTCCTTGTAGGTTCGTTTCAGCCTGAATATACGACGACTTTGCTCACAAGGATGCAGTTGTTAGTCAACGTACGCCAGATTGCGGCATTGGAAGAGTTGCGTAGGCTTAATCAGTCATCGCATGCAAACTCAGCCAGCCGGATCCAGTTTGGTCAGTCGCCATCAGCCCTTCCTCACTTTGGCTTGCTCTAATTCATGGAACCTTTAGATTACCTGGACAAGCTGTCTGGGAGTGAGTCGGCCCGCTACGATGCGATAGACATCCCCTTCTGTACCACGGACACCCGCATTCAGCTCCTCGAAGACGTCTTTACTTGGGCAGCATGCAACCAGGGCGAGGATGTACCGTCGATCTTCTTCCTGAACGGAGTCGCGGGATCTGGGAAGAGCACTATTGCGAAGACGTTGTGCGCTTCGTGGAATCACGCAGGCCGCCTGGGTGCTAGTTTTTTCTGCTCTCGCCGCAAGGCCGAGCAGCGGGATGTGCGGTCCATCTTTCGGACACTTGCGTACCTCCTATCACTGTCTTCACCCTCATTCGCGGATGAGGTCGTCAAGGTGCTGCGAGAGAACCCGCTCGCTGCCAGTGCGAACATCGAGGAGCAGTTTCGTCTTCTGATCTCCGATCCAGCGACTGCCGCGTTCACTGCAGTGGGTCCAGTGCCAGTCGTCGTCGTGGATGCTCTTGATGAATGCGATGACGCGGATGCGACAGAAAACCTGCTGAAGGTCATCGTAAAACACGGACGCCAGCTGCCTCTCAAGTTCTTCATAACTAGCCGGCCCGAGCATCACATCAGGACCATGTTCAGGCAGCCAGGCTCGCGACATCTACGGCTGCGTGACATCGAGCGCGATATTGTTGACGAAGACATCCGTATATCTCTGACGGCAGAACTGTCCGATTTTGAAGATGTTCAGTTGTCTCCCGAGGACATCAAGATTCTTGTGGACCGCTCGCAGGGTCTGTTCATCTATGCGGCCACGGCCTGCAAATACATCAAAGCGCGTGACGTACCAGAGCCTCCGCAGGAGCGGCTACGTGAACTGGTTGCTCCGCATGCAGATCATCCCCCCACCGGTATTGATGAGATGTACGACTACATCCTTGGCCAAGCTCTTCAGCGCTTGAATGGCGACCAGTCGACGAGGGTTCTGCGGTGCTTACACGCAGTCGTCTGCGCGCGCAATTGGAGGCCTGCCGCCGGTTGCGCGGCAAGACGCACTCGTCTTCGGACGGGAACGGAACAGGAACGATGTGTGTGATTTCAATCTACGGACGGTATACGAAAGCGGGTGGATAGTACGGGGGGAACGGGAGTGGGGATGGGGTGGTTCGAGTCCGAGAAGCAAGGCCGTTCTACGACGGAAGCAAATCTGGCCAGCGCGTACACAAGACACAACAGCCGAATATGGTAAGTGAGTACGTATGGTGAGCAGTAGGCTTACACTCTCCCTGGTTTTGAAAATTTGAGCGGGGGGAGGGTGAGAGTGACCATGAGGTTAGTATAGTAATCCTTCCAACCCAAGGGAACACAGCACGGGTGCGTCAAAAACCCCTTGGGGAAAAGCTACCGCGCCTATGACCCGCCCTCTACCCTATTACGAGACTCCCAGTCGTCGAGGGCGACGTTGTCTTGAAGTTCTTGAGCATCAACCCACGAGTCGTGCCGCGGGCTGTAGCCTTTCCATCGTACAAGGAACTGTTTCCTGCGCCGATACGTACGGGCATCCAGGATCGTTTCAACGAAGAACTCCTCCTCTCCATCATCATTCAAGATGGGAGGTGGCTGGTCAAGATGTCTGTCGGGGAAGAGGTCGGTTTCATTGGGGACGTGCGGCTTTAACTCGGAGGTGTGGAAGACAGGGAAAGCCTTTGAGTTGGCGGGCAACTCGATCTCGTACGTTGATGTTTCGGGGAACGCCCGGACGACCGTATACGGGCCGTCCCATCTGGGAAAGAACTTGGCGACGCGTTTCTCCCCGGCTTGCTTATACTGCCGACGGCGGTTCATCGTGCTCAACATCACCAGGTCCCCGACGTTGTACGGTACTTCCGCGGCGCGTGCTCGGTTAGCTGCAGCGGCCTGCTGCACCTTGGCGGCGATCATACAGTCTCTGGCGTCAGCGACGTCTTCCGCGACCTGGCGTATTACACGATCCGCCGCGGCCTCGGGTGTCTCGGGGTCAGCGCGACGAAGGGCGGCGGGCGCGTTGACGAGCGGTGGCAGAATGCGCGGGGCACGACCGAAACGTACGTGGAAGTTACTATAGCCGGTGCTCGCATTGACCGTAGACATGATGTCGAAACGTACTCGGGGCAATGCGCGTACCCAGCCTTTCTGATTGCGCTGTACGTGATAACGGAGGCACTGTTCGACGGTTTTGTTAGTCCTCTCGCTAGCACCGTCGGTCTGTGGGTGGAAGGAGGTGGACAGTTTGAGCTTCACACCGGTGAGTTTGTGCAGTGCCGTCCAGAAACGTGACACGAAGAGCTTATCGCGGTCTGTTATGAGTTCGAACATAAGGCCATTTTCGCAATACCAGTGGTTGAAGAACAACAGCGCGATGTCTTCTGCGGTGGCATCGGTACGCGTGGGTACGATGCGGACGTCGGAACCCAGTCGGTCGGTCACCGTCATCAAGCAATTGTGGCCTTCGTCTTCTGGCAGCGGTCCGACAAAATCAATGGTAACGGACTCGCCACGCTCCTCTGGCACCGGTAGGGGATGCAAGGGCCCGGCGGGCTTCGTAGTCCGGGATTTATTTCGTTGGCATTCCGAGCATGCAGGTATGTACGCCTGCTCGAGATCACGGCGCATATTTGGCCAATAGAACGCGTTACGGAGCGCAGCATAGGATTTATCGGCTCCAAAATGCCCGAGGGCATCGTGAGCGGCCTGGAAGAGGCGTTCACGGACTTAACCGACGCGAGGGACCACCAAGCGGTCCCCAATGTACCAGAGGCCATTAGCGCAATGTGCGCCAGGTGTAGACGTCGCGTTTGCAATCAGTTTGGCGGTAAACTCATCCTTTCCGTAGCCAAGGCGCATGTCGGCCAGGAGTTTCGCGTCCGCTTGTACTGTCAAGATTGGTGCAACCACGGCAGCTCGTTCATCAGGGAACGCATTGGGGGGTACCCTGGACAACGCGTCCGCGACAGTATTGTCTTCGCCGCGAATATATACGATGGACACGTCGTATTGGGACAGGAATTCTTGCCACCGCAGTTGACGGCGAGACAGATCCTTCTGTTCCTCAAAATTCTGGAGGGTACGGTGATCTGTGTAAACGTAGACATGCTCGCCAATGCAGTCTGATCGCCATTTCTTTAGGGCACGAATGATGGCGAGCAACTCTTTCTCGTGGACAGGGTAATTCAATTCAGCCCCTTTTAATTGAGTTGAATCGAATGCGACCGGACGAGCTGATTCCCAGGAAGGACCGTAGCTCAGGGTGGCACCGGTACGCCAGTCGCTCGCATCGCATGTTACATAAATCTTGTTGTCCTTGTGGTCTTCGTGATTAATGACCGTCAGGCAGTCCGCGCTGGTGACGAGCGCCTTAATGGACTCAAATGCAGATTGGTGCGCGGCCGTCCACTCGGGAAAGTGTGCGTTCGCCTCTTTCGTTGTGAGCGGTGTCAGCACGCGTGTATGTTCCGCAAGATGGGGCAAGAACGTTGCGATATAACGGACAAGACCAAGAAAGGCCCGGACATCTTTAGCACATTTCGGCGTAGGCCATTGCATGACCCGTTCGACCTTCGACGATTGCGGCTGTATGCCTTTCCGCGAGATGATGTGTCCCAAGAAGGCCATCTCGGTTACAAAGAATTCACATTTCTTAAGGTTGACATACAGGCGTGCATCACGGAGGGCCTGCAGGATGAGACGAACGTGATGATCGTGCTCTTCAACCGTGTCTGACCAGATCACAATATCATCGAGGTAGATATGGCAAAATTTGCCGAGGTAAGGGCGTAGCGCCGCCGTGACACGACGTTGATGGATGGCGGGGGCATTCCGTAGTCCCATTGGCATCACCAGCCATTCATACAGGCCGAGCGGGGTGGACACCGCAGTCAAATGCACGTCATCAGGGTGGACACGGGTCTGAAAGAAAGCGTTTGTCATATCCATTTTGCTCCAAATCTTGCCCTTCCCACAGTCTGCCAAAACATCGTCGACGCGTGGTAAGGGGAAGTTGTCCGGCACTGTGTTGGCATTTTGTTGCCGATAGTCATTAACCCATCGGGGCAGCGCGGATGGATCAGCCTTCGGAATCAGGAACGCAGGCGAGACGTGACGGGAGTTTGACGGCCGAATACGTCCAGCGTCAAGGTGCTCTTGTATGAGCGTAGACCAGGCCTCTTTGAACTTGCGCGGCGACGCGTATGAACGCGACGCAATCTCTTTGTTGGCATCCTTGAGATGAATGCGACAGTACACATCTGAGGGCAACAGGTCGGCATGTGGGATGGGGTTGAAAACCTCATTGTAATCGGACAGTACCGCCTCAGCGCGCTTGGCGAGACGTTCACGCATAGCCAAGACCTCAATGGTGTCGCGTAGCATAGCAACGACACTGCGCGGTTTGGGTTGCGTGGCGTCAGCTTCCACACGACGAGTCTCAGTCACGCTGCGCAGCTCCCCCAAAACGGCCGTTTTATTGGACAGGACATCTTGCAACTGTTGTACAGAGGGTGGCGGCGGGGGAGGTACAGTGACGGGACGGTAGTATACACTTTGCATGAGTTCAAAACCAGACGTTTGCGAGAGGACAGTACGGGCGGCATGGTCTATGATGATGCGGTTACGAGTCAAGAACGGAAGACCTAGGATCACCGGGACGCAGAGTCCCGGCGTCACAATTGCACGGACAGAACGGGATGTCCAGGAGAAAGACGATGAGGAGAAACGGATATTGACATACTCTGTGAGGCTGATGACCTCCTTGCATTGAGACGCGGACATTGCGAGTTCGACGGTTTCAGGCGTGGGCAGCTTGTGTCGTCGGAGGTTGCAGCTGTCCGCCACATCCTCACGGATCAACACTATATGTGAACCGCTGTCAATCAGTCCCCGTATCGGTATCGCGTCAGCCGTAGTTGTCGTCGCATGGACAAGGCCATCCCACATGAGATGGGGGGATCGCACGTCCTTGTCCACAGACGGTGCAACTGCAGCCACTACACGAGGGGATTGCGGAGAGGGACATACCCAGTCAGAACCATCGGAGCGATCCGACTCGTCTTCGTCGTCGGCAAATTCAGATGCTGCATACGGGACGACTTGGTGCATTCCACGGACCACGGCGACCGGACGGGAGGAGCTGGGGACAGGCTCGTCATTTTCCGCGTCAGAGAACGTGGTCGGTTGCACCGCAGCCACAGGCTTGTTTCGGGTGCGCCTCGCGGCGTCGGCGTCTGCCTGCGTAAGCGTGCGGTACGTGGCAACCTTCGGGAAATCGTTCGGGCATTGCTTAGCACGATGATCGGTCCAGAAACGGCGGCATTTACGGCATCCTTCGTTGTCGTCAAGCAGGCGGATTTCTTCTGCAGTGAGCTTTGGCAAGGTCGGCGTGCTCGGGCGCGTGCTGCTCGAGGCACGACTATTGTTCGCAGTGGTGTTCGCACGTCGGGTGGGTTCGGTCAGCACCTGGTTCCGACGGTTATCGTCGCGACCGCGGCGGGTTACCGCCTCGAAGTCGGCGAGCTGAGCGCGGCGTTCCTCGTCGATCGATTGGACCAGCGACCGCCAGTCACGGATACCTTTCGCCTTGGCCGTCTTCAGCGCGTCAGAGCGGGTGTACATGCGGGAAGCGAGGGCAGGTGTGACGGAGACAGCAAGCTGGTCGATAATCGCGTCGTCGGCAAGATGATGCGGCGTGTCCTTCAAGATGGCATTCATGTTCTCGAAGCGGACGCAGTAATCTTCGAACGACTCGTCGTCCTTCATACGCATTAATTTAAGGCTGCGGTGCGTGGTCTCTTCCCAGCGAGTATCCAAGAAGTTCCGGCGGACAGCAGCCATGAAGTCGGCAAAGCTCATAGCGTATAGTTCGGTACGTCGGACCGCCGTCCAGGCCAAAACGCGCGGGATCATGATGCGCCCAGCAACGAGACGCGTCTGGTCGGCGGCAGGGACAGCCTTGTTGCCGAAGAAATGCAAGCAGTAGTTCTCGAAGGTTTCCAGCACCTCGGGCGTCAGAGAGCCATCCTTCAGTGTGGGCGCCTTTGAGGGATTGTCCCACTCGACGGTGGCCACCGAGGATGTGGTACGACGGGCAGCGGTGTTCATGACGGTGACAGAGACGTGATCGGCAGACGGAGAGGAGGATGACGATGATGATGACGGAGACCAGACGGGACGCGTCTCCGCAGGTCCAGGCGATTTTGGTTGGCGGGGTGACAGCCGTTCACCTACAGGCTCCTCGGCACCCGATGGGGGCGTTGGGGTTCGGGGCACGTGAGGTTTCGGAGCGGCAGCGGGGGATGGGCTGTTGGGTGCGGTCTGCGCGGTAGGCGGAGAGACGGTCCCGGGCGGTGGGGTGAGCGGTGAGGGCGGGGCGAGACGGCGTTTACCACGGGTGCGGGACGCCGTGATTTCGGTTCGGAATGCCCTCGCTCGGTGAGGAGCGGACGGGCGTGCGGTGGGGTGAGGACGGTAACGGTTGAACAGTAGCGGTGCGTATATGCGGTTCGGTTCGGTAAAACGGCGCAGTCAGAGCAGCTATGGCTGCCCCGTCAGTTAAATCCTCGCAGAATGCGGAGGAGACAGCAACGTGAAGGACTGTTTGGGGGGGGGGTAGCGTTCGAGACGGGAAGTCACGACTTACGTTCGTGTTCAAAAAAAAGTGGAGGCCTGCCGCCGGTTGCGCGGCAAGACGCACTCGTCTTCGGACGGGAACGGAACAGGAACGATGTGTGTGATTTCAATCTACGGACGGTATACGAAAGCGGGTGGATAGTACGGGGGGAACGGGAGTGGGGATGGGGTGGTTCGAGTCCGAGAAGCAAGGCCGTTCTACGACGGAAGCAAATCTGGCCAGCGCGTACACAAGACACAACAGCCGAATATGGTAAGTGAGTACGTATGGTGAGCAGTAGGCTTACAGCAATCCCCTCTCTGTCCCCGAATTAGCGCACTTGCTATGCCTCACCCCTGACCACTGGCAGGTCCGCTATGCACTCGTCGCTTTGCATTCCGTGATCAATGTCCCCAACCATGACGACGAACACGGTCTCTTGACAACATACCATGCTTCCTTCCCAGACTATCTCACTACACGGACGCGGTCTGGATCAAAGCGATGGGCGGCAGACACCGGAGCGACACATCTCGACGTTTTCCTCGGGTGTAACAAGATCATGGAGACTGGCCTGTTCTTCAATGTGTCAGGTTGTAGCACATCATACGCTAGCAATGCAAAGCAGCCGTCGCGTCACGCACTCCCTTCGTATCTCGTTTACGCGTGTCGATTCTGGATCGAACACCTGACGATGTCGTCCATCTCGGAGGAACAAGCGACTCAACATGTCTGGGCTTTCTTTCGACAGCAGTTCCTATACTGGTTGGAGGTGTTGAGTGTCTGTAACCACGCAGATGTAGCCTCTTCACTGGTCAAGAGGCTGGAGGTCTGGCTCCGGGACAAGGTGTGTCCATTAACATACTGTCATGCGAATACATGCTGATTGCCCGCCCAGTACACCAAACGAAACACGGAGCGCACGGACGTGACACGGTGTCTACGACTTCTGCTGGACGCGAATGACTTCCTCATTCGCTTCCGGACGCCAATTATCCGCAGCGCACCACATATGTACATCTCGGCTCTCGCATTCACGCCTCCACAGTCGGAGATCGGCCAGGCATATCACCGTCTGCTCAAGCGTGGACTGAAGGTGGATACTGTGCAACAGCTCACACCGTTACCCCTCCTGAAGATACACGAAAAATCCCACGTTCGCGCACTAGCCTTCTCAGCTGACACGAGGTACATTGTGTCTATCGTAGATGATGGCGTCCGCCGCTGGAATGCAAGGACGGGGGAGAAAATTGGCCAGCCGCCGCAGGGACCTGACATTCCGCATTCTTGCCTCGCGCTCTCACCGGACGGATCTCGCGCTGCGTCCTCGTCCGGGAGGAACTGCTATGTCTGGGACACTACGTTGGATCACCGCATTGGACGGTGGCTCAAAGTACCTACGGATACCACATCCGTAAGCTCGGTTGTGTTCTCGCCCGATGGCAAGTGGGTCGCAGCCGGTCTCGCAATGCCGAAAGGTCGTGACTCGGTCATTTGTAAATGGGATGCGGACACGGGTGACCCCATCGGCCAACCGTTTGAGCTGGTAGGATCGGCGGTCAAAGACGACCTTTCAATGATTGCCTTTGCGCCCAATCACAAGAAAATCGCTGCAGCATATGACGAGGGCTCTCGATTCTTTCTCTTGAAACCTCGCGATTCCTACGGTGGGGAGTTGACCTGGGTGAATGCAGTGACAGGCGCTGCAGTTGTAGAAAAAATTCCATGGTTGAACTCAGCCGTGTTCTCACCAGACAGCGCATTCGTTGTGTACGGGGAAGTCCGTGGTATTCTCGTGCGGGATGCGGAGACTGGTGATGCAATTGGACAGCCGATCCAGGGACACACAAAGGACGTGCTTTCGCTCGCATTCTCGCTGGATGGCAAGTTCATCGCGTCCGGGTCGTTTGATGCCACGGTGCGCGTCTGGTCCTTCGAGCATGGCAGACTTGGCGGTCATCGGGTGCTGAAGGGACATGCAGGCTCCGTCAAATCGGTCGTCTTCTCGCCGGATGGTCACCTCCTTGCATCCACCTCGGATGACGGGGACATCTGTATCTGGGATGTAGCCCAGACTACTACAGGGGACACAGTTTCAATTGGCGAGCCGCCCGGGCACACTGGGGGCGTGACGTCGGTCGCATTCTCGCCGGACGGCAGACAGGTTGCATCTGCATCGTGCGACGGAACTGTTCGTGTCTGGGATGCAGATACGGGTGCTGCAGTCGGAGAGCCGCTGCTGGGACGAGGTCATGAATGTGGCCACTATCCAGTGGCCATCGCATTCTTGGTGGACGACAACAAGATAAATCTTGTGTCTTATTCAACTTGCCCCGACCCGGCCTCGGAGTACGACGACGATCATGACGATCATCGTGGTTCTGCAATCAACGTGTGGGACGTGGAGGCGGCGAGCAACCCTGGTGAATGGCCACACAATGGATACTGGGAAAAGTATGATATGTGGGAATTCGCGCTCTCGCCGGACGGCAAGCGAATCGCACTTCAGTTTGGGTGGGAGAAGTTGGAGATTGTCGAATCGGCGACGGGCGCCCACATCGTGGACATCGACATGTCATCCCAAGACACGTTGAAATCCACCACGTTCTCGCTGGATGGCAGGCTCGTTGCAGCCTCCTTCTGCGATGACACCATTCAGGTTTGGGAGACAGACACTGGTACCCGTGTTGGGCCGCTGCTCAAGCTAGACAAGCAGGGTGGGGGTAGCATCGCGTTGTCGCCCGATGGCAAGCTCCTTGCGTATAACTCCAATTATTCGGTGCGTGTTCGCATTTGGAATCTCCATATCGAGCAGTCATGCATGGACCACACACACATGGTGACGTCACTCGCGTTCTCGCCCGACGGAAAGCACCTCGCGTCCGCGTCGTATGACGGAACGGTTCGCGTCTGGGATGCTCAGACGGGTGCTCTGGTCCTACCGCCTCTCAGAGGACACACAAGTACGGTGTCGTCAATCGCGTTCTCGCCAGATGCTCGGCACATCGCAACTGGTTCAAGGGACAAGACTGTCCGTATCTGGGACGTGACCGCCGGGGCATCGCATTCACCCCAGATCGTGACGGGATCCGATTCACCCTCCCTCGTCGATCTCTGGGAGTCGCATGGTGCGGAGTTCGGTATGACAGAAGACGGATGGATCACCGGCCCTCAAGACGAACTCTTTCTTTGGATCCCCCCAGAATATCGCGCTGGCTTATTGTGGCGTCGTATGACTGCAATCATGGGGCGCGGCATATATCCCGTTCGTCTCGACCTCCGCCAGTTCGCACAGGGCTCGACATGGACAGAGTGTTGGCGCTCGCCGTAAAGTGGTGGACATGGTACGTCCTGCAGTATTATTCGCACCTGAACAGCTCTCATGCAGTATGACTCTGCAGATCGTGTGTGCTATGTCTGAGGACCTGGTGCTGCCGCTGTGTCGGAGGGCAGATTGGCGGATTCGGCTGAACGGGCTGGTGTGGAAGTTCTTGCATCATAACGCGTACACATGTGTATATAGACTCTGAGCGACCTTAGTGCTGTTGTGAAAACACGGAAGATCTTGACCTTGATCACGCGGTACGGCTCACCCTCCTTGACGAGCATATTCAGTCTCCTCCGGCCAGCATCCCACAGGTTCGTCGCTTTTCATTCAGGCCGAGGAACAGGGCAGCATAACGAGCATAGAAAGCGCAATACATACTGCACCATCGCGCATACCAGCCAAGCGTCGACTCGGCCTCGCTCCTGCTGGCTCTTCACCACGACCATGCTTGACAACTTTGCCTTTTCCCGCTTGTTTAGCGTCGGCAGTCCTGGGCCCGACCGACGTCCATCCACTCCGCTTTGTCCTCGGGCTCGCCCTCCTCATCTTCCTCCTCCTCCTACTCGCACGCATGCTTCCACTTCACCTGGCGACCTTCGTAAGGGCCGCCGCGCACTCTTCGATCCGGCTGTGGTCGCACTGGGCAGTGGTCATAATTTGGCTTGGATAGCGTTTGCACACGAGGGTACTCACGAACTCTTCCTCACTACTCACCACGGTAGAGCCCTTCCACCTACAGCATCCCTTCTTCCCGCTCAAGTACGTCGAGCTTCCCGAGGATGTTGTCGATGAATCATGCCGTTCATGGTTTCTGGCGCTCGGACGTAGCTCGCTCGTCTTCAAGTTGCACCCTCTGGCGTAAGCTTCCTCGACAGAGTGAACATTATCTTAGCGGTGCGCGGCACGACCTCTATTCCGTGTCTGCGAGAACGTTGTGATGACGTTAGGCACCACACACAAAATGGCAATGGCAGAGGCGGACGCACCCTTGCGGCTGATGTTGTACGCACGGCGCCTGCCCCGCCCTTCTCCGCGAGAACGGCCCTCGGTGAGCACTGGTTTCGTTGAGGTCCGTGCAAGCGTTTCCACTGGGGTACGCAGCTCTTTCGGAACAAGCAGACGATGCTCGTGATGACCCATGACTCGGGTCATACGAGAGGAGAGCCTCTCCAAGTCGCCCAGGAGCCGGGGGAGGCTCGAGGGGCTCGAGGAGACTAACACAGACTCGGAAGGCATCATGCGCACATGAAGGCGTCGTACTACACCATGCAAGGCGTGAGCCAACCGGAAGCTCGAGGAGAACGGGATGAGCAACACGACCTATCCATCATTCAGCACGAGCCCATCCAGAGACAACGTCTCAAACTCTCCCCGAGCGCATATACTCAGGTTCGATCCACCGCGTTCCGTTTCGAGTGAATCAAATTCAATGGACTTTCTCTGCAGGACTGTGAGCACTTCATCGAGACGTGCGGAAGACTAAGCAGCTTCCTCCGAAATGCCCTCGCCAAGATCTGCATCCATCCTCACGGGCATACATCGAGTCTCGGCGCGTCTCCGACGAGCTCGTCTGTGTCTTCGGAATAGGCGGGAGCGGTCGCAAACGACTCGGAGTGCTTCAACCCCGAAGCCAGTTTGGTCTTTGGGCGTAGCGGCTCCGGCGCAGGTAGATCTGGTGGAGAGGAAGATGACTGCTACTGAGACGCACCATCCGGATCTGATGCAGGCGGCTCCGGCGCAGGCAGACCATGCTTGACGAAGAGAGGGACGACGTCGACTCCGATGTAGGATATGCATTGACTGATGCCTTCTTCTTGGGCATCGAGCTGGGACCGCCGACTGTAGGTGGACGGCCGTAAGGATGAGTGGGCTCGCTTGGGTCTTCGCGGATCTAGAGGTCGCAACCTCCATGCGACCAGAGAGAACGCGGCCAACTTAGCGGGCCCAGAGGTCGCCCCCGTAACCGTGCACGTACAGGAGATCGTCGTGAGCACTGCACGAGAAGAGCTTACGATCATTGGAGGCGGTACTGTAGGCTATCGTGTGTAGGCTGGCTTATGGGATGTCCCAAGGCGGGCGCTGCCGGTGCATGCTTTTGAGCAGCGCTGGAAGCGTCGGGATGAGAGCCTGTAGTTGCTTTAGGTATAGGTGAGAGCAGGAGTGACGGTCGCAGACAGGGTGAGACGCTCGGCGGAATCTCGGCGCTGCTCTTTCCTCGCCGCCACCGACGCGACCTCCTCCGTTGCCTCCTCCATCCTGAGCATATACGTCTTGCAGCCGGTCGTCTGCCACTAGGTATACTTGGTCTATAACTTGCCTTGATATAGCCGGCTTCGGATGTGCGAGAATGACCTATGACTCAGTGGGCGAGTTATACAGCGTCCTATCCACCGTCTAGCCTAGCGACAAGGCTCGACCACCTGTGACTGCATCGACCCAGAACATCTCCCATCCAAGAAACACGGCAGGTTGATGGAACGGCTGCCCCGCCGCCATGCCAGTATCCTCTTCTAGCTATCATACTATGACTGTCATCGGTTCTACACTTTACGTCGGTCGAACTGCCACATGAGACAGAAAGAGCATACGGTAGGCGTCAAGGTACCGGTCACATCTAGGCTGGATCAGATGAAGGCGTACTGTCCGAGTTTGCTGATAGTGACTTTACATAGTCCGGCCCTCGCGCCAAGGAGTCGACGCTATGCAGGTGCACCAAGACATCTTGACACCCTTCAGCGGATTGAAGAACGGCTGGCGCGTGAGTGCATGAGTTCATACAGACCCCTCTTCTGTTCCATATCACGCGATCTTGCGATATCGACTTCCATCCTCTGATTACATCTCATACGTATGTTGTTCAGCACAAATATACACCGCTGTATGATCACACCTACTTAAGTATACAAGGCCTCCGTGTCGTGCGCAAATGATACAGTTACCCCAAGAAACACACCTGATACCCGAGAACACAGGGTTACCAGGGTGTACCCTTCTAGTTGCCCACACATCTATTGTGTAGACGAGCCAAATATCTGCTCCGCCCTTCACAACCGACACGAGTCAACAGACTTCGGGAATGACTTGTGAAAGTACTCACGCGAAGATCCAGAGGGCCTGTGGGCTCATGTACGTGTCTGGAGTATACGGGAAACGCACTGGACGAGATTATATGTCAGTGAATGCGCAAGATCGATTTTGCAGTAGACTGGACTTACACTGGGGAAGATCGGAGTAGTACGCTAGCGATCGCCAAGTTGACGTTAGCGTTCTACTCGTACGCCAAGTGTTGCTCACCAATGGGAATCTCTTCATCCTCCCAGCTATAAGCTACACGAATCGGGCGTCAGGAAAACCTTGTATTCGCGCAGATCTGTCACCACGTACCGGTCCTCCAGTTGTGGCTGCATCGACACCAGCCTCACGTTCAACTCTGCGAACGACCAAACGGGAAGTGCATGACGTACCGGAAGTCCGCATTCACCAATCTGCAGAGCCCGGAGTCAGCGAACACCTCATATCCCTAGAGATTGCACTCACAAGTCCGGGGGCGCCAGAGGATCCTACATCCAACTCAACATCAACAACCCGTGTTTCCAAGGCCAAGAGCACACACTCACGTCCTGCAAGCCGGCGGTTTTAATCTCCGAGTCGATGTCGTACCACTCGAGGACCTGCTCGCCCGCCATGCCCTTGAACTGCATCGTCTCGCCCGGCTTCCCGCCGAAGATCGCGATGGTCGTGTTGTGGCGCTCGTACATGAGCGTGCTGAACTGTGCGCAGGTCGACGCGCAGTCGCCGTTGCCCACTACCACCATTCAGTGGGTCATGCTTGAGGATACTGCATGAGAGGAGGACATACCGATCGCGACCTTGCTGAGGTCAAAGGGCGGCGCCGCGGGGATCGTGACGTTGAACGGCGTGCAGACATCCTGCGCACAGTCGCTCAGCGCGTACACTCAAGTTCGGAGCGCGCACGTGTACCCACGTAGAACCGCTGTGACTCGTTGTACGCCACGCCGTTGATCGTCCGCGTCACATACGGAGTGATGTAGTTGTACGACTGATCCATGGCGGTATCATTACCCTCATACGCCCCTGGCTCTATAGCTCGGGTGGGTCGGAAGTTTGGAGTGTTGGGAGTACGTACAGTTGTCTGGAGGGTAGAAGGCATAGCTGTCATTGATGCCCTGCGCGATGTCGGCTGCGACGATCTTCTGGGCGAGGGTGTTCGCGCGCACAGCGGAGGAATAGCCACTGCGATGGGGAAGGTCGTCAGTCCCAATCAGCTGGAGCGCAGGTGTCTGTGTCCGTACGGGAAGCCGAAGTCCGCGCCTGCGAGGTAGGTGTGCAAGAACTCGCCCAGACAGACGTAGCCGCCTGAATGCGCAGTGAGACCTCGGAATGGCATGCATCAACAGCAGAAGCCTACCGCCGTTGTTCGACAGGTCAATGAGCAGCTGTGTTACCCCAGCCTCCAAGAACGTGGAGATGACACTTGCGACCTGGGATTGGAACCCGTAGTAGTCCTCAGGCTCGAACGAGCCAACGAACATCTATGCCACGCGAACGACCGTAAGTGGGTGTACCGCAGTGACAACGCCCTAGGAGCCACGTACCACGCCAGTCTTGTTGTCAGGCAGGATGTAACTCCACAGGATGTCTTCTCCGTAGATCGCGGTCAGGTTGGGCACGAACTGGGACGGGATCCCGAAGCCCTGCGAGTTCGACGCCGCTAGCGCCCCGCGGGGCTGGAGAGTCGCACGCGATCGAGCAGCCGCCGCACCCTGCGTTAGGTAGTCCACGCCGTTCGTCTCGTTGTTCGCCGCGCAGTTATTCGCCCAGCTACCCACGCAAAACTAAATATACCTCATAGAGGGAGTCCGCTGGAATGTAAGCACGCACTACGACGCCGCGTCCGTGAACGGCTCTCCGAGGTAGCCCGCCAAGTAGGGTATGACGACCGTTTCGGGCTCCGTCCCGTTCCCAAGTATGACTTCCATGGTCAGGTTGTCCAGGTCGGGAAACACCGGGCCCGCGAGGTCGCCGAACCGCTGCGAGTAGTTGCCCCCGCTGATCCGATAGCTGCTAAACACGCTGTTCACGCGCACGCCGTGGTCGAGGTAGTTCCCCGAGACGGTGTCGGCGATGTAGTCCACGTACGAGTACGCGGGGAGGCCCTCGATGCTTACGACGCGCGCGCCCGCGAGCCGGGCCCAGTCGAAGCCGAGCGAGGCGTAGTAGCTGGTGTACTCGGTGCCGAGGAGGGAGATGAACTCCACGAGATCCGGAACGACGTAGACGTCCTGGGCGCCGTCTACTTCGAGGGAGATCACCGGCGCGGGGAGCAGGTTCTGGAAGGTCTCCCAGTAGCAGTACGTGTACCAGCCCGTGTGACCGTCGTTCAGGCCGTTAACCACATCGAAGAGATCCTTGTTGAACGCGTAGTCGGACTTTCATCCGGAATATCAGACGCCTTCACGTCGCATATGTGACACAAGACTTACCGCATAGCCTGTGCTGTTAATCCTCGCCAACTCATCACGGATGTTCACGGCCGGCTGACCAAACTCGGCGATGGGAGCCAAGTAGTAGTCCTCGAAGGTGTAAAAGTCAAACACCTTGGACACGACATCGAGCACATTCTGGCGCAGAGTCTCGTTGAACGGGAAATAGGACAGACACGCACGCGCGTCAGCGGGGGCAACATAGGACTGTCCAGCGATCTTCGCGCATGGATCTTCTGCACGGGCCTCGTACAAAGAAGCTGTAGCGTCTTTCAGAAGCGCAGACGCTGCAGCGAGAAGCGCGAGGTCCGTCGTTATGGAGCGCATCGTGTGAGGACGAGGACTGGTGGGTGCCTACTACGTGCGGGAAGGCGGGATACACAGGTCGTTGCCATCGATTTATACGAACGAGGAGCGTGCGAGCGAGGCCACCAAGGGAGCCGTAGCATCGCACCGAAGCCTGAATTAGATGGCCGAGCATGCGGGGGAGATACGGAGCCATCCAAAAGGACGCACAAACTTGGCGGCAGTGGGCAACACACGGTCACGTGTGCGTGTCCGGGAGCGGACTCGCCAAACCTGGCAACCGCTGCATTTGACTCCTTCCGACTGGCATTCGCTGGCGGTCTATCTCCTACTCGCGCGTATACAATCGCCCAGACGTGATACATTGACTATTGGGACTGAATACATCTGTTAACTTATCCTTTCAAGGCCGCTTTCTCGCTCGCACCGCTAGGACCAGCGTTTTCTAGGACTTAAAAACTGCAAGTACTGGCCTTTCAAGCCGCGGACGAATGAGTGCAATGCAAATCTACGCGCATCTTCCGAGTCCGTATGTATGGTCTCGGGTGACTTGGTTCAGCCGTCTCTCCGTTTGCAGACGGATATATGAATATCAGCCGCCAACTGCGAACGCGGCAGAACTCAACGGTTGGACAGGGACCCGGACTACCTCGTATGAGAACGAGAGATATACAGGTCAACGTCGGTCTGCTGCTGTTTCATTGTGAGTCTCATGTTAAAATCCGGAATGTAGCATCATCGTAGAGTGCCTTTTCGTCTGGCACATTGTCTTTGAAAGTCGGGCTGTACAATTGATGTAAATCCTTGAATCAGCAAGAAGTGGAGTAAGAAAATACGTGTGTGCAATTGTACAACGTACACATTAGTACTGGAGGGATACGTGGCTATTATACAGATCAGTGCATGTCCGTGTAGCATCAGCAAAAGTACCAAGCCCAGTAGTTCGACTACGCGAGCCCCATTCTTTTCATTACCGGTACCAAGATTGTACCGGTGTGACCACGGCCTTGGGGAATATGTAACTCAGGTAGGCCAGGATGGCCTGCTCGTCGTCATCATTATTGAATGTGCGGCAGGTGATCTTCCTGACCCTTCTCGAGCGGGCAGGAAGCTCCTCCTCGGGGATCGGCAAGCTCACGTTGTCTCCATGTATGTCAAGTACAACCTCCTCCAGCTTCTGCGCGAACTCTGCAAGAGCGAGAAGATCACGGACATCGATAGGCTTCACGACGTTCGCGATTTGTCGGATTTTGATCCTCCGGAGGTGAGACCATGCCTTGGCCAGCGTTTGTAAGTCGTCCCGACATAAGGAAATCCGTGGTATGATGAGGGACAGCGATATCAGGCCAGACATCTGCAACAGAGGACGGAGCGTGGAGCCCGACAGGGCGTGGACGCAACGGCCATCCGACTTGTCTGGTAGAGACGTGTAATTGACTTCGAGCCCGAAGCATTCAAGCCGCTGCCGGAATGTGCTGCGTGCCAAAGAGCTGAAGAAGTCGCGCATCCTCAACTCCGGGGGTCTCTCTACGATCACCACTCGAAGGCTTTGGAGGGTCGGGCTGTCGAGGCTGTCCATTAGGCGGATAACGGTCCAGTCCAGTTCTTCTACTTCGAGGACGAGGGACACGAGGCTTTGGAATGCACCTGGGGGAAGCGGAGGTTCGTTCGGGGAAGCCGTTGCGGGGGCCAGATGCACATTGAGTACCTCGAGCCTCGACATCTGTGCCAGCACGGAAACGTCGTCCCACGAAAGCGGGACACAGGTAACGAGGGAACGCAGCCCCAAACCGCCTGACGGGCCGTGAATCGTCTCGACCAAGAACCGTCTGAACGCAGAGGAGAACTCGGAGCTGCGCAATGGAACATGGACGGGCCGCAGCGGCGCCGGATGCTGGATGTGAACCGACTCCAGGTCAGGACACCGAGTTCGAAGCTCGTCAAAGAGCTTTAGTAACCGAGGCTTTTCTCCGAGGGAAGCAGTGATAGAGAGCTCCCTCAAGCTTGGGGCCCCGAACACCCAGAGAGGAAGGAGCGTTGGCTCACCACGCTCTTCGTGCCATGTAATGGAGCGGACCGCTGGCAGCCATGGCCGCGCCGAGGAGGATAGTGCACTCTGGAAGAAGGTGAGGGTATTCCTGCCGATATCGCGGTTTGACTGCCAGACGAAGTACTTAATGTACCGCCCGCAGCGTTCGAACGCCCTTGTGTCGAGGACGGCGAGTGTCTCAGGGTCGGCCGAAGGGACTACCACGTGCTGGTTATATAGCACGTTAGTGGACCCCGCGGGTACTGAAGATCACGCTAGACGTACCCATATGAATGTACCATATCTACGATACTTGTCCCACTTCAAACCCGGGATCGTCCTGAGCAGCGGAACGAGTGAGGTCATCTTCCTCCAAAGAACCCGCATGGCGGCGCGCGTGAACCCTCGCGACGTGCGCGCCAGGCGTGAAATGGTGGCCCTGTCGTGGGTCCCTGGCGCACAGTCAAGGGCGGCGACGACGATCATTCCGAAGACGTCCTCAGTGAAGAGAACACGATAGACAGGGGAGGACTTGTCAAGGGCGACGGGGTCTCGGGTCTCGGTCTCGGCGTTGATAGACTACACCATATCATAGTCAAGCCATGCCTAACCGAGGTGTAGAACAAGAACGACTTACCATTGAGTCGGCGGAGGTCAGTACAGGGGACTCAGAGGACATCATCGACGAGTACGCAGGACGAGCGTTACTGAGACTATCGGATGGATAGAACTGTGATGCGGTTGCTGTGGGGAAGGTGCGAGTGGTTGTCTATACCGCGGAGGCACGGGTTGAGAGCGACTGAGAAGTAGGAGCGAGGTTATAGTTGAACGGGAGCAGGGCCACAATTAAGCGCGCGTTGATATTTGACCTTGAGCCACAGTCTACGGCAACGCACCTCCGGGCCTCCGACGGAATTCAGACCCAGCGACTCTACAGAGTACAAGGGCCGGCTGCCTCTTCCACCTTGAGGCATTCAGGTCAGCATGCACAATAATTCGCTAGGCTTGGCAGTCGCACTGATTTGTTCTCTGAACTCAGGCAACCCATCACCGGGGTCGCCCATAGGCCTTGTCGGGTTCCGAGTCCAATTCTGGGGTCTGGAAATTGGGCACACCCTAGCTGTTAGCCCATTGCGCCGACACAGGTCTTGTGCTTATGCAGTATGGTGTCTGCTCGTTGTAATGCGAGTCTACCGCACTACCAGTGTTCGAATTCGAGAGGTACAATGCCCGAGCCCAGGGCAGACGCGACTGCTTGAATGCCTGGCATGTCGCTTAGCAAGATGAATCACCGGCCTACACACTGGCCTACACACCTTGCTCATTCAACACCTCCCTGGGACGCTTAACAAACGATACAATGTTGCATGCCACGGGACCGACCTACGCATACTGGTACCTATGCAGCTGTCGGGCTGGGCGTCCGCTGAGAGGGCGAAGATGCGAGGTCCGATTAGCATCCACAGGCTTGGGACTATTCAGCGTGCGGAGGCATCCCTGCGATGGGCGAGTAGAACGCAGGTAAACGAGGTACGTTTGTATGTGCGGTGGTCTGTCTCCGTATAATGTCAGGTCTTACGGATCTTCAGCAGAAGAACGATGTAAAGCTTTGTGGGACGTGGCTACCTGACGTCGTACTTGTATTTGCCGGTTGAGTCCTGCAGACATACAGCTCAACGTTGTGTTCGTAGCATCCAGACAAACTCGGGACAACGTACCGGATGAGTGCGCACCTCGACTTTCATATATGCTCACATAGCTTTCTTATCTTTGCAGACGTTCCACGCTCATTCGGCACGGGGGATTCGTCTCACATCCGGTATGGATATGAACGGGGGAGAAGTGACTCACATCCATTGCCATGTGCTATATGCCACGTCTGACTTCCGGGACCTACACATTCCTTGAGTGAGTCACCATCGTAGGGGGTACGCAGAGCTCCGTCAGGACGACATGTCATGGCTATGAATCATAGCATCATCTCACCTGCCAATGAGCTTGGCTCGACCTTACGCATTGTATCTATCTCGGAGATACGCAGGCTACAACGACGGGTAACCACGTTGTCCTGCGCCCTCCTCCATCCCTTGACATGATACGGACACAGCTCCCGAAGAGTTACTGTGCTGCAGCCGAGGTCGGGATACACTCACCAAACATGTGATGCAGTGGTCTGTGAGGAGCAAGCTCCACGCTTGAAAGCTCCAAGTCCTCGGTCGGTGGAAGACGGAGCTGGAGATATCGAAAGAGGTGGCCTCCGGTAGAGCCGGGATCGTAGAGGAGCCATGCCCCGTTTGTATAGCGGTCATCGAGCTCATACCAACGGAGGTCGCATGTACTGACTCTAGTACGTAGTACTGAGGACGGCCCGACCAGCGTCGGGTGCGCCGCGGCGCGATAACGTGACCTGCGCGAACCTCGACCACCACCGCGACTTGACCACGACCGGGACCCTCCTTGTCTGCAGCTCAGGAAACTCAGGCTGGTGCTGTTTGTATCCCTATATCATTAATAGCATACAGTCTCGAGGTCCGTATGGATTCGCACCTGCCTTGCATCGCCGATGAGTCGTACAACCTCGGCGAATACGCACTGTACTATGCAGTACGGGAGTCTGGGGTCGAAGGACCATACTTAGTACCAAAATTGCTGCGGTTCTTCTGGAAAATCTTTTCACAGATGTAGAGCAGTTACTTGGAAATTATGGGCTGAGCAGTGGGTGTGTGAACTGAGATGGGGTCGTCTGGTCACTCTGGTCATGAAATGCATCCAATTACTCTCGTTGACTGAGGCCCTTCTATTGATCCTCCTTAGCCAAGCCAGTCCGACAGCGTTTATCCAAGTAGCCTGGACACGAGTCAGTGCTTCCGTGACGTGTTTCCCGGATATAAACAGCGACAAGAATGACATATGTACCATCATGCAGGGGCATCATGCATTGTGCTTCTGACGAACAGTCGACGTGCGGCTTATGTCTAACAGTATAGAGACTTCGCTCGGATTCTCTGCAGTCCAGGACGATTGGAGGGGAAGCCATGGCTATACTGGTGTGTCGCACGACGTTTGTACTAGGTCCAAGCCGAAGGATCTGGTGGGATGACCAATCACTCGTCGATCCCGCTACTACTATGTCTTGATGGCAGACAGAGAAGCCGATACACTGTATTCATCGGGTAGACAATACAGTCCAATACCTACAAACGCGGAGGGAACTATCTATACAGTAACCTTGAACCAATACAGCAGATTACATGTCTAGTGTTACAACGAGGCGCAACGAGGTATTCAACATCTACTGAATTAAAGGATGATGTTTTCATTGAGCATCGCCAGCAGCGACTTCATCGGCGACTTCCCCTGCAGCGGCTTCACCAGCAGCCACTTCTCCCGCCGCGCCTTCCCCCGCCGCGCCTTCCCCCGCCGCGCCTTCCCCCACCGCGCCTTCCCCTGCCGCGCCTTCGCCTGTAACGACTTCACCAGAGCCTCGAGCAATAGCGTTCGCTCGCACGAGGTACTGCATGTATTTGGCTCTCAGCTCCGGTGTTGCCGTTCCCGGAAACAGAATCATGAGATACGCCACCGTACAATGATAGTTGAACTTGTCCGGGCACAGAACGCGGCAACTGTGGCGCGTCACAGACTTCGTTGTGACAGGATGCCTACACGTCTCGCACGAGCACAATGTGCGGCCCAGCCAGACGTCAAATCCTATGTGCTTCAGGTCCGGGCACTTCGCTGAGAACGCTGAGAGGCACTCGACACCGACAGGTGTCATGCCGTCCCAGGTCTGTTGAACTTTGATGCGCTCGAGGCGCGGAAAGGCGGAGGCGAGAGCGTTGACGTCGTCGCAACAGAGGGTTATTCGGGGCAGACCGAGGTCAAGGCAGCGCAGATTGCGGAGTCGGAGAAGTGGCCGCAGGGTATACGTGCTGGATGCCAGCGTTCGTGAGCCGGGGACGATGGACTCTTGAGATGCGCTGGACACGACGAAGAAAAACCGCGTGAGCGCATCGCGGAACGGACTCTTCGTCAGACCCTCGAAGAGCCTGCACACCCTCGTGGCATCAGGGGCTACATCCGTGATCAGCATCGATATGTCGGCCAGACAGACGGAGTCGATGCTATCGAGGAGATGCTCGGCCTCGGCGTTAAGCGCAGGTAGGTCGAGCCACAGGCGGGTCAGGCTGGGGAACGAACCGGGTGGCAGTCGCTCGAAGTCGGTCGGCAGCTTAGGGTCGATCCACAAGGCTACATCAACCCCCTCGAGACAGGGCAGCCGTGCGAGGGAAACGATGTCCTCCCAGACGATGGGCACGGTCATGCGGAGGGTGCGCAGACCCATCAGTGCCTTCCCGTCGATGCCTTTGCGGAGGAAGTTTGTGAATGCGGGGTAGAACACCTTGGAGTCGCCGAGCCCCCGCTCGTCAGTCCGCCTCGGCTCCCGTATGTGTAGATGCTGGAGGTCGCGACAGCGCGACAGCAGCTCGTCGAACAACGCCATCAGGGCCTCTTCCTTGGCGAGTGTCGCGGTCACCCAGAGGTCCTGTAAGTTGGGAGAGGCAACAAGTGCGAACGGCGGGACACTGTGAAGCGAGAGGTCGTCGAAGACCCGCACGGCGGGGAGCCATGGCTTGTTGAGCGACGACAGTGCGTTCACGAAGAAGGACAGCGTCCGTGGTGTGAGGTCCTTGTCGGTCCATATAAATTTCTTCACGTAGCGGGAGTGGTGTTCAAACCGGACGGTGTCAACGACCGTTTGGGACGATTTCGAGCCAGTGGTATTGGCCTCTTCGACGTCCTGAAGCGCACAGTGAGATGAGACATGACATTGGAGCGGCTTCACGGAGAATGATACACGTACCCAACGGGTGTCCCCACGTTCGTCACGATCCTTCCTCCAGGTATACCCCGGTATAAGCTTGAGTAAAGGAACGAACGAGTCCATATTTCCCCACAGGATGCGGCTCGCCGTGTGGTGTAGTTTTGGGTGTGTGCGGGCAAGGCGTGCGACAGAGACTCGGGTCTCTGGCCGGTCAGGATCGTAGAGGAACCGAACAATGATATCGCAGAGGTCCGGAATGAACAGTACTTTGTAGATCGCGGACGATTTGAACTTTGCTAGGAAATTGTTGCGCTTCGCGGGTTCACAAGTTGAAGGCTAGGGCTCTGGAGTCAGGCGAAGTTATGGGGCGATACAATGGTGACTTACCGTGCTTTTAGAAGGGGACGAGGGGGGCGAGGCGGATGAGGTAGGCAATAGTCGAGCAGGCATTGTGATAGGGATGTCGAATACAATGCGGAGGGGGCAGCAAAGTAGTCAAAAGTAGTATGATGTGAGAGTGTACTGGAGCGCACGGATTCCAGGTAGCAGGGCGCAGTACGAGAGCGGGTGGTATGAGAAGGATGAACAGACGCGAGCCACAAGTAAGCGCGCGCCAATGTTCCAGCCACCAGCCACGCCCGCCCGCCCCCGAGCCTCCGGCCGGATTGAGACCCAGCGGGCGTGCAGACCACGAGGGCGCATGCATTCTGAGACATCTGTAGTATTTTTAGATCATCGTGCGTCGGGATTGGATGGAACGCGTGGACGCACCTCTTTGTCCGCCTGAATAGGAAGCTTCTGGCGGGCCGTCGTCTGGGCCTGCAGGCGAACACACCTGCTGCGTTCATTGTAGTTCCATTGACCTGGGTATTGCATCGTGATTTGTTGCCTTTCCCCCTTGACTAGGGCATTTACCACTGGTGGCCGTCCCTCTGTTGAGGCCGTCATTACGACATCTTACGCAGATGTGAGACGAAGTATAAGGACATCGACGATTCGTGCAATGCCGATACATGGAGTCCGACAGCTCTCCACGGACCTTCCGTCACTTCTCAACTTGCCAGAGAAATGCTAAGCAGAAGGCGAAGAGCCGTGACACGCTAAGTGAAGTGGACGGCTCAGTGTCCGTACGTGAATTATATATTTGTAAAGACGTGTACTTACCTGCACACATATTGAAGGGGATAGGTTTGCGACGCGGCATTCTCGAGATGGGTAGGTCGACTCTTGGCTATATTCTATCGCGAGGTGTCCAGCGAAGCAGCTGTGGCGCTCGACGACACCCTTAACGTGCCGACATCCCGGACTACAGTACGCCCCACAGGGGACGTCCGACTGCAGACAGGTATTAAGTTGTCCCGCGAACGTGCAGTATCACTGAAGATAGTACTGTCTAGGTTTCCCGAGGATCCGTGATCGAACTTCACACTACATTGACGAGCAATGGCCCATGGATGCATTTGTGTTCGCATTGAACGCTGCTCGACTTCAAGAGGACCTTCTGCATGGGTTGAAGAATTGATGACGACACATACAGTCAGAGCATGCTAGAATAGCAGGGCGGCACAACGGTTCGAAGGATCAAAGACGCAACAGGATGACTCAGGAGTTGTGAAAGAGTTTTGGACGTGTCTGCCGTGCCATCATCAATGTTATGGCTGCCATCCGAGAGGTGTAGGACGTACGTCTTATGCTCAGGCTGTGCTTCCTATGTGTTGTTCACCTCGTTCTGACTCATCACCGTCCACCGTGTGCACGCCGACACTTTGTGACCGTGCTGCGCAGAGTCTGCGCTACGAGCACGTCGTCGATGAACGTTCAAGACTCGCTTTTCAAACCCGCTTTGTCTTCACGTTGTCAACGTTGTCAGACGTATGAGACAAACTATACATCTTACAGCTGATCCTCAAGGAAGGATAACGAGTCCTAGACGTCTTCGTCCCGCTGTTCAGGAGTGCTAGGAAGTGTCCCCGGTAGTACGCATCGGCCAATAGCATCAGACATCTAGATACGAGTCCGATTTTCCCGTGCTGCTGTTACTGCGGTATCAGGCAAACAGAGAGGCGGCTTGTGTAGTGGTTCGCGAGATGTGGTCCAGTGTAGCCTGACGCCGCCTCAGCGGACTCGAGTTGTCAGGTCAAGGTGCGTAACGCCCGCCTCTGCTTTCGGCCTCCGCCACCATGTCCTTCATCACAACAGTCCCCTCTCTCAGCCACGGTGTGCGTACTGCACCCAAGGGCTTCCTTTGTTGTGGGATTCCTCACCGACTCTACGAGATGCTCGATCCCAGCGGATGATATCCGAGTCGTCGCTCTGGGCATCATTGGCCTACCAACGTGTACTGCGACATCAGCGCTTCAGCGGCGACTACTGCGTCTCTCCGTACCATGGCTGGCCGAGCTTTGCGGTAGATTCTGCGTTATGGCCATCCTTGGTCGGAAAACATGGACAGGATGACGGGAATCACTCGTGAGTTTGTGCTATCCCAATTTGTGACTTCGCTCACAACGTGTGTATGCCAACGCACCCAGCTGATGTTTGAATCGTCGGGTCTGGCCATGGCATCAGCGCCCTTTTCCTGCTGGTGGTCATCAAGGCTTGACCTCATCAACGACGCGGAACACGTCAACACAAGAAGGTGCGGGGATGGAGACCGGGCGTCGTCAAAGAATGGTGCGGTGTCACTGTGAGTCTCTAGATCAGGAGTGCTTACGATGATTACTACCTCGAAGGCTCAGAGCATATATGCTCCTTGTATCGCGGGCATCTCTACTCGACGGAGTAACTTGTAGGATGGCCGAGACATGTAGCGGACGCATCGTGAGGGCACTCCTCGTCGAGACGTGCATTATCCCGCCTTGCTCACGAGGTGATCCCTCAACCCAGACTGACTGGCATGTGGTCTGTCCATGGGGATACTCAGTGGAAGACACACCGAACATGTACTGCAGTATATGCCGATCTCCGTGCCGCTGCTACTCGCAAGCTCAACGGTAGACTTAACTCGAGTTGTACCGCTGTGTAACCGTACGTTACTGCTACAACCCACCGGTCTTCGCCGCTTTGGAAAATTGCTGACCTCTGTAGTGAATCTTCAAAGGAACGGCCGCACCACTCCACAAGCGTCGCTGCAAGAGCGTGTCATGTCACGGTAGCCAACGTCTCCGCTATACACTCATCAGAGTGTATCTTCAAGGTCTGTACTTATTCCGTTTGTATCGATACAGCGATGGATCCAATTACATACCACTAGAAATAATGCAACATCTAGTTTCACATCCGAACTTTTGAGTCTGCTGAATCACTTTGATCGCGCTGCGATGGCTGCGTGAACAAGATCAATGATGAGGCAGATCTTACGTTCAGGCCCTGTGTGATCCAGTTCAACAACATACAGGACGACACGCACACAGTACTAGGAGCCGTGTGCCCGTCACCGCCTAGACACCCTAGTCGGGAGGAATCGTAAGCCAACCATACTGCGTCATAAGTCAGACTCAGAGTACCAACGTACAGCCCCAAGTTTAAGTTGTATCGGACGGCTGCACTTGCATGGTGTGTCAAATGCATGTACTCATTATGGCATAGTTTAAGTTAGCCTGAGGCTGTATCGTCATTGTTACGTAGAGTAGCGCGGATACCCGATCGCAAAGCATTCTACATGGCTACCTAGGATAGAAAGAGTACACATACATCAGTCAGAGAAGGACATCGACGCGCACAACAACCCAGTCAGTTCAGACGGCATACTCGCTATTAATGTTAAGGACAGCTTTCGGGAATAGGCGGCGTAAGTAATCAAGAATTGACTGCTTACCTTTGAGAATATCGCAAGTGACGGCCTCGACTGGCGATGCGGGATTCGGAGCATCATTGAGGACCCGGGCAGGCAGAGATTCCCCGGGCGGCGCCCCGTACACGTCAAATCCCGCTATCGTTTTCAGTTTCAACGAGAACTGCGCGAATGGGGCTAGCCAGAAAACAGGGATGGCCCATGGATTGCGTGCGGTCTGCTGGAGGTCGATTGCGACGAGGTTCGGCCAAACCGTAGAGAGCGTACGAAAATCGTCCATCTTCAAATAATAGTTGGGCACCACAATGGACAACGATGCGAGGTTGGACAGCTGTAGGAGGGGCTGAAGTGTGCACATTGAGACTGTAGCGAGCTGTGATGGGTCGTCCGCTTCGTGAGCCCCAGCGTTGTAAACAAACCGCTGGACGGCATCCTTGTATACGCTCCGAGAGAGGGTCTCGAATAGCTGGTGTACCATTCGTTCGCGCGGGGCAACGCGCGCGATCGACACCTCGATGTTCTTGAGTCTCGGGGAGCCGATACCATCGAGTAAGCGGATCACTATGTCGTGACCGCCCAACGTGCCAAGGCCGAGGTCCAGGACAAGCAGATTCTGGAAAGCGAGATCGGGGAGTGCCCCGAAATCCTCCGTCTTCTTCTTGAACACGATGATCGCGAGATGCTCCAACCTCGGCATCTGCGCCAGCATCAAGATGTCCTTCCAGTGAACAGGCACGCACGAACACAGGGAACAAAGGTTCGGCACGCCCGACGAGATCTTAACACATCTGTAGAGGAATTCGGTGATTGCTGGGCCGATGTGGCGATACTCCCCCAAGGGCATGTCCTCGAGGTACATCGTGGTTGTGATACTGAGATGTCGAAGGTCGGGGTTGCGGTTCGCCAGTGCCTTCACTAGGCCCACCAGCCTCCACTTCCCGAAGTACGATGCAGTGATAGAGGCGCTCTCCAAGCTCTGAGAGCCAACGACCCACAGTGGAGGGGCCTTGATTATCATGCCACGTTCGTACCACCTGAAGGAACGTAGGGACGGGAACCACGGCTTCGTAGACGATAGGGCTTGCTCGAAGAAATCGTAGGTTGCCGGACTGATATCGTCGTTCGTCAACCAGACAAAGTATTTGACATATGCCGAATACCGTTTGAAGGCCACTGTGTCGAGCGCGAGCTTCGTCGGATCGTCTTGGGGCACTACGGCATGCTGTTCGCGAAACATCATGAGGTGTTATACAGCACCGGAGAGTCTGGTAGACGTACCCATTGCACACTACCGTCATCCATCGCATAGTCCGTCCATACAAATCCTGGTACCGTTTTGAGAAGGGGGACGAGCGACCACATCCTCTCCCATAGCACTCGAAGCGCTGTGTGCGTAAATTGTCGCAATGTGAGGGCTAGGCTAGCCACAGACCCGTAGTTGCGTCCCTCCTGAGCGACGAGTAGGAGCCGCACTACGTTCTCGAATAAGTCTTCGTTGAAGAGTACTTGATAGACCGGAGACGACTCGTAGAGGGCCGCGATATCGTTGCGTTGGGCCGAGCGGTTCGCGGACTGTAGTGTCACGTCATTATCAGGCCGCAAAATAAAGGGGAGACGGAGAGGGTACGACGACTTACCATATCCTCAACGGAGACAGCGTCTGGGGTCGACATAGCTGGTAGCGATGCGAGGCGAGGCGTAGTTGATGTCTTGAACAAGTAATCGCGTATGTAGCGGTGTAGCGTCACGGTCGTAGTTGGGAGTCAACGGCAGGTATCAGAAGCTGTCCTGACGGAGTGGACAGAGTACGAGTGCGAGGAGTACGGGCAAGGTCCAAGTTGAACGGAAGTCGGCCACGGCCAAGCGCGCGTCAGTGCAGCCACAGGCCACGGCCAAAGCTCCGACGGATTTGAGACCCAGCGCGCGCAGAGTATAAGGGCACGTTCATTTCCGGACAGGACAAAGTCAAAGCGCATGGTAATTCACCTGGCCTGAACGCAGCCTTTTGTTCGCGGGGTTTGGAAAACTTGCCTCAACGCCGCGTTGTCGTCTGAGTCCCGGGGAAATACCTTGTCAGTGAGTGTACCAGTTACGGACCTTGGACGAGGGCCGACATACTGATTTAGCTTGCAGCCAATGTTCTCTTTTCTGCGAGCTTGCGAGGTAACTACCCATTCGCGAGTGCCAAAGTCAAGGCGGCCTCGAGGACGGAATCCGATGTATGCATGGTACGCGTGCAGGATTTGCTGGCGCCATAAACAATGACCCACGAATGATATGTTCAGAGGACCCTCGTCAACGTCAATGACGACGTCAGGGAAGAGGACACGTGGAACAACGTGGTGACAAAAGCGTGAGCGTGCAATCTCGCCATGATCAACGGGCGGACAAGTACCAATTGATGGGGTGCCCAGTAAAATGTTTGCGTAGGATGAGCAACACCGGCACAACCGCGACCAGGGAATGCCAATGACCACCAAGCATACGTGTGTTCGTCGTCGCGGCGCGCCCGAATATGACTGCGCGGCTTCGAGCTGCGCTTCGAACCATGTCGAATTGGTCGAGGCTCTAGCGATTACATGCACCTGGCAGCGGTGGCTTCGTACATCTGCATCTGCAAGTAAGCTCATTGAAACGAGGTTACCGCCGAGGACAGGCTACGCACAAACGAGCTGCTGTCCGCGTCCCGCACCCTAACCGGTAGTGTCGGACCTGCGACGATCGTCATATGCGTCTCAGCACAGTGGATGCGCGCGACACACAGCGCACGTCTGCAAGGCGATTGTCAAGGAGTCGACTTCGCTGAAACGCGGATCGATCTGGCTCGAAGGGGAGAGGGCGATAAGACAGTTCTAGGAGAGCAAGCTGAGTGGAAGTCAATATCCACACAGCGAGACAGAACGAGCTACTCGCGTCCGAATCATCCTCCTGTGAAAGCCTGGTTCGTCCACTCGCTCGCACGCATCTGCTCAACTCCAGCTCATCTCCGTCTGCTGGTGCGAACCGTTGTCTCCCACCCTCAGTTCGACGTATGGATCAAGGCATGATTGCATCCGCAGGGCGTGCGTCACGAGCGGTGGGGTGTCCGACGCCATTTCTCGTGAGACACGTCGACATGGGACTCTCCTGCACCTGGATACGTGGTGCCGTAGCTCGCGACGGCGGGGTGTCGTTAGGCCAGCGCATACACTGGGACGGTCGTATAGTTGCTGGTCCACGCGGCTCGTGTCTCCGAGGACGCAAGGGAGGATACTTGAGCTTCTCAAGACAGGCTAGGTCCGGTTAGCATTGAGGTCGAGGTGAGCGAAAAGAGCAGCGGAGAACTCATTCTGAGAAGCTGGCGGCAGACGCAACACAACTGTAGGCTGGGGCGCCCACGAACCAGAGCTGGTCGCTCGCTAACGTCGTGTGGTAGACAGCGCGAGCATACCGACGACCAGTAATGAACGGTTCTTTTAGTGTCTGTACCAGTCGCACGAACGTGCCCACACTGACAGGACTGAGCGGCCTGCAGAACTACGGCGTACGACAGAGAGCGGAGGAATGGGAGTTGTAGGAGTTCATCGTAGGCGTGAGGCATCGAATAAGCACTGGACAGCCAGATTGATCCGATGGTACGATACACTGGACTGATGACCAACTGATGACCCTTCGAAAAGTAGTGTAGAACGCACCGCAGGCCAAACTCGTCCGCCGCGGGGCTACGCATACTGGGAACCTTATGGCGAGCGCAAGAGAGAACAAGAGGAGCTCTACCGCTCTTGAACCCGGAATCGACAAAGAGATGAGCGAGGACGTGAGGGCGTAATGGACCGAGAGCACGTCGGAGTCGATGGAGCAAGATCATAAGGGACCGGGCGGCGTGCGTAGGGTGAGGGCGCCACAAATTCAGACGGATCTACTTGTAGGGCGAGCAGCGCAGCCGTAGGTGTACACGGACAGCCTTAAGATCATAGCAGTCTACCGGACAGCGGGTGTCATGCAAGGAGAAAACAACTGTTTAATTCGCGTCAGCCTCCGACTGGATGTAAATAGCGACCTGCGCTGCCACATACCCGGAACAGACAGACCTATGTATGGCGTCATGCAGACCTGAGATTGCTGCCCTTGTAGAGCCCGTATGTGCGTCGCGAGAGGAAATTCAAAGAAACGCCGAGGTACAGAGCAATTGCGGGAGGACGCAGGTTAGAAGCAAGCGCTTGGTCGCGGTGGCAAGAGCATCTGCAGCGGCCGGCCCGGGCTCCTCCTCCTCCTTCCGCCCCATCCCTCTCCTGCTACATACATGTACATTGTGCTTTTGCATAGCTAATCCGACTGCTCTGCAGTGATAAGTGACTCGGACTTACCTGAACGACCGCTTTCGAGGCTCCTTTCACGCCCTGCGGTGTACGCTTGCTTCGCCGCGTTGCACAGTTCGCTGCTCGAGGACAACGGCCAAGCACATGGCGACCATGGTGGTTTCTCCGCCGAACATCATCAGCTTGTAGCAGAGTCATATGTAAATTGTGCGAGTCGGCCGGAGGAAGCGGGATAGCTTTTGGTGTATAGACGCGGACTGAACCGTCCGCGAAGGTGGTGGATTGAACCGTCCCTAGCCCTCGGGGACTGTCTCTCAAGGCGGGGGACACTTCCTAATGCGGAATATAACGTTGCGTAACCTGCGTCCCTTGCCCTCGGGGACTGTCCGTCGAGGCGGGGGACACTTCCTAATCCGGAATGTAATATCACGTAATCTTCGCCCGGCCCTCCGGGAAAGCGTCTGCTCTCTCCGTCCTCAATATAATGCCCCGTCCTGCTCCCCTCGTCGACGTCGCTGTTGGCTGTACGTTGCCGACGTGCTGCTCGACGTCGACGTGGCCGGCGCCCTTCCGCTCCCTGCCAGCGTGCGCTCGGTCTCCTCGGCCTCTTCCTTCCCGGCCCTCTCCTTCGTCTTCCGTCCTCTTTACATCGCCTACTTCGGTCCCTGCTTGCGCGACGCGGTCCTACAGCTCGACGCCGACCTCGCCGGCATCCTCTTGGCTCGCGTCAGACGCGTCTGCCCCTCTTGTCCTCTGTCCTCACCCCTTCTCGGTCGACGGCGGCCGTTCCCGTAAGTGCAATACCTCGTACTATTGATGATATTGGTGACGCTCGCGATGTGCTCATAAACAGGCCTTTCTCCGCCCATGAGGTCGCATACTGCAAAAGCGGTGGGTGATCGTTGATGATAGTGGTAAGCGTCGGTTGACATATCTAGACAGTATTGGCGTGTTCCACACCTACAACACGTTTCCGACACTGCTGCTGCCAACGCGGTGAGATGTCTCCCCCACCTCTTTCTCTCTCTCTACGTTGAGCTCACTCCACCATGAACAGCAATGTACCCCGTTTCCGCAGTCGATTGCAAGTACACATGCCAGACACCACACGCGCACCAGGTTCACGTTCAGTCAGCCGTCTGGTCGAGGCTGGGTCCAGCAGTGTGAAGAGGAAGAGAGCAGACGTACACCCACGAGAGGTTGCACCAGAGTCTTATGACTCTGCGAGGCCGAGTACGGCGGAGACGCAGGACAGGCCGCACCCGGGATTGGTGCCTGAACTGCAGGACGTCGCGATATCCGAGTCCGAACCGTTCGCGGGGCTCATGGATGTGGCGATGCCAGTCGCATACAGCGAGACTGTCGAAGGTGTGTCACCTGCAATGACTGGTCGATTGAGTGATTACTGACAGTTGGCAACCAGGACCTTCGTGCCCATTGATGACTATTGGTACGCACTGCGGATGATGTCCGGCATCTTCCGCCTCGAGAAGGCGCAGTACGTTCTGCAGGAGTGGGATCATAAGCTTGAGTCGTTGAAGGTAAGTCTCAATGACGTGGCAAAATATGATCTATGCTTATTGATGATAGATTGGGGCTTACTGCCACATCGTCTGCCTGCCACAAGGTCCAGGGAGCATAGGCTTGACGTGCACATGCACGCAATCGAAGGCGACGAATGACTGTCTGCATCGACACGTCGTTCGAGCCCATATCCGCGAGCTGGGGTCCTTACCAATCATCGCGCCATACCCTATTCCCCCTGCCGTTCTCCTGTGTCACACTGCATTCCGCGACATGTACATATTCTCCTGTATGTCCTCTACCGGTCGTTACGAGTCCGGGAAACGGGTCATCGTGTCCTTACAACGTGACGGTCGATGGTGGTGCCACGCGTGTGGCTATGTGGACACATGCAAGCACAAGCCACATGCAGTGAAGTTTGCGATCGATGCAGGCTATGTATCAGAAGACAACACAATGCTTGTGGATCCATACGGGAATCAGAGCGACATCGAAGGTGAACTACTGCTGGCAGCGGGTAGCCGTAACGCTCGCAAACATATGGCAGTGTCCTACATGCCAGTCGCACCGCCGCGGTGGGCTGCACTCCCGCATGAGGCCCCATACGTCCCAGTGTGCCCAGTTGCGAATCATGAATGCTACTTTCTGGACGACGCTGCGCGATGTTGTTGTGGCTTCTTGCTCACAGACTGGACACCGTTCGTTCCGAAGACTGGTGTCGTGCAGGACGCTGTACTCTTTGGGCTGATGTCACGTCGAGCCATCAAGATTGAAGTTCTTCGATGCCCTGTATGCGCCCACTCTCGCCGCTCGATCGGCCCAGATCTTGGTTGGATCGGAATCTTCAACTGGGACAACCGTTACCTCTTCACGCACGAGTTGTTGAATGCATACACCAATGCATTCACTGCGTCAGAGACACCCTTCTCCGCGTTTTGTGTCACAGGCATCAGGAAAGTGGCACCTTGCCTCAACGGCCTCAAACGGCCTCACCTGTCTAATTCGTACCTAATTTGTCTCATTGCCTCACAGATCTCTGACTTGGCTGGCTGTGATTTTGCATACTTACTGATTGACGATACAACTCACTGATCGACGACCCTCTCCTACGATATCAATACAATGGATGCATTACAGTAATATCTATGGCGACACACTAAGATACAATACCCTCGTTCCGGGCGCTGCTCAAAATCAGATCTGCGTTCGCCGCCGGTGTAGGCAGTTAGCTCATCGCGGGCATTCTGCACTTGGGCTCATTGTGCCTGTGCCTACCGCTCGTTCGTGAGTTGCTGCACCTTCACCCGCCGTGTCCGCCGTCTCGTAGGTGTGTCGTTTTCCACCAGAATGCCCATGCTCACCGTTATGCCGGCCCTTGCACTTCATATCCGTTTGCCTGGCGGGTCATGACCGTACGCGCAGGGGTGCCACGCTGCGCCGCGTCTTCAGCCGGTACACGCGGGTGGTGAACGGGTACGGGTCAATCGTGGGGTACAGTGGGTCGTGGCGGGTCGGTCGAACAGATGACAGCAGGTTACTTAACCTGCTGTCAAGTGCCAGGGCGGGCGAGTCGGCAAGCAGGTATGTGGGCAAGTAGGTGAGCAAGCGCACGAGCATGCGGGAAACCGAGAAAGTGGGCAAACGGGCAGGTTCTTGGTCGAGCAGGCCGGTCGGAGTGGGTGTATGGGCACGGGCAAACAGGGGAGCGAGGACATACCTTCGAGCGTTCATGCTTGGCCTTGTAGCCCTCACCGCGCCCTTCGTTCTGCTCCTACTCAGTCCAGCCCTTATCTGCGTCGGGGAACGCGAGCGGTATCTTGACAGATCACCGCATGTTGGCTTGAGGATGTTGCGGGGCAAGGCGGTCGCGTCGTGCGGGGAGGTCGTTATGGTGCGCGTACGCGGCTGGCGGATGCGCGTGACGCGCACATCGTCGGTCGCGCGGGCCATTCACCTCATTGACTGTATGGGTGGTTGCAAAGGGTCCCGGTGACTGACGAGGCAGAGAGCGACGTTGGCCGGCCATAAGCAGACAGCGCTGTTGCCCGGAGACCGTTGAATGTCTGCCCTGAACTACATTACAACTCCGACCTGGCTCCGACCGCCGGTGCTCCGAGTCAGCGCGCACGCGCGGCCTTGCTTCGCTGGCACTTACCCTCACATCACGCAGTCGCGGGCACCTCGTCTCCCAACATCGACGTGCAAGACAACCGACAAGCACATCAAACGTAAGGTTCGTGTACACAAGCGTGCAGCAAGCTGATGGCTGGTACCAGGGAGGGCACGACAATCAGTGAGGGCTTGGGCGGGCGAGCGAGCAGCGGGTGCGGGTACAGCCCTTGGGCATCCACCGCCTCTACGAAGAACACAACGGCAAGCATATGCGTGGTGTGCACGCCTTGTTCCCGAGACGTCAGATGTGAGTAGGTGGTGCCCCACACGTCCCGCGTCTGGTTAGCGGCAACTTAATATGTGAGTTTCGTTTCGTGATTCGTTATCCTGTATATGCATCTGACCGGGAGCTTTGCGTGAAGTACAGAGTGTGGGGGCATCAGAACTTCGGCGATTTCACTGACGGGCCGTGACGGGCGCTGACGCTTGCTGAAATCCCGGTTTCACATAACGTCAGCGTATCAGACATCAGCAACACTGGGCGGATTTCAGCAAGCTGATCGAAATGCAGCGATCGTGCCGTTAGAATCTCGTTAGATAGCTCACAGCCGTAACGGCACCGTTAGCACGTTAGCACGTCAGCACATCAGCATGACATTTCTACAGTCCGTCTCGACAAATATATTGACTACTTATGATACAATCTATGTTCGTGCAATACTATGCATGTACATAGACTCGTCTAATGCTGGCGGCGCTCATCGGCGCCCACACTCGCCACCACTCGTATGCACCTACTCCCGCTCATGCGTGCTCATCGTCTGCTTGCCTCCACTCGTCCCCGCGGGCACCTGTTCGTCCGTGTCCGCACCCGTTGCTCACTCCCTCCCACTCCCATTTGCCCTTGTCCGTCCGCGCTCGGTATACTCGTGGGGCATGTTTGCGTGTCGGGCTGTTGTCCGTCCTGCTCATGGTCGGCGTGCCTGCTCGTCCGTGCATCAATCCGCGCCTTGGTGTCTGCGACCTCCGCAGGGCTTGGTCTTGTTCAGGCCCACTGTGCGCTCGTGGTCATCGTGCGTGCCCACTCGCCGTTCATCATACCCGCGGCCGGCATGGTTTGTAACGTGCCCATCTGCCCCATATTTGCCCCTAGCGTCCCATTCCCACCTTCAGCTGAACTCCGTTTCTCCGAGGCGTGCGCACCCAACCGTCAACTGTATCAGCACACTCAGTACGCTCTGTGGCTTGGGCCGTTCTCGCAAGTTGCAGTGGTGGAGCGCCGTCGGATGGGGTTGACCAACAAGCTCTTGAACTCTTCGAGAGATCCGCTCTCCCTCCATCGAAAAGGAGTTTGTCAGTAGCGTGATTTTATACAGAGCGGAGCCGACTGACTATTGCTCGAGCTCAACGACGGCGGGCCCTTCACAGTATGCCCCACTCCTGGTGGCATCTCACCCGCTTGCTGCAGCCGCGCTCCTCGTGTGGTGCGGCCGGTCCTCGCCCATCGGCAGCGCAGACACGGGTGTCGGCGGGTAGCTTCGTGCTTCAGGCCGACGCGTCTCGGATAAGTGCGACGTTGGTTGATGCCGGAAGGGGATAGGCAAGAGGCGGGAAGGGACAGGATAAGGTCGACGAGCCGGACTGAGGGGAGACGCGCCTGCTGTTACCGTTGATGCTGCCGACGTGGCTGCGTTTCATCTCGACATCGCAGTCGTCGGGGCCGGGGGTAAGCGGCTGGCCCTTGCCAGGCAGTCATTTTTGTCGAGCGTCGGTGCGTTGGGTGCGGTGATCCTCGTCAGGGGAAGCCGGGCAGCTGTGAGACGGCGGGACTTGACGCGTCGAGTGGCCTTTGGGCTGTGGTACAGCAGTTGGATTTGGAGCTTGAAGCGCGAGCGCGAGGGGACGGGAAGAACGTGTGCGTGTGGGGCTTGTACTTGAATGAAATCGGACAGGTGGGGATACACGCGAACGAGTAGTAGGACGTGGATACTGAGTAACTTAGGACGCGCACGAGGCTTACCTTGCCGACACCGAAGTCGCCGATGAGGAGAAGCTTGAAGAGGTAGTCGTACTCGCTAATATGCATGGCGGTGAGGTCGATTGGGCGCAGGCGAGGGAGGGCAGGATGCTGTCGAGAGGGCGGCGGATGTGCGGTAGAGGTTCAAGTGCGCTAAGTGCTAAGTGCTAAGCGCCTGAGCCACGACACGCCGTGCGCGCTTGCCACCCTTCCACACTCTCGTCGACCTCGTCCGCCTCCTTCGTCACCGATGAACCACTCGACCAGCGGCGCTGTAGACATCAGGAAAAACACTTCTAACTTCAGCAGTCTTGAATGAAGAGCACCTAATCTTATTCAATCTTTCATAACTTGTGTTCCTCAATTAAGTGCACTATGTGCATGAAGACCGCTGAAGTGAACTATAGCACCTTTGAGAAATTTGTCTTGTCCCCAAGTTGGAGGATATGCAACTTCAGTACTACAGATTAAGATGCATAAGTACACATTAGTTGGCAAATGACCTCTTAACTAATAAATATGCATGATGAGATGTCAGATTGCTCAATGTGGTCAAAGTCATATTGTCAAGGATTTGGACATATTTGGCCTGTTAAGGGTGAAAGACAGAAAAAGAACATTTAAGCATACAAAGTGAGACAAGAAGCCTGGCCTTGAGCAAATTGTGAGTCTACACAAGGTCTGCAAGGCAACAGATAGTGCCAAGAAGAAATGAGGCCAGTCTGAGAGCCCAGGGATGCACAGGGGCTGGGCTAACAGGGGGCAGCAATTGCAGATTTCTCTAAGTCCAGAAAGATAGTCAATATAGGTTATTGTGCAAGGGAACAAGCACAGGGACCTATGGTGTAGTGGTCAGAAGTTTGTGCTGAGAGTGTGAGAAATTAGCGTAGCAGGTCAGGGGTTCAATTCCGGGAAATGGCAGATCATTTTGGGCAACATTTTTGCATCTGGGATGCCTGTTATGACAGCATATGCACAAACACAGCAGAATCATGAGAGAAGTTACCCCAGTAAGGATGAAAAAACATTATTCTTGCTTGGAATGAGTGTTTACTTTGGTTACTTAATGGAACTTAAGTAAGACAATTTAAGAAATCGACTTACCTTAAGGCTCTTGTGGCACATAGTGACACATAATGTCACTTTTGGCTCTCCACAAGACCACTTAAGACACGAACATTTTTCCTGATGGAGCGGCATCATCGGGCTCGCTCTTCCCGCCAGCTCGTCCATCTACCTGAAGCGCGACTCTCAGCCCTTGTTTCTCGCGCTGACGACCCTCCTCAAAAATTTCCTCACCTGGACTGCCTCCTGACGTGTTAAGCCCCCGCCACCCTAAGGCTGCACGCGAGGTTGTACGACCCCTCCGCACATCTCACAGCTGTCCGGCCCCTGCTGACACGTCAAACGAAGGTCGCGGCGCCCACGCCAGCATACAACGTGGACAGACGAACCGTCGGCCATGTGACACGCGAACAACGGGTACACGCCGACGTACAATGCGAGGTCGCGCGAGCATTGGCAAGCCCGGATGCGTACACATCACAGGCACTCCGAAGAGACGGGGCCCGTCGCGAATGCGAACAATCGCGGGGACTCGGGCGCACAAAGCACCGGCTCATGTTCGACGAGCAGGGCAGGAAGCCAGAGGGAGGGTGAGGCTGAACAACAACGGTAAGCACCCTTAGGGCCCTCTTCATCACCCTCTCTCCCCTGCACGTATTGTGTGCACGTTTACCCTACTGACGTGCTCTCGCCTACGCGCAGCTCGCATGCTGACACGCCGACACTTCGCAGCCCTGCACCTGCGCCGCACCCCCGCCACTCGCCCGATCCGCCGCTCCAAGATCCTACAACACCCCTGTACGTCTCGCGATCATCCCGTCATCCCGAGTGCCCCGCGCAAAGACCGTCTTAGCGGGCTACACCGACTCGAGTAGGACGTGTCCTCTTGTGCAGAGCATGTCTGCCAACTCCCTCCCTCCACGCTAAAGCCGTGAGGCTCACTACACAAGCCCACGCTCCGTACTACGACCGACCAACACGCGCTGTCACCCTGCGCGAAGACGACAAAGCCCGCCGGATGTACTATTGCTAGGTGCTCGAGTTGCGCGCAAGTCGTGCAGGTTAGGTAAGCACGCCTGTCTGTCTACCCTCGGCGCCCCTTCCTCCACCTCTGCACGCGCATTACGCCCGTCTGACCCTATTTGCCTTGCCTGCAGTGCATATCTCACAACTACTCAGCTCACTGATGCAACTTGGCCAAGCAAAGACCGTGTCAGCTGCGCCCACATCGAACGCGAAGACGGACTAACAGTCAGCATTGCAACACAAGACAAACAGGCCCACGCATACGTAGTACAGCACGACGACCCACCCGCTGACACCGTCTCGCCAGGCTCGTACACCTGCTCATCTGCCCATCCACCCGCGGACGGGCCCATGGACCTGTAGCACCTGCTCGTGACCCATACCCACTGCGGAGGGTCTGTACCCGGATGGACCATATGAACACTAAGGATACAGTAGCTACGAAACTACAATAATGTCGACGTACACTGCATATTATTAAATCAGCCGTCGTATGAATTTATCCATTAGTGGTCAGAATGTCAGTCATCAGTGCGTCAGCACGTCAGCAATGAGCACAAATTCTATCTGATGTGTGAACTGTCTGACGGCCACGTTAAATGCTAACGGTATCTGACGATTTGGCGTTACATACCGTCAGCATATCAGCAACCGTTAGAACCCGTCAGTGAAATCGCCCTTTTCCTGATGGGGTTCCAACACTATGGCGAAAGTGCGCATATGATTTTGTATATGGTCTGTTCATGCCCCTGCTTTCGTCCTGATTCTGACTCAGTGTGTAGGGGCCTGTTTATCAACAAGTGCATCTTTATCAATGTCGATGCATCGTGCTCGTTGGGCTGGGTGGTGAGTGAGTTCAATAGGCTGGGCTCGAGGTGAAAATTATTGACGTGTTCGGTGTGTACTACAGCGCGACAATCTGGCACTAGTACAAGAACTGGCCCGCAAACAAGGACGACGTTGTTGCGGTGACTGGTGTGTGGCCCCAATGTGTTCTAAACGTGTCGGAGACGCTGATCAGCATTGCACAGTTGATACTCATGACGATTGAGCAGCAGCGGACAGCATGTGGAGATGACAGGGCATGAGTGCGCATCGGGCGACATCATGGGATGTGGATGCCCTCACGGAGCTCGCAAATAGGGTTGCTGACTGCATCTCGGAGTGGTACCGAGCGAGGAATTAGGACTGCTGTCGTAGGATACAGCTCAATTGAATATATTTGTTATTTCGTTGCACTGTCTTCCGGCTCACCTAAGTACCTCATGTGTCTATGTGCCCTATGAGCCTCATTGCCTCATCACGTCTCAGATGAGAGATAATCTACTCAAATGAGACTTGAATGAGGCAGCCTGTCTCAGACTGTCTAATTGCCTCATTGCCTCGATGAGGCAAAATAGGCAGGTGGTGCACATTCCTGATGAGTCCAGCGGAGCTATGAAGACGCGAGCCTTGGTCTACAGTCAAAGGACACGTTGTTCTGTACGAACGAGACATTCGTTCAGGTCTGGTTCGCATTCACTCGCCTCCAGCTGCTTGACAGTGGCATGCAATGTCCGACCTGCGGTCCATCACCGAAAATCATCATAGCTGATGGTGTCAGTCTTGCGACCCATGTATCCAAGCTCACAGCATCCGTGAGGCCCCCAACATTCACTGATGGGACAAGTGAAGTGGTTGAGTCTATATCCTCGTATAAGGCTCGCTCGCTCCCAGCAATTGTACAAAAGGATCACCGTAACCTCGTCAATAAAGTCCTGGATTCCGGTGCAGCAAAAGGCCTGCTTGTCGATGATCTTCCAGACTTGTCGGGCCTAGCCAGTGACTACCCTGCCATGACTGCATTGTTACGCCTGATTCTGAATCCCGGGCCTGAAGTTGAGCCACACATCTGTAACGCATATCGGGAGCTTGCTCGACAGGTATGTATCCATATGGCAAGCATTCATGAATGAATACTCAGATTGTTGATTGGGCATTAGATAGCGGCGCCAGACATCGTCCTCCAGCTTGTGCCACACAAGGCTATAGCTCTGTTGCACCAGCTCGCGTCAGAGGGCCATACCGTGGACTGGTTTCAGAGCCTCTGTCCTGTCATCGGGAGGATTGTTGAATTCCATCAGAGAGATAGCTCGATTATCCCAGTGCCTGTCATCGACGTCCTGGCTTGGCTAGCCAATCGTGCTGAGGAAGTCTACAATCGCCTTGCACAGCATGATCCAGCCCCGACGTTTGACCGTGACGCTCCCGTGACGGGACCACAAGCATCGTGGACAGAGACAGGCACCTGCTATGGTCTTCCGGCTGTCCGGTCACGCCGTGTTTACTCAAAACTTCGACATGATACTCAGGCGACAGACTTGGACCCTGACGAGATGGGCGACTGCAACAAGTTCTACAAGACGTACTCGCGCAATAACCTCACTGGTGGAATCCTTGTCCTATGGTGTACGCATTCGGTCTGTATTGGATTTCACACAATTCCAATTGCAGAAGGCCGTAACGACGTGTTCTCTGCAATCTACACACACTTCCCACAAGCTCCGGATATCATCATTTACGACTTCGCATGTCAACTTGCACCATATTGCCTGGTTCGGGAGGCTCGATACTTCGCAAACACGCGGTTCCTAATTGACGAATTGCATGCACATGATCATACAAGGTGTGGACGGGCCTGCTTCGCAAGTAACACCATGCAATACGATGATCGTGTCCGTGCTGTGAATACTAGCGCCGCAGAATGCGGAAACAAGGGTATTGGTCGCATTCGGAAGAGTGTCAGTTACATGGGCTTCGAACACGCTGTTACCTACACAAAGGTCTTTCTTGACGTCTGGAACCGCATGGTGCTTCATCGTATTGCACGTACTGCATAGTAGCTTCTAGACTGTACAGTGATACACATATACTACGGATTGTGTGTCTGTGTACGCAACCGTTCAATCTCTAAGTTGGCTGCTGCTAAGTCCGCCTCTGCCCTCATTCGCCGCTCAACTTCTACCTCAATATTGACGTTACGTGCCGCCAACACACCCTCCTGCGCTCTTTGTTGTACAGCGTTGATAACGCTATCATGGAACGTATCAAGTACCTTTCGACCACCAAGTATTTGTGCTAAGTTTTCTGAGCAGAAAATCTTTGCCTTACCGTTCTGCGTACAGACGGATTCTGGTCTGCGCCGAAACAATGAATACAAAAGCATTAGTAATCACCACTTGACGTACCGTGAGCAGTAGTAGAATTGGAATGGTTGTCCAACCGTGTCGAGGCTGTGAATCTGGTGATTCAACGTCAGGATTGGCGACATGTCATTGAGGCTGTGCGCAGGATAAGTATCTGACCTTCTTCATGATATTACTTGTACGCTGACTGCATGTCTTCGCGCGCTTCCGATTGTTCTCTACGTACTTCTCTGTCTTCTTCTTACGCTTCCTCAAGGCCATAACTGTAAAGATACCTTCATATTTGTCCAACATTCAGAGAAGTCAAGAGGTACTTACGAGCTGTTGTCCCACTGATCTCGTCGTCACTGCTGCTGGTATCATCCTCAGAGCCTGCTGCGACTGCGCTGTCTTCGGAGACCTCTACAGGCAACTTGTTGGCTGGCTCAGGTTGAGATCCGTGTAGGACACCTTGTGACGCCAGGGTGGGTACAATAGATGCCGCAGTGGCATTATACTGGATTGTTAGCGTAGACATGTCTGTCGGCCCGGGAATATTAACATTAGGGTATGTTACATCATTATTCTGTAGGCGACAAGGGCATTAGCTCTGCAATGCAGATAGCAGTTGTGGACGTACAACAGGATCCACGTTTGGATGATTAGGTTCGTTCTGTGCTAAGGAAAGTAACGTCTGAAGGAATTCGTCGGAGTCCACAAGATCAAACTCAGAGACCCCGTATGAAGTTGAGTCTATCACTGAGCATGAGATGATGCCAGGGTGGGGATCTCATGATGGACGTACCAGGGACCTCTGCAGTGACATCTGGTACGATGTAACCGTTTTGGACGGCGGGATCGAGCACGACCAGGTCCATCGACAGCCAGTCATGGAGATCCGAGTCCGCGGGTAGCCCGTAAACACTGCCACCGAAATCCGGGGGCGGCAACGGAGGTCCAAACATACCTGGACGGACAGGGACTGGAAGACCACTCCCCGGCAATGCAGGAACGTCGAGCTGAGGCTCGATACGTGGTGGATCAGTGACGTCAGGTGACATACGGTGGGCCGCTGCGTCTAGCATCGACAGCGATGGTGCTCTTTGAGAATCCACGACCTGTGCACCAATGAGATCTCCATTCAACATCATTTGTCTGAAACGTACCGTGCGTGACTTCCGGTACGGACAAATGTGTCCCTTGCGATATACGGTGCTGCCGGTCGTGTTTGTACAACGAAGACAACGATTGGCTCTTGGGCCACTGCTCTCGACTGAAATTCTTGGTCAGCACTGCGATGAGCTCCGTAGATGTGAGGGAGACGTACCTATACCAGGAGTGGACATATCAATTGTAGAGGTATGGGATACGACGGTGAGTAGGTTATGTTGGAAAATGAATGAAAGGTCTATAGGCACGGAAGAGCACGCAGGCGTGCGAAGAGATTGGATGGAACAAATGGGTGTTCAAACGCCACGAAGGTAAGCCGCGCAATGGGAAACACTGGGTGACTCGCTGGGTACACCGGAAATGCGACCAAATAGTAGTGATCCTTGTCACTGTCGATGGGAAGGGTACAAATGAGCGCCGGAAGGGTCTGACGCGAGCCAAGAGGATGCCGGCGAGGTCGGCGTCGAGCTGTAGGACCGCGTCGCGCAAGCAGGGACCGAAGTAGGCGATGTAAAGAGGACGGAAGACGAAGGAGAGGGCCGGGAAGGAAGAGGCCGAGGAGACCGAGCGCACGCTGGCAGGGAGCGGAAGGGCGCCGGCCACGTCGACGTCGAGCAGCACGTCGGCAACGTACAGCCAACAGCGACGTCGACGAGGGGAGCAGGACGGGGCATTATATTGAGGACGGAGAGAGCAGACGCTTTCCCGGAGGGCCGGGCGAAGATTACGTGATATTACATTCCGGATTAGGAAGTGTCCCCCGCCTCGACGGACAGTCCCCGAGGGCAAGGGACGCAGGTTACGCAACGTTATATTCCGCATTAGGAAGTGTCCCCCGCCTTGAGAGACAGTCCCCGAGGGCTAGGGACGGTTCAATCCACCACCTTCGCGGACGGTTCAGTCCGCGTCTATACACCAAAAGCTATCCCGCGTAAGTCGGGTGCGTCTTGCAAGATGACGGCTTGGATCAACTGAATGGCGCACCTTGAGAGTGGACACCAGGTAAGTACCATCATCGTCTTTCCGAGAATAGCCATCGTCCTGAAGGCCGTTGTCCCGCATATGGCTCCCAGGTGCCCGCAGCTCAGGCTCCGTTCAGTATGAGCGCCAACTTGTCTCCCGTAGGCAGACTCTGAACACGACCGTTCTGAGAGGGAGGACAGTAGTATATGACGTGCCAACCGCTTCGTCTATGGGTACTGGAAGGACGACTTGTACGTACTCTGACCTAATCCGCGTCACACTCAGCTTACTCCGGACGAATAGGTTCACGACTACGATCGTATGGTGAGTGGTTGTACGCACGAGAGCTGGTTCGGGCCGCAAATGCAGCCCTGACAGACTGAACATCAACATCGGCCCTCCGTACGAGTCCTCGTCAGGACGCTCAGGCCCACTCCCCGAGAAGCAGCTAATGACGACGTGTCTGACGACGGGTCCCCGCGTTCGCGACATGGTACGTTCCGACTCGGTCGCTCAACACCTCTCGCTCATGTTGCAAAGTCTCGGACGACAGGTCCTCGCATCCCGGCTCGAGCACGTGAAGTTCAAGAGCGCAACCTGATGTTCACGTTCGTTTCATGACTAGAGGCATCTGCTTTCGTACTGAAATCGCTATCAGATTGGAACATCGCAATCTGGAGGCTACGCCGTTCTCGCGGCATCTCTTCAATACAAGTCTCGCGTCTGAACGTACATAAGTATGCTCGTAAAGGAGGGCGAGCGGTATCGCGTAATCAAGGTCAAGATCTTCCATGTTTCCACCACAGCATCATCTCGATCGGGGTCTATATACACATGTGTATGCGTTGTAATGTAAGCACCTCCACATCAGCCCATTCAGCCGAATACGCCAATTTGCAGTCCTTCATAGCGGCAGGGCCGAGTCCTCAGACATAGCACACACCATCTGCAGAGTCATATCGCATGAGAGCTGTCCAGGTGCAAATACTACTGCAGGACTTACCATGTCTGCAACTTCACGCCGAACTCCAACATTCTGTCCACGTCGAGCCATGTGCGAACTGGCGGAGGTCGAGACGAACGGGATGCATGCCCATGACTGCAGTCATGCGAGGCCACGACAAGCCAGTGCGATATTCAGGGGGGGTCCAAAGAAAGAGCTCTTCCTGAGGGCCGATGATCCATCCGTTGTATGACATATCGAACCCCGCACCATGCGACTCCCAGAGATCGATGAGGGAGGGTGAGTCGGATCCAGTCACGATCTGGGGTGCATGCGATGCCCCAACGGTCACGTCCCAGATACGGATACTTTTGTCGCGTCCACAGGTTGCGATGTGCCGAGCGTCCGGCGAGAATGCGACTGACCACACTGTACGTGTGTGTCCTCTGAGAGGCGGTAGGACCAGATCACCCGTCTGAACATCCCAGACGCGAACCGCATCGTCCCACGACGCGGACGCGACGTGCTTCCCGTTCGGCGAGAACGCGAGTGACGTGACTACGCCTGTGTGTTCCATACATGACTGCTCGATATGGGTTTGGGGATTCCAAATGCGAACATTACGATGCTCCGAGCGGGAGTCTGGATACGCAAGGAGCTTGCCATCGGGTGACAACGCGACGCTCCCCCCACGCCACTTGTCTACCTCGAGCGGCGGCGCAAACCGGGTACCAGTGTCTGTCTCCCAAACCTGAATGGTGGCATCGTTGAAGCAGACTGCAATGAACCTGCCATCCAGCGAGAACGTGGCGGATTTCAACACGCGATAGTCGGCTTGGGCATCTCCCTCGTAGGGAGCTGACAAGGACATGTCGATGTCCACGACGTGGGCGCACGTCGCCGATTCGACAATCTCAATGGACGACTCCTCCTGCCTCTCCAACCCAAGTGCGATCCGCTTTCCGTCCGGCGAGAGCGCGCATGCACGGCCATCCTTTCCCCAGTATCCCTTGTGTGACCATTCACCAGGGTTGATCGCCGCCTCCACGTCCCACACATTGATTGCAGGGCCACGATGCACACCCGTCCGAGTTGAACAAGATACCAGATTGGTCTTGTTGTCATCCACCAAGAATGCGATGGCTACTGGCCAGCAGCCACAGTCGTGACCTAGTCCCAGCAGCGGCTCTCCGACTGCAGCGCCCGTATGTGCATCCCAGATACAAACAGTTCCGTCTCGCGATGCAGATGCAAGCTGTCTGCCGTTCGGCGAGAACGCGACCACCTCCACGCCGACGTCAATGTGCCCGGACCGCTCGCCAATTGGATTCGTGTGCCCCGTAGTATTCTGGGCTGCATCCCAGATACAGATGTCCCCGTTAGACGAGGTGGATGCAAGGAGGTGACCATCCAGCGAGAAGACGACCGATTCGACGGAGGCTGTATGTCCCTTCAGAACCCGATGACCGGCAAGTCTGCCATGCTCGAAGGACCAGACGCGGACCGTGGTATCAAACGACCCGGACGCAATGAACTTGCCATCCAGCGAGAATGCGAGCGAGCATACTGTCATTGTGTGTCCATTGAGCGGCTGTCCGATTGCATCACCAGTCTCCGCGTCCCTGGCATGGATAGCACCCCCGAGTTCCCCGTACACAACGAATGCGCTGTCTGGTGAGAAGACGGCTGAATTCACGTCTGCGAATTCTTCTACAATTGCAGCGCCAGTCTCTGCGTCCCACAAGGTCAACTTTCCAAGGCCAAGATTGTCACGGGGATATGTCGCAGCGATGCGCTTGTAATCGGGCGCGAATGCAATCAATGAAAGCCCGCCTTTGAGCGCCGATCCTGCCAGTTCAAGCGGTTGGCCGATGGGGTCACCCGTGGCTGCGTCCCATTTACAAATGACAAAGTCACGGCCTTCCGCCATTGTGATACCGGCTGCGGCGACGCACTTGCCATCGGGCGAGAACACAACCAAGCTTACGGATGTGGCATCCGTAGGTACTTTGAGCGACCGTCCAATGGGGTGATCCAATGTAGTGTCCCAGACACAGCCAGTACTCTCGGACCAGGATACAGCGCGAGATCCGTCCGGTGAGAGCGCGAGGCGAGAATGCGGAATGTCAGGTCCCTGCTGCGGCTGGCCAATTGACTCCCCTGTCCTTGCATCCCAGCGGCAGACGTCGCAATCTGCGGCAGACACGATGCACCTGCTGTCAGCTGAGAAGGCTAGTGCTCGATGGTATTGCATATGTAATGTCCGGGAATGCTCGTGTATGTCAAGGAGGGGCAACGGTGTGAGCTGTCGTGCAGTATCCACCTTCAGTCGACGCTCGAGCAGACCGAGATATGCTTGACCGATCTCCGACTCCGGAGGTGTGAACGCGAGAGCCGAGATGTATATGTGTGGGACGCTGTGGAGAATCGGTCTCCGGAAACGAATGAGGAAGTCATACGCATCCTGCAAAATTCGCAGACATCGTGCCAACACGTCCGTGCTGTCCGCGTTTGGTTCGGTTTGCTGGGTGTGGGCTCAGCATGTATCCGCGCAGAAGTATGAAAATGGACACGCCTTGTCCCGGAGCCAGACCTCCAACCTCTTGACCAGTAACGACGCTACCTTTGCGTGATCACAGACACTCAGCACCTCCAGCCAGTATAGGAACTGCTTTCCAAAGAAAGCACAGACATCTTGAGTCGCTTGTTCCTCCGAGATGGACGACATGGTCAGGTGTTCGATCCAGAATCGACACGCGTAAACAAGATACGAAGGGAGGTCTTGACGCGACGGCTGCTTTGCATTGCTAGCGTACGATGTGCCACAACCCGACACGTTGAAGCGAAGGCTAGAGTTCATGATCTCGAAACACCCGAGGAAGAGGTCGCGATGCGTCGCTCCGGTGTCTGCAGCCCATCGCTTCGATCCAGACCGTGTGCGCGTAATGAGATAGTCGGCGAAGGAAGCATGATATGTCGTCACTGGGAGATCGTCACGGTCGGGGACGCTGATGACGGAATGCAAAGCGACCAGTGCACAGCGGACGTATTCAGGGTCAGTGAGGCGTAGCAAGTGCGCGACCTCGGTGACAGAGAGGGGATTGCGCGCGCAGAGGACGGCGTGTAAGCACCGCAGAACCATCTCCGCCTCGGTGCCCTCCGCCTCTAAAGCCTGCTCGAGGATGTATTCGTACATCTTATCGATACCAGTGGGGGCGTTCGCACGTGAGGAGATGAGTATTTGGAGCCGCCTTCCCTGAGGCACTGATACGTTACGCGCTTTGATGTATTTGCATGCGGTGGCCGCGTAGATGAACAGGCCTTCAGAACGATCCGCAAGAGCGCTGATATCCTCTCTGAATGCCCCAACGGTGTCGAGTTCTGCTGTCAGATATCCTCGGATGTCGGCGTCGACGACGTGGCGGTCGATGTCATGAAGCCGCACATGCTTGCGCGAGTCCGAGTCGGGAGGCCCAAACATGTCCCTTAGGCCATCCTCCGGTCGGCTGGTTACGAAGAACTTGAGATGCAGCTGAGGCGCCTGGTCTACGATGATATCCAGGAGATCGTGCGGTGTAGGACCGTTATTGCTGCGAGGCCACTCCAGTTCGTCGACAGCATCGATGACAACGACCGGCGCCGTGTCTGCTGTGGTAAATGCGACCTCGGCGGGTTTAGCGATCAGGACACGGAACTGTTCCTTGATCACAGCTTTCGCGGCATCTGGGTCTTTCTCAAGAGCCTTAGCGACTTCGGCGGCGAATGCGGGTGAATGCTGTGATAGGGTGTATGCAAGTGTGGGGAAGATGGACTTTACATCCCGCTGCCCAGCCTTCCCGCCGCGAGAACAAAAATAGCTGCCTCCGAGGCGGCCTCCTTCCTCCAGCGCAGCGCACACGGTCTTTGCGACGGTGCTCTTGCCTGTTCCGGCTGCTCCGTTCAGGATGAATATCGGTCGTGCATCCGTGTCTTTGCCTTGCCTGTATGCTGCCCACGCACAGATATCGTCCAGCAGTTGAATGCGTGTTTCCTTCGTGCAGGAAGGGATATCAACTGCACTGTGACGCGCGGATACGATCGCGTCGAGTTGCTTCATGAGAACTGCAAGAAGGCATGGGTCAGAGCACGCTGAAGTGAACAGGTATGTAGTTACTGACAGCTCTGACGCTGATCTCGCAGAAGCTTGACCTGCTTCACATGAGCCGACACCTGTATTTTCGCTTAGCAAGTCATGGGCATATGATGTGAGTGAGCTTACGAGGAAAAGCTCTATGGCAGAGTCCACATCACGAAGCTGATCTACGACCGCCTGTTTGTCGGCTGGCGCAAGCACTATGCGTTTAACAATCTTGCGGTCCTGTTTCTTCTGTACGATTTTCTTCACTCCGTCGAGTGTTCTGTAGGTATCTGTTGAGCCAATCATAACACTTATACACGTTCTGTGCTACGTACTCCGCGACCTTGTCAAGATACTTCGTCATCTCGTCTTGACTGCCTGAGGGTAGAGAGTCCATAGACCGATATACTTCAACCATCTCCGCCATGAGGGTAACCTTGTTTGCAATGTGCTCGAAGCTTTCATCCACGTCAACGACCGTCTGATCAAGTAAAGTCAGCGCATGCTGTGGTCTCTACTCCCTGCTGGCGTACCTCGACCCATTCGAGGATTCCCAGCAGACCTCCCACAGCTAGCTTGAGAGGGGTAAATACATCGGCGACCTTCTCCGTGATCTGCAGTGCGCTTTTGAAGATGGCTAGGCCTGCCATCATCCTACTGGGGGACTCAGACGGTGCAGTAGGTTCAACGCCGTCGCCTGGATCGGCAGCCTGGTCGCGTGAGCTGAGAGCATCAGATTCGGAGGTGCCCGCTAGGAAGCGGGCGTCCGGATGCCCGGGCAGCGAGTCTGCTTGCGAGCGCACTGCCTGCAAGGTGGATGTTCTCCGAGTTGAAGATAGGCTTCGCGACCTCGGTATTTGCAGGGAGGGCGAGGAATGCGGCCAGTCCAGGAGAGATGTGAGACGATGAGATCCCTCTGCCATCGAAGCCGGACTCGCAGGTCGCGGGGCTTGCGCGGGCGTAGAGGACTGATGTCGACGGAACACATCGAAAAAGCGCTTCTTTCGGCCATTACGCCTCTCAGTCATGGTGGTTGAGATGGCAAAGCGAAACTGCACAGGAGAGGCAAAGGCGACGACGAGAGTCAGAGGAAGACCTGCGCGGGGACTTCGAGGATGGTACGTGCTGATAACGACTTGTGAGCACAGATTAAAATCAAATACAGTACATGAGTGCTTCCGAGGACACAGAACACGAGACTTAGAACGCGTGGTGCGAAGTCCGCTGCCCATGCGATGTGGATTGGCGAGCAACACCAAGGCAGTACTCACCAGCGAGGTACAGGTGAGCGGTGTTCTCTTGTACTCGACACTCGGTACAGTGGCACGCGCACACGAACACAAAAATTGAAGAAACCAGCAAGCGTCTAGGAACAAAAGTGCAGACGCTCCAACATCAATCTGGCATTGTAGACGCCGAGCAGACCAATCGCCGTTCCTAGTAGATGCACGGTCGCGCGCCGTAGGCCGCACGGCTGGGAGAAAGCTCCCACTGCGGGAGTAACGTGAAAACAGCCGAAATGCCTCCTCCATGCAGCACTCAGTACGCCGCCTCCCATCCCCGGCGCACATACACGCAAGCGGCATGAACTCACCTAGATACCGCCGGCCGAGCGTACCCAACTCTCCCTTGTGTTTCGCGTTTGGTCTACCAGGCGACGGCGTGCTCGTACACAGGTTTCGTCTTATTCTTCGCCGCGCAGCTGTCTGCTCAGCTGTTAATCACCCCCTGATCAGGCCATGAGGACAAGTCCATGAACATGTGGGTCAGCACGGACTACGACTCCGCGTCCGTGAAGGGCTCTCCGAGGTAGGCCGCCAAGTAGGGTGTGACGACTGTCTCGGGCTCGGTCCCGTTCGTGAGGATGCCTTCCATGGTCAGGTTGTCCAGGTCAGGAAACACCGGGCCCGCGAGGTCGCCGAATCGCTGCGAGTAGTTGCCCACGCTGAATCGGTAGCTGCTGAACACGCTGTTCACGCGCACGCCGTGGTCGAGGGAGTTCCGCGAGACGGTGTCGGCGATGTAGTCCACGTACGAGCACGCGGGGAGGCCTTCGATGCTTGCGACGCGTGCGCCCGCAAGCCGAGCCCAGGCGAAGCCGAGCGAGGCGTAGTAGCCAGTGTACTCCGTGCCGCGGAGGAGATGAAGTCTACAAAACCGGGGACGATGTTACTGTAGACGTCTTGAGTGCCTCGACTTCGAGGGAGATCACCGGCGCGGGGAGTAGGTTCTGGAATGTCTCCCAGTAGCAGTACATGTATAGGCTCTTGTGACCGTCATTCAGAATGTTAACCATATCGAGGAGGTCCTCGTTGAAAGCAAAGTCAGACTTTCATGCAGAACATTAGACATGTTAACGTCGCAGATGACGTAAGACTTACCGCGTAGCCTGTGCTCTTAATCCTCACCAAGTCGTCGCGGATGTGCACCGCTGGCTGAACAAACTAGCGCAGGAGGGCCAAATAATAGCGGGCCAAGGTGTAGAAATCGAACACATCCTGGCGCAGATTCCCGTTGAACGGGAAGTAGGGCAGACAAACGCTTGCGTCGCACAGGTTTGCCCATCGATCTTTGCGCATGAGTCTTGGACGCGGGCCTCGTACGAGGAAGCCGCGGGGCTTCCCAGAAGTGCAGATGCTGTAGCAAGAAGCGCGAGATCCGTCATTACGGAGCGCATCGTGCGAGGACGAGGATGGGCGAGTCCGGTACGGGAGAGCCTGAGGATGAGTCGTTGCCATCGCTTGATGCGCACGAGGAGAGTGCGAGCGTGGCCACCAAGGCTTGAGCAAGGCACTTGTAGCATCGCACCGAAGGCGGGCGAGGAGCGGGGCCGTCCAACAGCATGTACAAGCGCACACAAACTGGGCGGCAGCGTCCACGGCGAGCAACACACGGTCACGTGTGCGCGTCCCCGACGTCCAACGTCCAACGCACGCACCACGCCCGCCATCCCGATCGCACCCCGTCGCATACGTCAGCTGCTGTCATGCTGCGCCGCCCCACGACCCACCTGCGCGACGACCATGGCAGCGAACCTCCGACGTCGCGTCAGCCGACGCATCGAGCGACCGCATCCCCTCCCGAGTCTGCAGTCGACCTCAAGGGCACCACTGGCACGACAGGCCCGGAAGAATAGGGGGCGCGCGATGCACTCTGGGCATGTATGGTATAGAGGAATACGGCGTGGTATGCAGTACATGCGGAAGGACCGCTGCCTCGCGAGGTTGCGCAAGGACTTGGATCGTGCAGGTACGCGGCCGTGCAGTGTTCATTACATTGGCGCGTAACATACAGCCAGTGTCCCAAGACTGGTATACAGGAACCCGCTCGACGCGTCTCTGTCGTGGGCTGCTTACCTCCACCTCGCGATCGAGCATGCTCCATCCCGCCGGTCACTGCGCCGTATATGAAGCACGGCCCCCCGCCGTTCAAACGTTCACGTGCGTGTGCTGCTGTCAGTCCTGGGGGATCCACTGGACGCGCAGGCAATGCTCGCGCGGGCCACAGACGATGGCAACACCCCTGCCCGGTTGGTACATCTTGTCATTGTCCATGGTCAACAGCTACCTATTCTCTTCACTTAGCCGCTACTCATCTGCTCGCGTTGCACAATTGCGTCGACCTTCGCATATATACGCGCGCATCGCCCGCTTCTCTGCCCCGTCGATGCTAGCTACCGTGACGCAGTCATCTCCCCCACCATCCAGCGCGTGCGTGACTGAGGAGAGCACTTCCAGGATTCCGGTGGGGCGATGTGAATGCCCTGCAAGCGACCGTCAGTCACGCACCAAGCCGTACTGATCAACAATGGCAGTCAGTTTCGACCCGCCGCTGTCCTTGAAGCTTGACGGCTTACCCTCTGGCTGACAGCTGGATTGCGACGAGCCCGCCGGTCCGTGGATCATGTCAGATCCCTGGCGTCACGTCAGAGAACGATGTCCCACGACCTGCAGCACCTTCGTCAACAGGAACTTATCGGGAGCCAGTCAACGTGTCCTCAAGAGTCCTCGGTTCTGTGTGGTTCAACCACAGTGTGCCAATGGTGAGCATAGGACCTTCACTTTCGCTCTTATTGCCACAGGTTCACCACGGCTCAAAAATGATTGCTAATACTCGTACGCACGAGAGCTGGGTTCGGGCCGCACATTGAGCCCCAGCAGACCGGATATCAGTATCCGTCCTTGGTACGACCCTTCAGCGCGATGTAGCTCTCATCCGTTACGACTCCTATATACTCGCTCGTTCTCCGAAGCGTTTCACATCCGGACGCTCCAAAGTTACATGTATGTCGTTGACCTACTGTTGTGACTGTCTTGGATAACAAAACACGATCGATATCAGGAGCCCCTCGCACCCGAGGCTACACCCGGGCGCCTTGGGGCTCCCGTTCAGCCTCAGTGTCGATAAGTGCACCACGATATACACTGAGGCGGCGGTCGACTTAGAGGAGTACGCTCGTAAGCCCCAGGTCATCCGGCTTCAAGTCTCAGGAGTGCTCCATAATAGCCGCAGCGGCCACGCCAGAGAAGCTTCGCTCACCTGGACAGGCTAGGTTCCATGTACTGATTATGAACGCCGCGGGGGCCGGATGCAGTCAACAGGTTATGTATACCATGTACAAGGTGCTGATCGCGTTTGCTTCCTGGATTGCTTCTCTGACGCTTTCGCGGTGCGCCATTCGTAGCGCGATTGTGGAAAATCATTGTGCGCTATCCTCTGCTGACAGCATACAGCCACGGCATTCCAAAGCACGGCATTCCAAAGCATGGCCTTCAACCCCTCCGGGGACTCGCCAATTCGCGGCGTGTAGCATAAAAATGCGGATGTCCTGCACTCATGTCTCGCAGGTCTCTATATGTTCGGTCCTTGGTCTGATTCTGTGCCCGCAGAGACGGCGTTCATGCTAGACAGATGACATGACTCACCAGGATCGGCCTTGCCAATTCGCGAGCTACGCCGCTATGTCATCGAACGAGAGCATACCGTATGTGTATTGTTTTGAGGAGGGCCTATCATTATGAGAAAGAGCTGAAACGTGATTTACAAGCGAAACATCGACACAGGCGGCGGGTGCTCGCGCGGATGTCGACGTCACGCATCCGGCGTACCTATTCACGACCAAGTCGCCGCTCCTCATCAGACGCCTCGACTATCGCTGCCTGCGAGGGCCAGTCATCGACACGCCTGGTATTCTGGCAACCCCCTACCGAGAACGTGAACACGCTGGAGATGGCTGGGAGCATAAGCACCGTTGAGTACATGCGTGCTATGTTCTGTGGACGCGTACCTTCGGATGCGCGACTCGCAGTTGGTTGACCATTACGTCGGTCATCCCGTTCTCCTCGAGCTTCCCGTTGACTCCCGCTTTGCATGGTGTAGCACGACACCTACATGTGCGCATGACGCCCTCCGAGTCCGCGTTGGTGGCCTCCTCAGATCTGTTCCGACTCCCGGTCGAAAGCTCTACAGTTTCTACGCCGATTATTTGAGTATTGGGTTATCACGGGCGCCGTCTGCTTGTTCTCGAAGACCTGCTTCATTAAGTGGAAACACTTGCACGTACCTGGACTTGAACACGTCAAGCCGGTACTCACCGAAGGTCGTTCACGCGGAGAAGGGCGGCGCAGGCGTGACGTGAACAACATCAGCCGCAAGGGTGAGTTCGCCTCTGCCGTTTTGTGTGTGGTGCCTAACGCTATCACTATGTTCTTGCCGACTCGGAATAGAAGTCGCGCAGCGCGCCGCCTGCGTAGAGCTCGCTCTTTCGAGGAGATTTACGGTCAAAGGGCGCAAGACGAGCGAACCACTGCGTCCGGGTGCCGGGTATCATGGACGGCAAGATTCATTGACAACGACATCGACGTGCTTGAGCGGGAAGGAGGGATGCTAGGGGGAAGGGCTCTACCATGGGGAGTGAGGAAGAGATCGTGAGTGCGCTTGTCTACGGAAGCTCTCCAAGCTTAGTTCGGACCTCACCGCTGCCAGGCGCGACCTTCGCTGGACCAAAGAGTGCGCAGCGGCCCTTGCGAAGGTCGCCAGGTGAAGCGGGAGAATGCGTGCGAGTAGAAGGTGGAGGGGGAGACGCAGACGTGTGTTGATGAGGAGGGCGGGCCCTTGGACGAAGCAGAGTGGATGGATGTCGGTCGGTCGGACCAGCCGACGCCAAACAAGCGGGCAAATCTAACATTGTCAAGCGTGACTGTGGCGAAAAGCCAGCAGGAGCGGGGTCGGATCGATGGTTGGCTGGTATGCGCGATGCCGCTGTATGTCTTGCGCTGTCTATGCTAATTTTGCTCGTGCTGACCGTGCCCTGTTCCTCCGCCAACATGAAAAGCTACGAACCTGCGGGATCTTGGCCGGAGGAGACTGAATATGCTCGTAAAGGAGGGCGAGCTGTATCGCGTGCAAGGTCCGTAACGTCCATAACAGTACTTATCTCGCTCAAAGTCTATATATACATGTGTATGCGTTGTAATGTGAACACCTCCACACCAGCCCGTTCAGCTGAATTCGCCAATTTACAGTCCATCATAGCAGCAGGGCCGAGACCTCAGATGCACGATCTGCAGAGTCAAGCTGCATGAGAGCTGTTCAGGTGCGAATAATACTGCAGGACTTACCATGTCCGCCACTTCACGCCGACCCCCAACACTCTGTCCATGTCGAGCCGTGTGCGAAGTCGCGGAGGTCGAGACGAACGGAATGTATGCCTATTATGATTGCGGTCATCCGACGCCACACTAAGCCAGTGCGATAATCTGGGGGAATCCAAAGAAAGAGCTCTTTATGAGGGCCGACGATCCATCCGTCTTCTGTCATATCGAATTTCGCACCACGCGACTCCCAGAGATCGACGAGGGAGGGTGAACCGGATCCCGTCACGATCACGGGTGCATGCGAGGCCCCAACGGTCACGTCCCAGATACGGATAGTGTCGTCGTCTGAACAGGTTGCGATGTGCCGAGCGTCTGGCGAGAATGCGACTGACCACACCGTATCCGTGTGTCCTGTGAGAGGCGGTAGGACCAGAGCACCCGTCTGAGCATCCCAGACGCGAACCGTTCCGTCATACGACGCGGACGCGAGGTGCTTTCCGTCGGGCGAGAACGCAAGTGACGCCACTGTGCCTGCGTCTTCTATGCCTGACTGCTCGATATGGGTTTCGAGATTCCAAATGCGAACATGCACCGAATAATCGGAGCCATACGCAAGGAGCTTGCCATCGGGCGACAACGCGACACGATCCCCACGCCATTTGTCTGCCTCGAGCGGCGGCGCGACCCGGGTACCAGTGTCTGTCTCCCAAACCCGAATGGTGTCATCGTAGAAGCAGGCTGCAATAAACCTGCCATCCAGCGAGAACGTCACGGTGGCGGATAAGCTGCGATCGGCTTGGGATGACATGTCCAGGTCCACGATGTGGGCGCCCTTCGCCGATTCGATAATCTCCGTGGACGACTCCTCCTGCCCCTCCGACTCAAGTGCGATCCGCTTGCCGTCCGGCGAGAGCGCGCATGCGCGCGTACCATCCTTTCCCCAGTATCCATTGTGTGGCCGTTCACCAGAGTTGCTCGTCTCCATGTCCCACACGTTGATGGCAGGACCACGATGACCGTCGTAGTCCTTCGAGTGGGGCCAATTTGAACAAGATACAAGATTGATCTTGTTGTCATTCACCAAGAATGCGATGGCTATTGGCCAGCAGCCACAGTCGTGACCTAGTCCCAGCAGCGGCTCTCCGATTGCAGCACCTGTATGTGCATCCCAGACACGAACAGTTCCGTCTCGCGACGCAGATGCAAGCTGTCGGCCGTCCGGCGAGAACGCGACCGACCTCACGCCCCCAGTGTGCCCGGGCCGCTCGCCAAATGAATTCGTGTGCCCCGTAGTAGTCTGGGCTGCATCCCAAATACAGATCTCCCCGTTTTCCGAGGTGGATGCAAGGAGGCGTCCATCCGGCGAGAAGACGACCGATACGACGGAGGCTGTATGTCCCTTCAGCACCCGATGACCGGCAAGTCTGCCATGCTCGAAGGACCAGACGCGGACCGTGGTATCCTCTGACCCGGACGCAATGAACTTGCCATTCGGCGAGAATGCGAGCGAAAGCACGCCCTCTGTGTGTCCCTGGATCGGCTGTCCAATTGCATCACCAGTCTCCGCGTCCCGGACATCAATAGCACCACGGACTTCCCCGTACACAACGAATGCGCTGTCTGGTGAGAATGTAGCTGCCGATGAATCCGATGGTGCTGCAATCTCAGCGCCTGTCTCTGCATCCCACAACCCAGTCTTTTCAATCCATTCGAATACTGCAAAGATTCGCTTGCCATTGGGCGCAAACGCAATCGATTCAAACTTGTGGTCGCACGCCGATCCTGCCAGTTCAAGCAGTTGGCCGATGGGGTCACCCGTGTCCGCGTCCCATTTGCAAATGGCGAAGTCGCGACCTTTCGGCATCGTGATACCGGCTGCGACGCACTTGCCATCGGGCGAGAACACTAGTACCACGCTGTCGGATGTGGCATCCATAGGTACTTTGAGCGACCGTCCATTGGGGCGATCCAGTGTAGTGTCCCAGATATGGACGGCACTCGAGTACCAGGCGTCCCAGGACACAGCGTGAGATCCGTCCGGTGAGAGCGCGAGGAGAGGATGCGGAACGTCAGGTCCCTGCCGCGGCTGGCCAATTGACTCCCCTGTCCTTGCATCCCAGCGGCGGACGCCGTCATCTGCGGCAGACACGATCCAACTGCTGTCGGCTGAGAAGGCTATTGCTCGCCTACTGGATTCCCGAGAATGCTCGTGTATCTTCAGGAGGGGTAACGGTGTGAGCCGTTCCGCAGTATCCACCTTCAGTCCACGCTCGAGCAGACCGAGATATGCCTGGCCAATCTCCGACTCCGGAGGCGTGAATGCGAGAGCCGAGATGTATATATGTGGCGCGCTGTTGACGATCGGCGTCCGGAAGCGAATGAGGAAGTCATACGCGTCCAGCAGAAGTCGCAGACATCGTGACACATCCGCGTTTTCCGTGCTTCGAGTGGTTTGCTGGGTGTGGACTCAGCATGTATGCACACCACACCACGTGAACGGACACACCTTGTCCCGGAGCCAGACCTCCAGCCTCTTGACCAGTGAAGAGGCTACATCCGCGTGGTTACAGATACTCAACACCTCCAACCAGTATAGGAACTGCTTTCCGAAGAAAGCCGAGACATCTTGAGTCGCTCGTTCCTCCGAGATGGACGACATGGTCAGGTGTTCGATCCAGAATCGACACGCGTAAACGATCGCGAGATACGAAGGGAGTGCGTGACGCGACGGCTGCTTTGCATTGCTAGCGTATGATGTGCTACAACCTGACACATTGAAGAACAGGCCAGTCTCCATGATCTTGTTACACCCGAGGAAAACGTCGAGATGTGTCGCTCCGGTGTCTGCCGCCCATCGCTTTGATCCAGACCGCGTCCGTGTAGTGAGATAGTCTGGGAAGGAAGCATGGTATGTTGTCAAGAAACCGTGATCGTCGTCAGGGTCGGGGACGTTGATCACGGAATGCAAAGCAACGAGCGCATAGCGGACCTGGTCAGGGGTGAGGCGTAGCAAGTGCGCAAACTCGAGGACAGAGAAGGGATTGGGCACGCAGACGATGGCATGTAAGCACCGTAGAACCACCTCCACCTCGCTGTTCTCCAAGCCCTGAAGAGCCTCCTCGAGGATGTAGTTGTACATCTCATCGATACCAGTGAGAGCGGTCGCGTGTGAAGAAGTCAGTGCTTGGAGCCGCGTCCCCGGAGATGCGTTACGCGCTTTGATATGTTTGCATGCCGTGGCCGCGTAGATGAATAGGCCTTGAGAACGAGCTGCAAGAGTGCTGATATGATCTTTGGATGCCGGAATGACCTTGAGTTCAACCGTCAGATATCTTAGAACATCGGCGTCGACGACGAATCGGGGGATATCATGTAGCCGCACATGCTTGCGCCGTGAGTCTGAGTCGGGCGGCCCAAATGCCTCCCATAGGCCAGCCTCCGGCCGGCTGGTGACGACGAACTTGAGATGCAGCTGAGGTGCCTGATCTACAATGACATCCAGGAGATCTTTCGGTGTAGGACTGCTATTGCTGCGAGGCCACTCAAGTTCGTCGACAGCATCGATGACAAGCACCGGCGCCGCGTCTGCCGTGGTGAATGCGATCTTGGCGGGCCTCGCGATCAGGACATCGAACTGTTTTTTGATCACAAACTTCGCGACGTCTGGGGCATCTTGAAGAGCCTTAGCGACTTCGGCGGCGAATGTGGGTGAATAGTGCGATAGGAAGTACGCAAGTGTGTGGAAAATGGACTCTACATCCTGCTGCCCAGCCTTGCCGCCGCGAGAACAGAAGAAACTGCCTCCGAGGCGGCTTTTCCCCTCCAGCGCAGCGCACACGGTCTTTGCGACGGTGCTCTTGCCTGTTCCAGCTGCTCCGTTCAGGATGAATATCGGTCGTGCATCCGCCAGTGCCCACGTATATATATCGTCCAGGAGTTGGATGCGTGTTTTCTCCGTGCAGGAAGGGATATGCATCGCATCGTGATGCGCGGATACAATCGGGTCGAGCCGCTGCATGAGAGCTGCAGGAAAGAATGTGTCAGAGCAAGCCAAAGTGAGGTAGCCGTGACGGCGACTGACCTAACTGGACCAAGTTGTCCAGTTTCGCATCCGATGACTGATTGAGCGTACGTAGCTCTCCCAACCCCTCAATTTGGCGTACACTGACCAGCATCTGCATCCTTGTGAGCAACGACATCGTATATTCGGGCTGAGACGAGCCTACAAGGAAAAGGTCCGTGGCATCCCCGACAACACGGAGCTGTCGTTCGACCTCGTCGACGTCGGCTGGAGCAAGAGCGATGCGTGTAATGATGTAACGCTCGCGTTTCTCCCGCACGACGTTGGTCACTCTATCGATCATACTGCAAATAACAGTTGAGTCGCATCACAAACCACATGGAAGCGTGGGCTACGTACTCCGCGACCTTCTTAGCGCACTCTCTCATCTCGGCCTGACTATCTGATGGCAGAGACTGGTACTTCTTAAGTATCGTCGTCATGAAAGACACCTTCTCTGCGATGCTCTTGAGTTTTTCATGCACGTCAACGACCGTCTGATGAAGCAAAGTCAACCAATAATGTGGTCTCTAGTGCATGTTGACGTACTTCGACCCAGTCGAGGATTCCCAGCAGACCTCCCACGGCTAGCTTGAGAGGGGGAAAGACTTCGGCGACCCCCTCCGTGACCTCCAGCACACGCTTGAAGACGGCTAGGCCTGTCATCCCCGCTGCAGTGGATTTGACGCTGGGGCTTGGATCGGCAGGCTTGCTGGTTGAGCTGAGAGCGTCAAAATCGGAGGTGCCCGCTTCCCAGTGGACATCCGAATGCTCGAGCAGCGAGTCAGCTTGCGGGCGGACTGCCCGGGAGGTGGATGCTCTCCGAGTTGAAGACGAAGGTGGGCTTCGCGACCTCGGGTCGCCTGAATTGGCAGGCTGGTCGTCGCCTGAACTGAGAGCGTCAGATCCGGGGGTGCCCGCTGGGAGGAGGGTATTCGAATGTTCGAGCAGCGAGTGTGCTTGCGGGCCCACTTCCTGCGAGGTGGATTTCCCTCGAATTGAAGATAGGCTTCGCGACCTCGGTATTTGCAGGGTGGGCGAGGAACGCGACCAAGGCAGGAGGTGTGTGAGAGGATTAGATCCGTTCGACGTCGAAGCCGGTGTCGCAGGTCTCGGAGCTTGCGCGGGCGTAGAGGACTGAGGTCGACGTAAAACATCGAGAAAGCGTTTCTTTCCGCCTTTACGCTTCTCAGTCATGGCGGTTGAGGTGGGAAAGCGAAACTGCACGGGAGAGGCAAAGGCGACGATGAGAGTCAGGGCGAGACCTGCGCGGGGACTTCGAGGATGATACGTGCTGATAACGACTTGTGAGCAGAGATTAAACTCAAACTGACATGAGTGCTTCCGAGGACACAGAACACGAGGCTTCTAACGCGTAGTGCGAAGTCCATTACACATACTATGTTGATTGGCGAGCGAAACCCGAGGCAGTACTCACCAGCACAGGTGAACGATGTTCTCCACCTTGTACTCGACACTCGGTACGCGAAACGCGCACACAAATACGATGATTGGGGTAACCAGCAAGCGTCTAGAAACGAAGGAGCAGACGCAGGCAGACACTCCGACATCAAGCTGCCATTGTAGACGCTGGGTAGACCAATCGCCGTTCTCAGTAGATGCACCGTCGCGCGCCGTAGGCCACACGGCTGGGAGAAAGCTGCGACCACAGAAGTACCGAGAAGACAGCCAGTCTGCCTCTTCCATACAACACTCAGTACGTCGCCTGCCAACCCCGGCGCACATGCATGCAATCGGCATGAGCTCACCTAGATAACGCCAGCTGAACGTACTCGACTCTCCCTCGTGTTTCCCGTTTGGTCTACCAGGCGACGGCGTGCTCCTGCGCAGGTCCTGTGTAAGCAAACCCTCCCGTTGGCGTGCACATTGTACAGGCGAGCGTCGAGGGCCGCACCTAAGCGGCAGACGATTCGGAGCACCTCTCTATCAGCCTCGTCGCTTTTCTCCTCGGCCCGTAGCTCTTCTCTGCACCTGTAGCTTGATGGCGAGCTGTGTGCCAAGTCGTTCAGCAATACAGTCCCAACGGCCATGCCGGCAGGTACAGTCCAACTCGGGCAATCGCGCTCGATCTGCATTATGACATCAGAACCACACAACTGCATATACTTGTGCGGACTCACATAGACCGATCGGAAGATGGGTATAAATGTACATGCAGGATATCACGCAGACAAGCGTTGTGTTGCGGCGTACGCGCATGCACACCGTGTTGTCCCGTTCGACGTCACTGATCAGGGAAACGTGCAAATCATGTCGCACTCGAGGGATCGGACGTCAGCGGCCGGGGTGCCATATCTTGCGAGCCCACGAAGTTGATCTTCCACAGAGCAACCTCCTCCAGATGGGGAAAGGCGCAGATTGTCCGCAACGGCTGTGAGATGTTGTGGAACGTAAGTACACGCCGAACGCCGCAGCGTGTGGACGGACTTACAGTGCGAGAGGTGATCGAAACGCGCGCAACGAAGTGATCAACAGATGGGGATCGGATTCCGGGGGCCAGATGAACAAGTGAGAGGAAACGTTGCTGGATGAACCGTCTGTCCTTCCGTACTCGCTTGTGAACGGCCAACGTGTCTAGATCGAACGCCTTGACCCCGAGCACGGCCATGAGACCCTCCTTCGCGCGCGGTGCGGCGAGAGACATCTTGGCTAGCTTTTGCATAGCTCCCGCGGTAACGAATCTCGATGGCGCGATACAGGTTGGGCATAGCTTGAAGATACCAAGCCGTGCAGACCCGCGCAGCAATTGGGAGTGCTGATTGCTCCATCTCGTTGATGATAAGCCCAAAGACATCGAGCAGTATGCGGGAGAATATAGCTACAGACAGTGGGCGTGAAGAGTCGAATGCCTATGCAAGTGTTCGTGAGATAGGTATACACGAGTGAAGGGAGATAACTGGCAAACGAACCAATAACGCAACTCTCAAAGGCCGAGATACGAGTAGAGGGGGATGCACTGGTGAACAAAGCTATAGCAAGTACTGATCAGACCTACGCGACGGAATGAAACAGAAGATGGATGTACTGACCTTTGGCTCGTGTCTGGGGTACATCTGCCTAGCGCCGTAGAGGATGCAGAGTCAACGGGAGTGACAGTGAGGGTATGGGTAAGAACAGCGGGGAGCCTCGACGACGCCCCGAGGCCATGTTACTGTGAGTGGCAAGCCTCAGGCCCGGGGTCTGTATAGTTGTACTCGTGGGTTTGACGAACCGCACGCCGGCGGCTGCAGTGGGTCGTGGCAGCGGCCCATACATTCGTCGATACACTGTAGACTGAGATGGCGATAAACCTGGGATAAACGCTGATCAGCTCGAGCCGCTACTGCCAATGCAGTGCCCTAACCTCAAAACTAGTCTTGGGCGAGACGCTTCCCGGTACGTCTGCACTCAACGCGTTTGAGTTGCCTCTCGCCCAACGGCGCAGCCTGTCGCTGTGCGACGATTGATTGACATAATCGATGTGACGAGCAGCGTTGAGCCGCAGTCGCAGCCGTACAAGCTAGTGGGTAGATGTCGGTATGTATGCGAACGAAGCACAGAAGATTCACTGACCGGGTACAGAAGTGATCCCGGATAATGACTGGCTGTGTCGAGCGGCGTGTCGACCGACGCGGTATGTTGCGAGGACTTGGGAGGACGTATAGGGCATGATGCGGCTGGAGCATACATATGGACTGGGCGGTATGACGATGCGTTTGAACGCATGATGTTGGCTCTCGCAGTGTCTTCGTCCTTGTACATGCCAGAGCCTCGTCCATCAGTTGTATTTCCACCAATGTCAGGCGCAGCCATTGAGGAGTGTTCAGCTCAGGACGCACAAGACCATTTCAGGGTAGGAATACAGCGCGTACTGAGGGTCTGAGACCATAGTCAGCCTACGGCCAAATGAGCACGATGTGGTGACGCACCTGAACGACAGCACAGTCGACTCCGTCCATATCATCAATCCCATTGCTGGGCTCGCTCGTCCGAGGGAGGTAGAGCACTGACAGGGACCTGTGAGCCTGTCTAGGACAAGCGCGTAGACTGCGACAGCCTTCTTGGATTGCATGCGGCAGGGTTCCCATCCTCCCTGCAAAGCTTCGAGCCTTTGACTGTAGACCCCTACTAGGAGTCGACGGGGATCCGAAAAGACGGAGGGAAGGATGCCAGCGGACGCGTCAGCTGGGCGTGCGTGATACGAAGCTCCAGGATTCGACAAGAGACAAAGGTGAGCATGTATATATACTTATTACTGCGAGGTCGCGCGCAATGTTCGCCGTCGGTGGAGGTCGATGGACAAGTCCAACGTCGATCGCAGAGCAGACGCGCCAGCCTCGGCGCCAGTGGTCATGCCGAGATTCATCCGCGGGCAGATCCTTGCGCACGAGTCTCCCAGTTCTCAGATCTCAGCACCGGCCCGCCAGCGCGACGACCACTTTCCGACTGGTTCTTGCTGTCTCCGTGCTGCTATTCGTAACGCTAGGTGTTCTCTCTCGACCAACCTCAAGCCGTCTCGCTGCCACGACTCTCTCGGACCCCTACGGCTTCAAGCTTCATCCATGCGCTCCCCCTCGCCCTCGGGCGCGCAATGTCGCGTCGGGCGTGCATCTCGGGCGACCACCCGGCCTCTTCCTCGCTCTGTTGCCGTACAAGCCACTCGCGTCGCTCGACCTGTTCACGTCCTCAATGAACAACGTCTCACAGCTCAATGGGGAGAAAGACTCCCAGGACCCCGGCCTTCGAAGTTGTCACCCTCCGAAGGCAGCAGCGAGAGTGCGGAGACCCCGCAAGGTGACCTCGACGTCGCTCTCGAGCTTGTCTATGCTCTACTGCTCCTCAATCTTGTTGCGCGTTCAGAGAGCTCCACCGCGCGCCGCGCACTTGACCAACGCGGTGTGGGCGATGTCCTACAGGTAAGTCAGCAAAAGCGGACTAACGTATTAATCACAGGGATCGCTTGCCCAGATCCAGAGGGATTCATGAGTACTCACGGGAACCCAAAGTCTGCGCATGCAAGGTAGCAGGAACTCGCCCAGGCATACGTTGCCGCCTATATGGGTCGTCAGACATGAAGGCGAAACATGTCAGGAGCAGAAACGCACCGCCTAGGTCAATCAGTAGCTGTGTCACCTCTGTATTCAAGAGCGCGTAGAGACGACATCGGCGACCTGGGCTAGTAGAAGCCGTGATAATAGTCCTCGGGCTCGAGCGAGCCAACAGACATCTATGCCACGCGAACGACTGTGAGTAGATGTTCCGCAGTGATGCCCTACGAGCTACGTACCACGCCACTCTTGTTATCACGCAGAATGTACCTCCACATGATGTCTTCTCCGTAAATCGCAGTCAAGTTCGACACCCACTGCGATGGGATCCCGACGCCCAGCGAGTTGAACGCCGCCAGCGCTGCGCGGGTCTCGCGAGCGGCCGCCGCGCCCTGTATCGAATAGTCCGCGGCGTTCGCCTTGTTCGTAGCCGCGCAGTCGTTTGTTCAGCGGTTGATCATACTCTGATCAAACCGTGAGGACTAGTCCATGAACATGTGTGTCAGCACGTACTACGACGACGCGTCCGTGAACGTCTCTTCGAGGTAGCCCGCCAGGTAGGGCATAACGACCGTCTCGGGCTCCGTCCCGTTCGCGAGTATGACTTCCATGGTCAGGTTGTCTAGGTCGGGTAACAACGGGCCCGCGAGGTCGCCAAATCGCTGCGAGCAGTTTCCCCCGCCGATTCGGTAGCTGTTGAACACGCTGCTCACGCGTGCGCCGTAGTCGAGAGAGGGGCCCGAGCCGGTGTCCGCGATGTAGATTACGTACGAGTACGCGGGGAGGCCTTACGACGCGCACGCCCCGGAGCCGAGCCCATCCGAAGCCGAGCGAGGCGGAGTAGCTGGTGTACTCGATGCCGAGGAGGGAGATGAAGTCTACGAGGTCCGGGACAACGTAGACGTCTTGGGCGCCGTCCACTTCGAGGGAGATCACCGGCGCGGGGAGCAGTAGCAATACGTATACCAGCCCGTGTGACCGTCGTTCAGGCCGTTGACCAAATCGAAGAGATCCGTGTTGAACGCGTGGCTGGACTTTCATAGGGGACATCAGACGTGTCAACATTGCGGATGTCATAGAACATACCGCATAGCCTGTGCTCCCAATCCGCGCCAACTCGTCGCGGATGTACACCGCTGGCTGACCAAACTCGGGGACGGAGGCCACGTAATAGTCATCCGAGGTGTAGAAATCACCATGGATCGACGTCGAGGACATTCTGGCGCAGAGTCTCATTGAACGGGAAGTAGGACAGACGAACGCGTGCGTCAGCGGGGACAACACAGGTTTGTCCATCGATCTTTGAGCATGATGCTTGTGCGTGGGCCTCGTACGAGGAAGCCGTGGCGGTTCCCAGAAGTGCAGACGATGCAGCAAGAAGGGCGAGGTCTGTCGTTTTGGAGGGCATCGTGCGAGGACGAGGATGGGCGAGTGCCTAGTACGTGCGGGAAGGCGGGCGAGATGAGTTGTTGCCATCGCTTGATATGCACGAGGAGAGTGCGAGCGTGGCCACCAAGGCACCTGTAGCATCGCACCGAAGGCGGGCGAGATGCGGGGCCGTCCAACAGCACAAGCGCACACAAACTGGAAACCAGCGAGCAACACACGGTCACGTGAGCGTGTCCCCGACGTTCTCCCGTGCGTCGACGCCGCGACGTCCAACGTCCAACGCACGCACCACGCCCGCCCCCCGTCGCCTACGTCAGCTGCTGCGCCGCTCTACGACCTACCTGCGCGACGACCATGGCAGTGAACCTCCGACGCATCGAGTGACCGCATCCCCTTCCGAGTCCGCAGTCGACCCCAAGGGGACCACCGGCACGACAGGCCCGGACAACTAGGGGGCGCACGACGGACTCTGGGCATATAGGGTATAGAGGAATACGGCGTGGTATGGTGTACAGGCGGACGGACTGCTTCCTCGCGATGTTGAAGACTTGGGATCATGCAGGTACGCGGCCAGTGTTCATTACATTGGCGCGTAACATACATCCAGTGTCCCGAGACTGGTGTACAGGAACCCGCTCGACGCGTCTCTGTCGTGGGCTGCTTATCTCCACCTCGCGATCGAGCATGCTCCATCCCGCCGGTCACTGCGCCGTATGAAGCACGGCCGCCCGCCGTTCAAACGTTCACGTGCGTGTGCTGCTGTCAGTCCTGGGGGATCCACTGGAATGCTCGCGCGGGCCACAGACGATGGCAACACCCCTGCCCGGTTGGTACATCTTGTCATTGTCCATGGTCAACAGCTACCTATTCTCTTCACTTAGCCGTTACTCATCTGCTCGCGTCGCACAATTGCGTCGACCTTCGCATATACATGCGCGCATCGCCCGCTTATCTGTGCCATCGACGCTACCGTGGCACAGCCACCATCCAGCGTGCCTTTGACTCAGGAGAGCACTTGCACAATTCCGGTAGGACAACGTGGATGCCCTGCAAGCGACCGTCAGTCACACATCAAGCCGTACTGATCAACCTCACCTTGTCGAACCCCGTCACTCGTTCTCGCCTCAAGCATGTCTATCACCTACCGTGTTCCCGCGGCCATCCACTGTACAGGTCGTCTTCAGAGGCGGTCGTCCGCATCCGGGGCGTGGCTAAGCCACGTCGTGCGTGTGTCTGGAAAGTTCCCAGAAGCACCCGTACACCCGCCGGTCAAATCGATCCACGCGCTTGGCTGCTCGTCCTCGAGGAGACGGTCAGCATAGGCAAACGTCAACTTGATACGAGGGAACGTACCGGTCACCGCTTGCATGCACTTGCGTGCATCGCGCAGCGGTCCTAGGAGCCATCGTGGCGAACCACGGTGGTTGGACAGCACGCAGCAATCGTTCGACTAGTCGTGCTGCCGGTTTGAATCGCAGGTCCACGACACGTACGAGGTTGTAGGAGATGCTCAGCCGCGGCAATCGTATTCAGTCGAGCTCTACCACACGATATCCCACCGTATCACCTGAGGTTTGCCGTCAAGGACTCTGCCACTCGCGCACGAAGCTCCCTGCACTGATAACAGTCAGTCTCGACTCGCCGCTGTCGTTGAGCGTTAACGCGTTAACGCGTAACGGCTTACCCTCTGGTTGACAGTTGACTCGCGACGAGCCCGCCGATCTTTTCGATCACTTTCCCTGGTCCCACGACTTGCAGCACCTTCGTCGGCAGGAAACAATCGGGAACCAGTCAACGTTTTCTCAAGAGTCCTTGGTTGTTTGTGGTTCTACTACAGCATGCCAATGGTGAGCATAAGTCCCCCACTTTCGCTCTCATCGCCACAAGTTCACAACGGTTCAAGAATGATTGCTAATCCGTGTACGCACGAGAGCTCGGTCGGGCCGCAAATCGAGCCCTAGCAGACCGAATATCGGTTTCAGCCCTTGGTACGACCCTTCAGTGCGATGTAGCTCTCTCCCGTCACGACTCCTCTATACTTACTCGCCCATTCCCCAGGGTGTTTCACATCCGGACGTTCCAACATTGCATGTATTTCGTTAACCTACTGTTGTGACTGTCGCGGGTAACAGAACACGATCGATATCAGGAGCCCCTCGCGCCCAGGGCTACACCCCGGCGCCGAGTCGGGGCTCCCGCTCAGCCTCAGTGTCGATGAGTGCATCGTGATCAATACTGAGGCGGCGGTCGACATGGAGGAGTACGCCCTTAAACCCCCAGGCCATCATCGCCACCGTTCATGGCCGCTAAACCGGCTTCAAGTCCCAGGAGTGATCTATATTGGCCGCAGCGGCCACAGCCGGATCCGCTTCGCTCACCTGGACAGGCTGGGTTCCTGTTACTGATTACGAACGGCGCAGGGGGCTGGCGCACTCAACGGGTGATGTGTACCATGTACAAGGTACTGATCGCGCTCGCTTCGTTGTTTGCTTGTCTGACGCTTCCGCAGTGCGCCGTTCGTAGCGCGATCATGGAGAATAATTGTGCGCTACCCTCTGCTGACGGCATACAGCCACAGCAGTCCAAAGCATGGTCTTCAAACCACATCCGGGGACTCGTCAATTCGGGGCGTGTAGCATGATAATGCGGATGTCCTGCACCCATGTCTCGCTGGTCTCTATATGTTCGGTCCTTGGTCTGATTCTGTGCCCGTAGAGACAGCGTTCAAGCTGAACAGGTGTTAACACTCGTCAGAGTCGGCCTTCCCAATCCGCGAGCTATGCCGCCATGTCTTCGAACGAGAGCATACTGTAAGTGTGGTTTTTCGAGGAGGGCCTATCATTATGGGAGATAGATGAAATGGGACTCACAAGCGAAACATCGACACAGGCCGCGGTCGCTCGCGCGGATGTCGACGTCACGCATCCGTACTCATTCATGACCAAGTCGCCGCTCCCCGTCAGACGCCTCGACTATCGCTGCCTGCGAGGGCCAGTCATCGACACGCCTGGTATTCTGGCAACCCCCTACCGAGAACGTGAACACGCTGGAGATGGCTGGGAGCATAAGCACCGTTGAGTACATGCGTGCTGTGTTCTGTGGACGCGTACCTTCGGATGCGCGACTCGCAGTTGGTTGACGATTACGTCGGTCATCCCGTTCTCCTCGAGCTTCCAGTTGACTCCCGCTTTGCATGGTGTAGCACGGCACCTACATGTGCGCATGACGCCCTCCGAGTCCGCGTTGGTGGCCTCCCGGTCGAAAGCTCTACAGTTTCCACGTCGATCATCGGAATCTTGGGTCACCACGAGCGTCGTCCGCTAGTTCCCAAAGAGTTGCTTCATTCAGTGGAAACACTTGCACGTACCTCAACTTACATTTTAAACCGTGACAGTGCTCACCGAAGGTCGTTCACGCGGAGAAGGGCGGCGCAGGCGCGGCGTGAACAACATCAGCAGGGTGCGTCCGCCTCTGCCGTTTTGTGTGTGGTGCCTAACGCTATCACTATGTTCTTGCCGACTCGGAATAGAAGTCGCGCGGCGCGCCGCCTGCGTAGAGCTCGCTCTTTCGAGGAGATTTACGGTCAAAGGGCGCAAGACGAGCGAACCACTGCGTCCGGGTGCCGGGTATCATGGACGGCAAGATTCATTGACAACGACATCGACGTGCTTGAGCGGGAAGAAGGGATGCTAGGGGGAAGGGCTCTACCATGGGGAGTGAGGAAGAGATCGTGAGTGCGCTTGTCTACGGAAGCTCTCCAAGCTTAGTTCGGACCTCACCGCTGCCAGGCGCGACCTTCGCTGGACCAAAGAGTGCGCAGCGGCCCTTGCGAAGGTCGCCAGGTGAAGCGGGAGAATGCGTGCGAGTAGAAGGTGGAGGGGGAGACGCAGACGTGTGTTGATGAGGAGGGCGGGCCCTTGGACGAAGCAGAGTGGATGGATGTCGGTCGGTCGGACCAGCCGACGCCAAACAAGCGGGCAAATCTAACATTGTCAAGCGTGACTGTGGCGAAAAGCCAGCAGGAGCGGGGTCGGATCGATGGTTGGCTGGTATGCGCGATGCCGCTGTATGTCTTGCGCTGTCTATGCTAATTTTGCTCGTGCTGACCGTGCCCTGTTCCTCCGCCAACATGAAAAGCTACGAACCTGCGGGATCTTGGCCGGAGGAGACTGAATATGCTCGTAAAGGAGGGCGAGCTGTATCGCGTGCAAGGTCCGTAACGTCCATAACAGTACTTATCTCGCTCAAAGTCTATATATACATGTGTATGCGTTGTAATGTGAACACCTCCACACCAGCCCGTTCAGCTGAATTCGCCAATTTACAGTCCATCATAGCAGCAGGGCCGAGACCTCAGATGCACGATCTGCAGAGTCAAGCTGCATGAGAGCTGTTCAGGTGCGAATAATACTGCAGGACTTACCATGTCCGCCACTTCACGCCGACCCCCAACACTCTGTCCATGTCGAGCCGTGTGCGAAGTCGCGGAGGTCGAGACGAACGGAATGTATGCCTATTATGATTGCGGTCATCCGACGCCACACTAAGCCAGTGCGATAATCTGGGGGAATCCAAAGAAAGAGCTCTTTATGAGGGCCGACGATCCATCCGTCTTCTGTCATATCGAATTTCGCACCACGCGACTCCCAGAGATCGACGAGGGAGGGTGAACCGGATCCCGTCACGATCACGGGTGCATGCGAGGCCCCAACGGTCACGTCCCAGATACGGATAGTGTCGTCGTCTGAACAGGTTGCGATGTGCCGAGCGTCTGGCGAGAATGCGACTGACCACACCGTATCCGTGTGTCCTGTGAGAGGCGGTAGGACCAGAGCACCCGTCTGAGCATCCCAGACGCGAACCGTTCCGTCATACGACGCGGACGCGAGGTGCTTTCCGTCGGGCGAGAACGCAAGTGACGCCACTGTGCCTGCGTCTTCTATGCCTGACTGCTCGATATGGGTTTCGAGATTCCAAATGCGAACATGCACCGAATAATCGGAGCCATACGCAAGGAGCTTGCCATCGGGCGACAACGCGACACGATCCCCACGCCATTTGTCTGCCTCGAGCGGCGGCGCGACCCGGGTACCAGTGTCTGTCTCCCAAACCCGAATGGTGTCATCGTAGAAGCAGGCTGCAATAAACCTGCCATCCAGCGAGAACGTCACGGTGGCGGATAAGCTGCGATCGGCTTGGGATGACATGTCCAGGTCCACGATGTGGGCGCCCTTCGCCGATTCGATAATCTCCGTGGACGACTCCTCCTGCCCCTCCGACTCAAGTGCGATCCGCTTGCCGTCCGGCGAGAGCGCGCATGCGCGCGTACCATCCTTTCCCCAGTATCCATTGTGTGGCCGTTCACCAGAGTTGCTCGTCTCCATGTCCCACACGTTGATGGCAGGACCACGATGACCGTCGTAGTCCTTCGAGTGGGGCCAATTTGAACAAGATACAAGATTGATCTTGTTGTCATTCACCAAGAATGCGATGGCTATTGGCCAGCAGCCACAGTCGTGACCTAGTCCCAGCAGCGGCTCTCCGATTGCAGCACCTGTATGTGCATCCCAGACACGAACAGTTCCGTCTCGCGACGCAGATGCAAGCTGTCGGCCGTCCGGCGAGAACGCGACCGACCTCACGCCCCCAGTGTGCCCGGGCCGCTCGCCAAATGAATTCGTGTGCCCCGTAGTAGTCTGGGCTGCATCCCAAATACAGATCTCCCCGTTTTCCGAGGTGGATGCAAGGAGGCGTCCATCCGGCGAGAAGACGACCGATACGACGGAGGCTGTATGTCCCTTCAGCACCCGATGACCGGCAAGTCTGCCATGCTCGAAGGACCAGACGCGGACCGTGGTATCCTCTGACCCGGACGCAATGAACTTGCCATTCGGCGAGAATGCGAGCGAAAGCACGCCCTCTGTGTGTCCCTGGATCGGCTGTCCAATTGCATCACCAGTCTCCGCGTCCCGGACATCAATAGCACCACGGACTTCCCCGTACACAACGAATGCGCTGTCTGGTGAGAATGTAGCTGCCGATGAATCCGATGGTGCTGCAATCTCAGCGCCTGTCTCTGCATCCCACAACCCAGTCTTTTCAATCCATTCGAATACTGCAAAGATTCGCTTGCCATTGGGCGCAAACGCAATCGATTCAAACTTGTGGTCGCACGCCGATCCTGCCAGTTCAAGCAGTTGGCCGATGGGGTCACCCGTGTCCGCGTCCCATTTGCAAATGGCGAAGTCGCGACCTTTCGGCATCGTGATACCGGCTGCGACGCACTTGCCATCGGGCGAGAACACTAGTACCACGCTGTCGGATGTGGCATCCATAGGTACTTTGAGCGACCGTCCATTGGGGCGATCCAGTGTAGTGTCCCAGATATGGACGGCACTCGAGTACCAGGCGTCCCAGGACACAGCGTGAGATCCGTCCGGTGAGAGCGCGAGGAGAGGATGCGGAACGTCAGGTCCCTGCCGCGGCTGGCCAATTGACTCCCCTGTCCTTGCATCCCAGCGGCGGACGCCGTCATCTGCGGCAGACACGATCCAACTGCTGTCGGCTGAGAAGGCTATTGCTCGCCTACTGGATTCCCGAGAATGCTCGTGTATCTTCAGGAGGGGTAACGGTGTGAGCCGTTCCGCAGTATCCACCTTCAGTCCACGCTCGAGCAGACCGAGATATGCCTGGCCAATCTCCGACTCCGGAGGCGTGAATGCGAGAGCCGAGATGTATATATGTGGCGCGCTGTTGACGATCGGCGTCCGGAAGCGAATGAGGAAGTCATACGCGTCCAGCAGAAGTCGCAGACATCGTGACACATCCGCGTTTTCCGTGCTTCGAGTGGTTTGCTGGGTGTGGACTCAGCATGTATGCACACCACACCACGTGAACGGACACACCTTGTCCCGGAGCCAGACCTCCAGCCTCTTGACCAGTGAAGAGGCTACATCCGCGTGGTTACAGATACTCAACACCTCCAACCAGTATAGGAACTGCTTTCCGAAGAAAGCCGAGACATCTTGAGTCGCTCGTTCCTCCGAGATGGACGACATGGTCAGGTGTTCGATCCAGAATCGACACGCGTAAACGATCGCGAGATACGAAGGGAGTGCGTGACGCGACGGCTGCTTTGCATTGCTAGCGTATGATGTGCTACAACCTGACACATTGAAGAACAGGCCAGTCTCCATGATCTTGTTACACCCGAGGAAAACGTCGAGATGTGTCGCTCCGGTGTCTGCCGCCCATCGCTTTGATCCAGACCGCGTCCGTGTAGTGAGATAGTCTGGGAAGGAAGCATGGTATGTTGTCAAGAAACCGTGATCGTCGTCAGGGTCGGGGACGTTGATCACGGAATGCAAAGCAACGAGCGCATAGCGGACCTGGTCAGGGGTGAGGCGTAGCAAGTGCGCAAACTCGAGGACAGAGAAGGGATTGGGCACGCAGACGATGGCATGTAAGCACCGTAGAACCACCTCCACCTCGCTGTTCTCCAAGCCCTGAAGAGCCTCCTCGAGGATGTAGTCGTACATCTCATCGATACCAGTGAGAGCGGTCGCGCGTGCAGAAGTCAGTGCTTGGAGCCGCGTCCCCGGAGATGCGTTACGCGCTTTGATATATTTGCACGCGGTGGCCGCGTAGATGAATAGGCCTTGAGAACGAGCTGCAAGAGTGCTGATATGATCTTTGGATGCCGGAATGACCTTGAGTTCAACCGTCAGATATCTTAGAACATCGGCGTCGACGACGAATCGGGGGATATCATGTAGCCGCACATGCTTGCGCCGTGAGTCTGAGTCGGGCGGCCCAAATGCCTCCCATAGGCCAGCCTCCGGCCGGCTGGTGACGACGAACTTGAGATGCAGCTGAGGTGCCTGATCTACAATGACATCCAGGAGATCTTTCGGTGTAGGACTGCTATTGCTGCGAGGCCACTCAAGTTCGTCGACAGCATCGATGACAAGCACGGGCGCCGCGTCTGCCGTGGTGAATGCGATCTTGGCGGGCCTCGCGATCAGGACATCGAACTGTTTTTTGATCACAAACTTCGCGACGTCTGGGGCATCTTGAAGAGCCTTAGCGACTTCGGCAGCGAATGTGGGTGAATAGTGCGATAGGAAGTACGCAAGTGTGTGGAAAATGGACTCTACATCCTGCTGCCCAGCCTTGCCGCCGCGAGAACAGAAGAAACTGCCTCCGAGGCGGCTTTTCCCCTCCAGCGCAGCGCACACGGTCTTTGCGACGGTGCTCTTGCCTGTTCCAGCTGCTCCGTTCAGGATGAATATCGGTCGTGCATCCGCCAGTGCCCACGTATATATATCGTCCAGGAGTTGGATGCGTGTTTTCTCCGTGCAGGAAGGGATATGCATCGCATCGTGATGCGCGGATACAATCGGGTCGAGCCGCTGCATGAGAGCTGCAGGAAAGAATGTGTCAGAGCAAGCCAAAGTGAGGTAGCCGTGACGGCGACTGACCTAACTGGACCAAGTTGTCCAGTTTCGCATCCGATGACTGATTGAGCGTACGTAGCTCTCCCAACCCCTCAATTTGGCGTACACTGACCAGCATCTGCATCCTTGTGAGCAACGACATCGTATATTCGGGCTGAGACGAGCCTACAAGGAAAAGGTCCGTGGCATCCCCGACAACACGGAGCTGTCGTTCGACCTCGTCGACGTCGGCTGGAGCAAGAGCGATGCGTGTAATGATGTAACGCTCGCGTTTCTCCCGCACGACGTTGGTCACTCTATCGATCATACTGCAAATAACAGTTGAGTCGCATCACAAACCACATGGAAGCGTGGGCTACGTACTCCGCGACCTTCTTAGCGCACTCCCTCATCTCGGCCTGACTATCTGGTGGCAGAGACTGGTACTTCTTAAGTATCGTCGTCATGAAAGACACCTTCTCTGCGATGCTCTTGAGTTTTTCATGCACGTCAACGACCGTCTGATGAAACAAAGTCAACCGATAATGTGGTCTCTAGTGCATGTTGACGTACTTCGACCCAGTCGAGGATTCCCAGCAGACCTCCCACGGCTAGCTTGAGAGGGGGAAAGACTTCGGCGACCCCCTCCGTGACCTCCAGCACACGCTTGAAGACGGCTAGGCCTGTCATCCCCGCTGCAGTGGATTTGACGCTGGGGCTTGGATCGGCAGGCTTGCTGGTTGAGCTGAGAGCGTCAAAATCGGAGGTGCCCGCTTCCCAGTGGACATCCGAATGCTCGAGCAGCGAGTCAGCTTGCGGGCGGACTGCCCGGGAGGTGGATGCTCTCCGAGTTGAAGACGAAGGTGGGCTTCGCGACCTCGGGTCGCCTGAATTGGCAGGCTGGTCGTCGCCTGAACTGAGAGCGTCAGATCCGGGGGTGCCCGCTGGGAGGAGGGTATCCGAATGTTCGAGCAGCGAGTGTGCTTGCGGGCCCACTTCCTGCGAGGTGAATTTTCCTCGAATTGAAGATAGGCTTCGCGACCTCGGTATTTGCAGGGAGGGCGAGAGATGTCTCCAATGCAGGAGAGATGTGAGACGATGAGACCCCTCCGCTGTCGAAGCCGGACTCGCAGGTCTCGGAGCTTGCGCGGGCGTAGAGGACTGAGGTCGACGTAAAACATCGAGAAAGCGTTTCTTTCCGCCTTTACGCTTCTCAGTCATGGCGGTTGAGGTGGGAAAGCGAAACTGCACGGGAGAGGCAAAGGCGACGATGAGAGTCAGGGCGAGACCTGCGCGGGGACTTCGAGGATGATATGTGCTGATAACGACTTGTGAGCAGAGATTAAACTCAAACTGACATGAGTGCTTCCGAGGATACAGAATACGAGGCTTATAACGCGTAGTGCGAAGTCCATTACACATACTATGTTGATTGGCGAGCGAAACCCGAGGCAGTACTCACCAGCACAGGTGAACGATGTTCTCCACCTTGTACTCGACACTCGGTACGCGAAACGCGCACACAAATACGATGATTGGGGTAACCAGCAAGCGTCTAGAAACGAAGGAGCAGACGCAGGCAGACACTCCGACATCAAGCTGCCATTGTAGACGCTGGGTAGACCAATCGCCGTTCTCAGTAGATGCACCGTCGCGCGCCGTAGGCCACACGGCTGGGAGAAAGCTGCGACCACAGAAGTACCGAGAAGACAGCCAGTCTGCCTCTTCCATACAACACTCAGTACGTCGCCTGCCAACCCCGGCGCACATGCATGCAATCGGCATGAGCTCACCTAGATAACGCCAGCTGAACGTACTCGACTCTCCCTCGTGTTTCCCGTTTGGTCTACCAGGCGACGGCGTGCTCCTGCGCAGGTCCTGTGTAAGCAAACCCTCCCGTTGGCGTGCACATTGTACAGGCGAGCGTCGAGGGCCGCACCTAAGCGGCAAACGATTCGGATCACCTCTCTATCAACCTCGTCGCTTTTCTCCTCGGCCCGTAGCTCTTCTCTGCACCTGTAGCTTGATGGCGAGCTGTGTGCCAAGTCGTTCAGCAATACAGTCCCAACGGCCATGCCGGTAGGTACAGTCCAACTCGGGCAATCGCGCTCGATCTGCATTATGACATCAGAACCACACAACTGCATATACTTGTGCGGACTCACATAGACCGATCGGAAGATGGGTATAAATGTACATGCAGGATATCACGCAGACAAGCGTTGTGTTGCGGCGTACGCGCATGCACACCGTGTTGTCCCGTTCGACGTCACTGATCAGGGAAACGTGCAAATCATGTCGCACTCGAGGGATCGGACGTCAGCGGCCGGGGTGCCATATCTTGCGAGCCCACGAAGTTGATCTTCCACAGAGCAACCTCCTCCAGACGGGGAAAGGCGCAGATTGTCCGCAACGGCTGTGAGATGTTGTGGAACGTAAGTACACGCCGAACGCCGCAGCGTGCGGACGGACTTACAGTGCGAGAGGTGATCGAAACCCGCGCAACGAAGTGATCAACAGATGGAGATCGAATTCCGGGGACCAGATGAACAAGTGAGAGGAAACGGTGCTGGATGAACCGACCATCCTTCCGTACTCGCTCGTGAACGGCCGAAGTGTCTAGATCCAACGGCTTGACTGTAGACTCCTTGCCGCAGCTACTAGTAGTCGACGGGCATCCGAAAAGACGGCGGGGAGGAAGCCAGCGGACACGTCAGCTGGGCTTGTGTGATACCAGACTCCAAGAGTCGACAAGAGACAAAGCCGAGCATGTATCATATAACATGAGTTCGCGCGTGTTGGTCGCTGTTAGTCGCCGTCGGTGGACGTCGATCGACAAGTCCAACGTCGAGCAGGCGGTCAGCGTCGGCGCCAGTTGTCATGCCGAGATTCATCCGGGCAGATCCTTGCGCACGACTCACGAGTGATCTCAGATCTTAGATATCAGCACCGGTAAACCCAAGGTAAACCCATTCAAGTCAAAGGCATAATATATGTAATACGCGACGACCACTCTCCGACTGGCTCTCGATGTCTGCCCGTTTACCTTGCCACTGTATTTGTGACGGTAGGCAAAGGACTCCCTCGACCAGCCTAAAGCCGTCCCCTAGCTCTTCGTAAGAAATAACGACAATCATCAGGAGCGACGAGTCTACACTCCTCGATCATCCCCACAGTGCTTCCGCATCCACCTCCCTCGGCCCTCCAGGCCTTCCCTGCTCTTGGCCATTTCCTTGAGCATGTCCGTCTTCGTCCGGCGCAAGCGCGATGCGGCCCTCGCGGCGGCCGCGCAGGCGCATCCACAGCCAAGATGCAACAAGAGCGAGCGGATGGGCGACGGTGAACAGCACGCATGTAAGCTGTCAAGAGCACGAAGTCAGCGTTGGTAGAATGCCGGGAGCGGGCTAGCGTACCCAGACAGGCATGGGCTTCGGCTGTCGGCTCCATACCGACGCGCACATCCATACTGCGGAAATGCACCAGACGACGTCTCGCCGGATAATGATGACCAAGAGGCCTGTTGACAACGTCAGTTACAAAGTGTATGGATGCGTGATAAAAGGTAGCGTACCGATTAGGTTCACGCAGAGCATGACAATGAAACCTGCCCATTGGTGCCGCGCGTAGTGCTGAGGCTCGCCGGGCGAGAACGTCCAACCAAGAGTCACGCTGTGATGACACAGTCAGATCATTGCACAGATCGACTCCTATGGACTTACAAGAGGTTATATGGGAACATAATCATCAAGGGCCATATCATGAACGCTCGTGCGGGCGCGTGAATGAATAGCACGTCAAATGGTCTTTGAAGCTGTCAGGTTCGTTCAATCAAGGCAAAAAGCAGCACACATACCTGGACCGTGTCGGCCTATGGTACACGAGCAATACGAGGTTGGCGTAAATCAATAGTACGAGTAAAATGCCTTGCGCGACTGCCGCGACGAGGAAAGCTTGTAAAACCTAGGTCCTCTTAAGTATACCACGACTCACTCGACTGAAAGAGTGACTTACCCAAGCTATAGCCCACCCAGCCATCACCCAGTTCGCAATAACGAGCGGCATGCCAACGCCCTTCACCATCGCCGCCTGTGCAACGGCCGTTGGTCATCACATTTTCTGCGTGGTTATCAGGAATCAGACAGCGCACCTTGGTTTCAGGCCTACGTGCCAACACGAGGAGTATACAGTAGCCCAGTTGGCCGATATAGACGAACGTGACATATATGGAGAGTACGTTCGGGTTCGGAGCGATCGTCGCTGGGTATAACCTCGATATCTCGCCTGTGTACGCAGTGCAAGAGCGCGAATATTAGTATATATGTCGGTTCTGGATGCTGGGGTACCTGCGCACCCAGTCCTGGAGTCAAAACGACACTGCATACGATGACCGTCGCGATGTTGATGAGCAGCGAGAGCGGCGTCAGTACTTGTAGCCTGTGTGCAACGCGTTAGCAGATATTAGATGGAGTATGCGAGAGAATGCTGACCGTATAAGCGCGAGGTAATCTCTGACCGCGGGATGAGAAGTGTCGATTGGGAGATTTTCCATCATGCCTCAAGATCGACTTGACGAATGCGTCTCCTCCTGATGTACAGGGCGATTCGGGGGTATAGAGTTTATCGTGGACACGACAGAGGACAATAAGACGAAGTTTTGGTCGTCGTGGTGAGGGTAGGGGGCAAGGAGCGTTGCAGTGACCCATTGTGCGCTCGCCCTGGCTGGTGGTGGCGAAGAGAGACGCGGCGCGCAGTGCATGATGTCACCGAGGAGCGCCACCGTTGGCTCAATTTGGTAATCTACTCATGTCGATCACTGGCACTGCCATTTGAGCATGAGCGTTACGATGCAATCGCAGACCTGATCCTAGGCCACTTGTCAGAACAGAGAAGGAGAAGGTAAGAACAAGGCTGGTAGATAAACCTGTATAAGCCTCCAATTATGCGGTCACGCACTGGCAATTTGCTGGGCCAACGACTCCGAGAGCGCAATTCAACGTGACTTTCGAGATGTGCTTGTCCCTTCGTTACAATGTTCCAAGTAATTGCATGACTCACATACTTCCTTTGTTTGCCCCATTTTTCTGCGTGATTCTAGTACACTGCACAGAACTTCGAGGCTGCCCGAGTGTATCCCGGGCATTCCCGGAACTTGCCGTAGTACAGAACATACCTACCATATGCGGAAGTGCCGTACTGTCACTGCTCTTCACCGGTGCTCTCCAAACTCTCCTCTCTTCTGATAGCTTTTGACACTCATCTTTGTCTCAAGGGAGCTGAAGTTGTACCACCGCACGTGCGGAGGCCAGTCTCACTTGACTTCCAACGGCCGCCTTCGCTCCACGCCTTCATACATAAGCGTGTGACGCCGACACTTCCACGCCGGTTCCCTTCGACACCTCCGTAGCAAACATGAGCTCGCGACCTCCCGTGGATGGTGCTATATACCAGGAGGAGACAACAGGCGCCAGGTACCTGCGCAAGTCTAAAGAGAACCCGTTCATACCCATCGGTGCGTCTTGTCCGCAGAAGTGGTCACCGTCCTCCGCGCCTGGGTTTGTTCCTCACACCACTGCTCCCCAGGGGCTTTCGCGACCGTCGGCGCTTTCGTCATGTCGGTCATCAAGTGGCGGGAGGGCAATTCGCTCCACATGCAATACTGGATGCGTGCGCGAGTCGGCTTGCAAGCCTCGACCGTCGCCGCTTTCGTGATCGGCGCGTGGCTCCTCGGGGAGACCAAGCAGCAGAGGGATGCCCGTGCGCAAGCGGAGAACGAGGCGCAGGCAGTGCGGGAGCAGGCGGAGTTCAGAGAGCGGATGAAGGCGGCGGAAGAGGCGCAGCGGCTGGAGGACGAGATGAACAAGTCGAAGTGGTTGCGTGTGTTTGGCAGTGGGAAGGGCGGGGCAGAGGCAAGGCAGGCGGCGGAGGCCCAGAAGCTCTCGACACCACCTGAAGTGACCAGTGCGCCGGCGGGTGAGGCTAATGTACATGCACCGGTCACGCAGGGTGCTGTATCGTCTACGCCCGCAGGTGAGGAGAAAGTGCGCACGCCGGTGGCGGATGCGCTTGGGAAGAGCGGCGGATGGTCGTGGTTCGGAGGTTCAGGGAAGAAGTAGCAGGGTCTCGGAACACCTCAGGCAAAAGTAAACCATTGTATATTTCTTATTCATTTCGCTGCTACCTCTCATCTTTCCGTACAATGCGTACAATAGGGTTCCTCCGCCTGCCCTTCCCCCGTTGTATGCCTATCACCCTTCGTCCGCCGTTGACGTCCGTAAGGCCCAGGGCCGTCAGGCTCGTGTAATGGGAACTTGACGGTAGCAGGCACGCGGACATCGACGAGGCCGATTGACCTATGTCTTGAACGTCATCGCGACTCGCACCAGCTGGTATGCGTACGGTGACCGGTCTCGATGCCTCTCGATCATCCTCCGTGCAGCGTCGAGATGAACACAATCTCGTCTCCGTCCTTGAGCTGATAGTCCCCCTCGCCCTCGAGCTCCCAGTCGGTGTCATTCACGAGCACAAGGATACCCGGTCGCCTGACGAGCAGAAAGTTACGAATGTCCAACACGCACATAAAACGGAAGCATACACCGTGCCATTCTCGACGAACAGCTCCGCCCTCTCCTTCAGCAGATTGTCCCTCAGCCACAGGATCAGATACGCGACGTCCGCCTGCCGACCCTCGCCCTCTGCCGCTCCCGTATCGTCCTTGAGGCTCTTCTTCTCCGCGGGCGTAGCGGCAACACGCACGGGCACAGAGACGCGGTGCGATCGCTGGTTGTCGAAGAGGAGCTCGAGACCACCGCCGAACTCAACTTTGACCGAAATTTGCGCTGACATAGGGAGTGTACGAGTGGGGGCGTAAGATAGAGATGGTATGCGGTCAAGCTTGGGCGATTCAGTGAGTTGACAGTGAGCAAGTCGACGAAGGCCGGCTGTCCGGGCCGGCAAGTGCGAAGGCGGCGGACTGACCGGTCATGGATGCATTGCCATGATGGTATACCGTGACATAAGTAGTCGACATCTCTTCGTCGGCGCCGTCAGCAGGAATGTGAGTGAGCGAGCATCACGTACGAGATTATAGTAAGTACCCATTCTTCGCCCTCAGCCGCATATGGAGTGACACTCGAAATTTCTACGCGGCAGGAGATGTATTTCGAACCAACAGACCTGCAGGCTTCGTGGTTCCGCACATAGCAAAACCTCGAGCTCGTCTTAGACCGCGCCGCCGCCGCGAGCCGGTGTACTAAAGTATTGGCCCAACATTCATACTATGACTTTGACGAGGGCATGAACACTACCAGTGCGTCCTTAGGCCGGGACATCTCAGGCTTCCGCTTGAGCTCCAGCCACAGTCCATCGCCTCTCAGCGTGCATAACACGACCACTACGACTATTGAGATGCCCGACGAGTAGCAGCCCCGCATTCGGGCCCCAGGCGGCCTCACGACGGCGGCCTTCCAAAACATAAGGAGGAGATTGCGGACACCCAGGGGCTCCCATGCATGGGCAGCATACGTCAAGAACCGGTGAACACCTGTGGTCACCACCTACACCGAATTGCGAAGTAGCGTCTGCTAACATGTATATGGTACAACTCGAGCTTGGGCCGTTAAGGCGGGGTATGCGACGTGTGAAATAGATCAGCGATGCAGTATGTACGTAGTGCGTATGATAGTGCCGTATCAGGAGTCAGGACGGATGCGAACCTCAGCCTGTGAACGAGGTAGCCTTGATGAGACGTGCGTTGACACCTAGAAGTCCCCGAGGTCGATTTCGACAGACTGGATGATGGATGCTTCAAAGTTCGTGGAGGTATCCGCTGGTGTTGCCGACGCTGCAGAGGACGGCAGCGGAGACGTGGTGTGGTCTGCTGCAGCCGAAGTCGCTGGTGTTCCCGGCCTGGTAGTTGACGGACAGAGGCGAGCACAAAGCAGAACGTAGTCAACGCCCATTCGCACATACAGATCACGAAACAACAGCATAGAAACAAGCAGAGACAGTACAGACCTTGGGCTGAACGGCTTCAATCCATTCTTCGGCGTCGCCGCGCGGGGCGTACCTGCGCCGGATGCAGCGAGGAGCTTGCGTTCACGGCGCTTGCGCTCCGCCTCGCGTAACTCAGCCTGGCGGACGGCCTCCATGTTTGCGAGGCGATTCCGCCGGTTGACCTCTGCAAGGAGTTCCCCACGGCTCGGTTGCTTCTCCTCCTTCTCCTCTTTCTTCGGCATCTTCGCCTCAACATCCGCGATCTGCTTGTCGAGCTGCTCAACCTCTTTCCAGTCTTGTCGGCGGGTGGCGAGCATGCGCATCTGCTTCAGCCTGGCGTGCTGGGCCGCCAGTGATGCCCCTGAAGATTTGTCCTGCAGGTTGCGAGCAAGCATCTCATTGATATCGCTCTGTAATGCGGATTTAGTTCACGAGTGCTCTTACATTTAGCTTCCACGCACCTCTGTGATGTCTCTTGTAGCGTTCTTGGCGATTTGTGCGCTCTTTTCGCGGAGCTCGCGCTTCGTCGGGAAGGATTGCTTGTCCTTCGACAAGCTCTTCCACTCATCGAAGTCTGCCTAAGGTATGGGCAGCCTGTGTAGCCAACCTCTGTCACGTAACATCACGCATACGAACCTCAGTGTAGGTGGCGTTGGATACCCTATCCATTGCGTATGGGCGGTCGTGGAGGGCGTATCGTAGGCCGAGGTGTGTTGTGATCTTGCGACCGTTGAATTCATAGTGCCGCCCATCCTTGTACACGCCTGCCTTGTGTCTAGGCTGCTGCACACAAATATCATGCTGAACTGCTCACCGATAACCTCGAACATGCGGTACGTTGGCTGCCCGTCCTTCGAGCCATGCAAATACTTGACCCACGCCCCTATACATCATTGATCAAGTCTGGAAGTCGCTGCACGGCTGACCATACGCACCTTTGACTGTCTCCTCGAACCATGGCGTCGCTGACAGACGCACCAACATGTCTCTCGAGAGTCGCACCTTCTCCAGGTCCTCCAGCGTGATGCTCTCGTCTTCAAACTTCCCCTTTTCGGGATGTAGTTTGTCGTATAACCTCCGATCCCTCTCTTCCTCCTCCTCGAATTTGCTGATCTGGCCGTCCTCTTCCTCTTCGTCCGAAATGTCCATGTCAGCGGGCGAAGAAGATCGGGCGCGCTTTGGAGAATTGGTCCTAGTCTGTAAAGGCCTGAGCTCAAGCGAGCTTGCAGAGTCGAGTGGTGCCTACGCGTTTCTTCTCGTCCTTCTCCCTTCGCTTGGCCCTCAATTCATCGAGCTTGCGAGTCTTCTCCTTGGTGGCGCCACGCACAGTGTGTTGACCTGCCATACCAGTCAATCACAGGACATCTGGGGGAGGGGGAACGACTCACGTTTCGCCGCTTTGGAAACGCTATCTTCGCCGTGTCCACTCTGAGCTTTCAACATCTGCTCGAGGTTCCGCTTGTCTTGTATGCGTTGCATCTCCTCTTGTCGCTGTGCCAGGATATCCTCTCGCTCGATCTCGGACATACTGAGGAGACTACAGAGAGCGAGTCGCATTATAAATGGGAGTCCCGGACAATGTAGTCGACACGCGTACCGTTGCCTGTCTGCCTCGTCCACATATTTGCCCTCGAACGGGTATGGATTCCTTTCTTCTTCGTCTTCGCTCTCTGTTTGATCCGCATCCGACGCTTCTTCTGGTCCCCTACTACATTGTTCACGCCCGTCCGAGCGACAGCCGGGGCCATGGTTCACTCACTCAGCTCTGCGCCGTTTCGCTCCGGATCCTTGTGCTTGACGCTTTCGGCGCTTCTTCTCTGTAGCACCGGCCAGCTCGAGGAGCTCGTCAGAGATGTCGCCTTCAGAATCGGACATGACTATTCCGTGAGGGGGAGCTGATGAGAGTAGAGTAGTAAGGTGGGAGAGGGCTGGGGGATGAGTGCGAGCGCAAGTGGCGGTGAATGTCAGTCAGAGAAATGGTTCACCAAATCCGGAAGGTGCATAAGTACAACAATGCCACCTTGCACGGGATCACGCGTCACGAGTGTGACGCATCTAAGTGGCATCGGCACCTTCGTAACAGTTCTATGCCCTTGTTGCGCTCTTGCGCAAAGGGACGAGTTCTCAAGGTGAACGTCTGAGTGTGAAAGTTGTTACAAAACGCATGCTATGTGACACGTGAGGTTATTCTCGATCGCAAGTGACGGGATACTACCGAATGAACGCTGGATACAATGATGCAAGAAAGTCAAGAAAGAAACCCAGAAAACGACCGCGGTTGGGCGAAAGCCCGCGCCCGGAGGGCGCGGCGATCCGACGCAGGTCCCGCGTTGTCCGATGGCAGCCTATGGTGGCCCGAGTCAGCCGCGAGGGTGGGATGGGCCATGAAAGGGTGTGGTGAGGTGGGAAGAACGCAAAGTTCGTAAGTGCTATGGACAAAGCGCGGTACCCGCATCCGAGATGAGAAAACTAACATTGCGCCGTAGGTGTGTCAAGGCATGTATCATTGATGAAATGCGGATTGACGAGGGAAAGACGTGATTCTTGCGACGACTACTGCTATGCTGCCGTTCGTACTATTTGATCAGCCTATCGTGATGATAGGTGACGCTTAAAGACATTATCAGCGTACCTCAAAGACATAGAGCGCCCTCGGCAGCCCAGGCGACTCTGGCGAGGGTGTCTTGGTTCTCTATGGCTGCCCGCTGCACCTGCGCTATGTGTTCATGAACTGGTTGTCTTTCTCCCGGCCTCAGGAAGTTCGTCCACGGCCACGGGGTGTCTCGAACTATGCTGTGGTGTGACTGTGTGCTAGGTAAATGCGAGTCCTGCCGTTGGTGTTGTTAACTCACTGGCTCTGGCAGCATCAGAGGCTCATCCGCTGCTCCGAATGATATCGGCTGGGGATGGTACGCCGCGATCAATGGTGGGAAGACGTTTAACCAGGTTCCTGAGGTATTGAAAGTTTGCCATCTCTCCTTCCAGCCAAGGTAGGCCTTCTGACGGTCAACCAACAGGATACAGTCTTGCCCCACGTCTCCTCTCAACTCAAATGCCACCCAAATGCCTGAAGCCGCGATTACTCCAGTCAGTTTACCGCAAAACGGTCTAACTTCCTCTGCTGCTGCCGGGATCAATGCGACCTCCATGCCGCTTTGGATACAACATGGAGGGGGTCCGATGATAGCGACAATGGATCCTCCTTCGACATCCTCCTTCGATTTCGTTAGGAAGCGTATGTCCAGTCGGGTGTAGCCTTCCGCAGCTAACGGAAGAGACAGAATCGAGGAGTGGATGTTTAAAGAATGGACTGGGTTCAGCATGATTGCAACAGAGGATTGAGAGGGGAGTAGTGATATGGCCTAATGGTTGGTGGTCTGATGTTCTTTTTAATGAGTCTTAACCGAGCAGTGGCGTCGGTGGAGGAACGTGCTTGATTTTCTTTCAAAGGGAGTGGAGGGTGGGTTCTCGAAAACAGGCAGTGCCGAACAGACTGTCGGCCAACGGTGGCGGCGAGACGCAAGAGGTTCGAGCGCTCGCTGCCACGCGTGCATAGACTCAGTTTGAAGGAAGCGCTCGTACCTCGCGCTTCCTTCAAACACTCAATCTATGCCCTTGTTGCGCTCTTGCGCAAAGGGACGAGTTCTCAAGGTGAACGTCTGAGTGTGAAAGTTGTTACAAAACGCATGCTATGTGACACGTGAGGTTATTCTCGATCGCAAGTGACGGGATACTACCGAATGAACGCTGGATACAATGATGCAAGAAAGTCAAGAAAGAAACCCAGAAAACGACCGCGGTTGGGCGAAAGCCCGCGCCCGGAGGGCGCGGCGATCCGACGCAGGTCCCGCGTTGTCCGATGGCAGCCTATGGTGGCCCGAGTCAGCCGCGATACCCGGGATGTAGGAGTTCGAAATGACGCGTCGCCTGACTTGGGACACCCCAACTCTAGGAGGAAGAACGAGACTTACTGAGTTAACGCACTGGGGGCATCGCATATCTTGTATACGCCGAGTGCGCCTCAGGATTCTCCTTCAAGTACGGCGCCAGGATTTGCGCGTGCTTGCGGAGGTAGATTCGGAACGCATCGCTTTGCCATCGTCCCATCACCTTGACCACATCGAAGGGGACCCCCCGTAACATATACTCCAGTGTCCCTCCGATGCGGAGGCTGTGCCCATGTAGCACCGCGAGCTTCGCGACCTTGGCTGCTTGCGCCACCCTCGCCAGGACGACCTTCTTCGTCAACGCCTCCCAGCCTCCCCCGTTGTCCCCGACCCTGCCCACACGATGCGAGAACAAGGGTACGTTGTTGGGTGGGTCGTTGATGGCTATGTGGTCTAGCAATGCTGTGACCGGGTCCAGAGCTCCGTCCTGCCGCGCGAAACAGAGATCTTCTCCCGCCGCACTCACTTTCGTCTTGGGGATGGTAATGACCCATACCTCCCTACCGTCTCTGTCCCAGTCCGTACGAATCCGTGCGCGCGTTGTATGCAATGTCTCGTCGAAGGTACCTTTTTTCTTGAGCACTAGCTCTCCCAGTCTCGCGATTGAGAAGAACGCGACCGTGAGGACTGCCCATACTGCGCAGTCTGTAGGGTCCTTCGGGTCTAGATATGCGCGCAGAGCCGACAGGTACTCACGCGTATATGGTTGTCTCGGACTACGCTTCGAGCTTGATGGTGCCAGCTTCGTCGCTCCGCGCAACAGCGTGTCTAGCTGCTCTTTGTCTCGGGTCCAAGGGATGCCGTGCAGGATGTGCCACGCGCGGATACCCATTACGTAGTTGCGTATTGTGTCTGCGCTGTACGCGCCGGCCAGGTCCGCCACGAAAGTTTGTAACAGGACGTCGCTAGTCGGCGCGCGCTGCTCCTCTGGGACCTGTCTCTCGTCGCATACTACGTGGAACGTCAACAAGCCCGAGCCGTAGACTTCTAGCGTCGACTGGGTCCACGCCTTCTCGAAGACCGACTTGACACGCGCGAGATCCTCCGCCGAGACCGCCACCGGAAAACCGCTGCGGTCTACTGGCTGCCGGCCGGTCACTGGGAGCCAGAGACGGAGCCGGTCGCGCGCGAGGCAGTGCGGGCGTAGCGGGGATGGTGCCAAAGCTAGGTGCGAGGGGTATGAACGAGGACGAGCCTGGGACTGCGGCTGCACGGGCAGAGGGACACCTCTCTGCCGCTTACTAGGCGGCCCAGTCGATGTGCTGCCAGAGGAAATCCTCGGCGGCGTGCTCGTCTGTGTCGTATCCGGGTCGGACAGGAATCTCCGTGTAGTCTGGGATGGCTGACTCTCTGCTAGGCTTTGTGCGGTGGGCGAGGGATGCGTGGCGGAGTCTATCAGGTCCGTCCACGACCGCGTCGTCGAGGAAGGGCCGGATGTCGTCGGGGATGGGGACTGGGGGGAGAAGAAGGTGTGCGGGGGGGTATCTGCCGCGAGAGGGAGCATCGGCTGGGTTGTGACCGCTCGGGACGTAGCTGAGGAAGAAACCCACTCGCCGTCCCACAAGGGCGTGATGGATCCGCTTGAATGCGCTGTTGACGTGTCGGTTCTTACTGCAGCCTTTTCTCCATCCCCCCACGACGCCCATGTTATCTCCGAAGAGGCGGATCCGTGGTGGGAGCTCTTCGTTGGCCAGCAAACATCGGACGAGTAATTCGAAACCCACCGCCTCTGCCCATCCGATGTCTCTTCCGTCTCTGTCCCATCCTGCGCGCAGCGTCCAAGCCCTCCAGTGATCGCCAATAACGATTGCGATGCCTGTTCCTGAGCTTGCATCTGAGAATGCGTCAAGCCGGACAACTGGGAGAGGACCGGGGATGGGGCGCGAGATCGATTGTTGTGAGAGAGTGTCGAGCCACCAGTCCAGATCAGCTGGAGTCCCTCGAGGAGGGGTACGCGGCATGAAAGGGTTGTTGTGGAAGATACCCAGCATGGCTTCGAGGTTGGTGAGGTAACACCGTCCCGCCGGGACGACCAACGAGGCATGTAGAAGCTTTCCGTAGAGCTTCTGGACTTCTTCCAACGTGTGCGTGCGGTGTCCGGGGGCTCGCCACTCAGATATAGCCAGGCAGTACTTTGCCGCTTTCGCTGGAGGGAGGGATACTTCGCGGGTTTCCAGGTTCCATAAGAAGCCCGTGAATGGGAATTCGTGAGCGAAGGGGACATCCTTCTCGGCTTGCCATGGGATTCCCAGTTCCGATGAGATGTCATCGATATCCGCCATGCAGCAGGAGTATCGCGCATCCTCCAACGAACGCTCTGAAGACGCGGACAAGTCTTTGATTGGGAAGCGCATGTCCTCGACGAATTCGTCCACCCGCCCGTCCTGTAGCCGGTCACCTCCGTACCATAACCTGCCTCGGTCTTTATGCTCTCCGCCGTGGAATTCGATCTGTTGACGCCACTGCTCTCGTGCCAGGTTATATTCGCGTATGTATTGCCGCAAGATCCGGAAGAACGTGTGATCGTCGACCCACTTCGTGATGGGGCCCAGTCCTCTGGAGCGCATGATGTCTGCTCCGGCATCTGCGACGCCTCCGTAAAGCCCCGCATTTGGAGCGGCTCCGAAGGCTGCGTTTGAATCGACCAGGAACTGGTCGTTTGCGGACAGCCGCACGACTGTACCTGGCCATTGCGACGAATCAAGTGGTACCGTGCGATATGCTTCCGCCACGTCTCGAACCGCGGCCTGAGATCCTGGAGGGAGTCGGCTACATAAGAGACACATTGCGGTGAACGTACCCCAGGTACAAGGGAAATCATCTGATCGGAGTGAATCATTGATTGCGGAGTATCCAGCTCGTGGTGAATGAGGGTACGAGAAGTTCTGAACCAAACGGAAAACTCCTGGTTTGTGTGGCTTCGGAACCAGAGAAAGTGGAGAGGACTGAAAGGGGCCAATGAGGTCTTCCAATTCGCGTTGTGAGAAAGGGCCCATGTATCTCCGTTTTTGGATCTCGTCTTGGACGATACGCAAGAAAGTGTCTGTGTTCTGCTCAATTGTGAGGCTATTATTAGGGGCTTTAGTGACGTGAATGCGCGGGATTCCGATGATAAAGCCGGATCGTAGAGAAGACACCAAAGAAGGGTATTTATCAAGAAGGTCTGCGTCTCGTAACGTTCTATGCCAAGCGTCTGGGTGGTATGGGGTGAGGGGGTTACTTCTTCTGTGCAAGATTGCACGACGAAGCTCCGTGGTTCCGCCCCCCACATCCCGAACACTGATGGATGTGTTTGGGGCTGGTGGAGCGACAACCTCCCACTCGTTGCCAGTCGAGACAGATCGTCTCTCCATCCTTGTTGATAATCTGTCCCGAGGAGTTTCTTCCACACAAGGCTGGCTGTCCGTTCCACAAAGAACTCGATCGACACTTTCCGATCTCCTCTGAGGGGTGGCAGCCCAAGCATATGGCGCAAATCGCGAGGGCCGTGCGAGATGCGCCCCTCTGAAAAGACCCTCTTGCATTGCGCGAAGCGGACTCTCGGTCTCGCGAATGATGGCCGTACGGCTCTGCATCGTCTCTTCGACTACTACGACCCTGCTGCCCCGAACCACGAGCACCACCTCGCTGCTGACTTCTCGGAGACGGTGAGCGTCGTCGCCCCGACGCTTGACCTGATGAGCTTCCCCCTCGCTGGGATTCAAAGCTATCATTCAATTTTTGCATCTGAAAGTTTGTCCGGTCATGTACAGAGCGCGGGAATGGTGACCACGCCGGTTCACGAAGGATGACCACGCCGGTCCGCATAAGATGACCACGCCGGTCCGCAGAAGATGACCACGCCGGTCCGCAGAATATGACCACGCCGGTCCAAGGAGATGACCACGCCGGTCCGCAGAGTGACCACGCCGGTCAAGAGATAGAGACCACGCCGGTCAAGATGTAGAGACCACGCCGGTCCAGAACAGCACGACCACGCCGGTACGTGAAAGTATGACCACGCCGGTCGATTGAGTGAAGCCACGCCGGCCACCGAAGGTAACGACCACGCCGGTCAAAGAACAAGGGACCACGCCGGTCAAGAGAATAACAACCACGCCGGTTGAATGAACGCCGATGATAAATCCGCCAGCCGAAAATTTTAGGGGGGGGTAGGGACGTGATAGAAAACGACCGCGCCGGCCGGTCCCGACAAGGAGAGACATGACCACGCCGGTCAAGAAGAAAACGCGCGACCAAAGCCCCACGGAGCGTAGAAGATGAAGTTGTAAATACCCGCGAAAATGAGGACGCGATCCCCATGGGAGACGAATATGTACGCATTTGAGACGACGATGGTTTCGCGTGGGGGCGTACCGGTGCCGATACGTCGAGGGTGTTCCGTGGTGTCGGGGGAGAAAACGGAAGATGGGAAGTTCAAGATCACGCCTGGTCAGCGGAGATTCGACGAATTAAACAAACAGAGGGGAAGACGCACCCGTTGAATCTGCAACCTTGCCGACGTAGACTGGATTTCGGCTTTGCACTGCTCGTACAGTTTTGGTTCGAAGACGCCGATATTGTACGTCTGATCCGAGACGTTCCTGGCGATGATCTTCTCGTGCCAGTCTGTGCGCACCTCCTCCATGTAGCGCATGAGGGCCGGCTGACCGATCGGGTCTTGGCTATCCTGGTGCCCCACGATCTGTAGGAAGAACCGAAGGTACTGCTGTACTATAGGTTGCGGCCAGATCTCCGGGAGGTCCGTGATCTCCTGTATGAAGACGGGCCAGGCGGTCGTCATCTCCTCGAAGGGAAGATCCGCATCGCGGCGGACTCCTTTGATAGCTTTGAGGGACGACGCTGGGGTCAGGCTTAGACCCGTGTCTCCGGAGACTAGGGTATAAGTCTCGTTGACGACGCTCTTCGCTTGACTCTCTGCCAGCTGACGTGTTTTAGCCGTGAAATAGTCGAGTTCGACGTACGCTAGCTTCATGAGCTTCTCGCGCGCGTACTCCGCTACCCTCTGCCGAAGTTGGGTAGGGGGCCTTCGAGACGGATCTACCGTCGCGAGCTTGGGCTTTTTCTTGTCTAGCGTCTTCTGTTCTTCTGCCGCTGCACGCTGCTCTTCCGCCCGAAGCGCCTCTTCCTCTTCGCGCGCCCGCTGCTCTTCCTCTTCCGCTAGACGACGGTCCTCTAGGGACTGAACCTGCCAAGCTTGGATTTGCGCGTTGTGATGAGTTTGCCAACTCTCTCGAAGAGCCTGGACTGCTTGCTCGTCGTTCATGTTGCCGTTGGCCGTCATAGCCTGCCTGATCGCTGCAAACGCGACTAACTCGTAATCCGGGCACCGCTCACCGGATGGGTCGAGGACGCGGGGTCGGTTACCATTTTGACCGAGAGGATCCATCGACTGAGTTATGTAGGGAGTGTCTACCACAAGTCGAGAGCGAACGAGTCTCGAAAACAGGCAGTGCCGAACAGACTGTCGGCCAACGGTGGCGGCGAGACGCAAGAGGTTCGAGCGCTCGCTGCCACGCGTGCATAGACTCAGTTTGAAGGAAGCGCTCGTACCTCGCGCTTCCTTCAAACACTCAATGAGTGTAGGATGGAATGCGATTGAAGAGAGGAAGTTAGATGATACATTAGTCTTTCCGCAATACATACCGAGTCCACTAAGTCGAACGAACGAACAAACAGAACAAAGCTAGATCCGAGAATAAGAATCAGGAGCCGTCTACGTGTACAACCTTCGGCGCGACAGGGCCCCCACTCGGGTGTATGTCAGGTATCGAACCGTTTGGTATTCGAGGCGGAAGCGGCTGATTCGAGCTTGATTGCGACGGGGGTGGGAAGAGCGGACCTGCCGGCGACGTTCTCAAGCCACCCATCCCAACGGACTCTGGATTTGGATGTCGGGCTGGCCCTGGTATCATCGACTTTGGGAGACCTGGTGACGAAGGGCGACCAAAAGACTTCAAGCTAGGACTACCATTCTTCGACGCCCCAGCACCCTCCGCTCCCACTGGTGGTGACCGTGCAGATGAGCTCAGTGATGGTGGAGGCGGTAGCTGCATTCCCAGCGGCGGCTGGCCTGTCCTCGTAGGCGAACGCATAGGCCCTGGGAAACCACTACCAAGGCCTGAAGGACTCATATGCGGAGCAGGACCGCCGTTCGTATGTGGCGGTGAGTGAGACATGCCGTAGTCCGTTGGTCTCCCGTGCGTCGGCGAGTTCCACGTATTCGGGCGCGATTGGGCTGGAGGCGGTGTCTGTGGCCGTCTTGCTATAGGTTGTCGATACGTGCTGTTCTGCGATGGTCTGCTCGTAGATGCGGAAGAGGCTGGGCGGAGAAGACCGTTGTCCTCGTGATTCGTGAATGAGCCGCGTCTCGACGGGCCTACAGACGAAGGCGCCGTAGGGGGCAGAGCGTTGCGTGGTGATCCCGGAAAGCTGGACGGACCCGCGGCGAAGGGGGTCATCATTCGCTCGTGAGGACCAACGGGCGCAGGTCCGATCGGTCTGCCACGTTCGCGCGACGCATCAGCCGACATGTGCGGCGATGGTAGCAACTGTCGTGACGGGCCAGCAGCCATATCGACTTCCATAGACGCACTCGGGTGGATATGCCGAGGCTCGATCTCGCGCGGCGGACGTGGACTGTTCATCGAGCTCGAGCTCGCCCCCACTCCAGAAGGCAGCACCGACATCGGAGGGCCCTGACCAGGGCCGTTCGCCTGCGGAGGATGGTGATGGTGGACGACATGGTGGTGGTGCGGCCCAATACGGTGATGGTGCTGTACGACGTGCACATGCGGAGGCTGCCCTGGCGGTGCATGTACGTGCGGATGCGAGTGCTGATGTCCTGCGTGTCTCTGAGGTATCATCTGCATGGGGTATCCTCTTTCTTGCTCCCGCTCGCGCCCAAAGTCGCGTTCCCGCTCCACCTTGTCTCGACTCTTCTGCCCATCCATGAACCGCTCGCGCTCCGAATCTGTATCACGCGCGTCCGCACTGCTCTCTGGTCTCTTTGGGTCCTTGTGTACAAGGCCCAGCATGCTTGGCCCAGGAGGACCACCCCCGACCCACCCGTTTGACTTTGACTGCGAAAAACCGGGCGGTGCAGGGGAGGGCACCATCCTGTTCGCCGCAGTCTGCACGGGCACCGGTGAGATCGAACGCGGCCTCATAAGTCCGCCGGGCCCATTCATAGATGGCATGCCACCAAACTGCTGCATGTGCATGCTTGGCTGCGCGTGACCAGACCCCGGTCGATGCATGTCCTGATCGATGGCCTGCGATGGATGCAGGTTCGGTAAGCTGCCTGGGACCGCTGAAGGGTGGTGAGCGGGGCGCGGTGCTTGCGGCTGAAACCCCGGCATACCCGGCGGAGGTTGCATCTCCGGATAATGCGGATGTTGAAACCCAGGAGCGCCGGGGCCGAAGCGATTGCCTGCACCAGGTCCGTTGACCATAGCCATATTCATCGGATAGTCAAACTGAGGGACCGGGGCACCGAGGGCTGGATTGATCATCTGGCGATGTGGGTCAAAACCAGCAGCACCACGCCTGTGCTGGAACAGAAACTCCAGGTCCCTCGCGATGTCTGTGAGTGGAAGCGCGCTCAGGTGTGGGTACGCAATGGGCCCTGGGCTTGTGGCATCCTTGTGGCGTGACGCCTGCCCTGAAGACGCAATACCGAACGGATAGGTCTTGACGATCTCGCGTAATGTAGGAGGCGCGCGGACCTCTTGAGGTGGTTCCGGCATCCGACGTTCTGGAGGTTGTTCAGAAAGCGCGCTAGACCGGGAAATTCAGCGGACACACCTGGCTGTGGGCGCTCCAGAGCCCGTCTCTCCCGCTCGAGCTTGCGCCTCTTTCTATTGGTCTCCGAGATCATCTCGGTCTGGAGATCATCTCTTTCCGCCTGCGGACGCGACGCGACCAGCGTGATGTCAATACATGCCCATCACGTGCCGAACGCGTCCTTACCTTCCACCAGCTCCACACGCCGTCCTCGTCTAGCTTCCGGCGCTTCATGACATTTAAGGCCTCGAAGTCGCGTCTTCTAGAGGCCAACTCCAGCCTTTTGTCGCGTCGTTTCAAGAGCTCTTCATTAAGGTGCAGTAGCTCGGGATGTGTGCCTAGTGAAGAAGGTGAGAGTCGGTAGGTAGCCCGACACAGAAGAGCCTATATGCCGAACGCACCTTCCGCGACCAAGGCCTCCTCCCATGCTAGGGCCTCCATCTTCTCCACGTAGAGGCGCTCTCTGAGAAGGGCGAACTTCAGTTCTATAGTCGCAAGTACGTCGAGAGCTTCTGCGCGGTGCGCTGGTTGCAGGTCGGACTCGAGCTCCAGTTCCAGTTCTGGAGAGTCCGGGTCAGCCTCCTCATTGTCAGCAGCATCGCCGTCCTCTCCATCTGCGGCAACCTGGTCCGCATCTCCATCAGCTTCGAGGTCACGTTCGGCCGCCGCATCAACCTTGCTTTTGCGCCTTCGGACCCTTGTTCTCTTCCTCCGCGATGCACGACCGCCCTTAACGTCGCGTTCTGGTTCTGGTTCGCGATCGGATAGGACATCTGCATCACCTTCGGGCGTCGGTGAACGAGACGATGAGGGTGAGCCAGACGCCGAGGACGAGGATGAGGGAGAGCGTGAGGGCGGCGCCACAACAGTCGAGCCAGCCATGATAGAGGATGCGGCAGCCATGTGAGATGTGGGAGCAACGAGTGGTGGCGGCGGTACAAGCTGGTCGACGACCATGAGCGGAGCGTTGTCGTCCAGCACCGGGGGTGCAGCGTCCAGTGGCGTCGCCGGTTCGAGTGCCGCGGACGCGTCAGGCTCGTCTTCGGCGTCGGACTCTGCGAGGGGAGGGTCGTCCTCCATGGGATCCTCGCCCGCTTCCTCATCATCTCCGTTCTCGTCGTCAGTGAGGTCGGGTGAGGGGGCGCCCTTGTGGGACGCGGCGCGCGAGGTAGCCCCGCTGACCGCAACGTCAGGATCGTCTTCATCGAGCTCTTCATCATCGTCAGTTGCATCCTCATTGTCGAGGGGATCATCTGGGAGTGGCTCTAGCGCTTCCGCGGCCAAAGCGTGCGCAGGCGGCTCGTCGTCATCTTCCTCGCGCTCGTCCTCGCCGTCGCTCTCTACCTCCTGCGGAGCGATACGCTCTGCGTCATCGTCGCGGTCTGCGTCGTCGTCTTCCTCCTCTTCCATCGCTTTCGCGGGGCCGGACTGCTCCTCTTCCTCCTCCTCTTCGACAAGGCGTGTGCGCCAATCGCCCTTCTCCGTCTTCTTGGTGTTCTTGTATGCCCAATCCCACATCGGAGGTGGAAGGAGGTTGTTGCGCTTGCGTTTGCTGTCTCGTGGTCTGCTCGAGTTGCGCACCTCTGCTTTACTATCGCCACGGTTCTCCTCCTGCTCCTCCTCCGTCAGTTCGGAAAGCTCTGAGCCGCTGTCGAGGGCTGCGGGGTTGGATCCTGACGCGGAGTGCTGCTCTTCTGGTGGTGGAGGTGACGGCGACGGTGAGCTGAGGGGTTCAAGTGAGACGGTCGAGCCCGTCATCGTTGTCGACGGCGAGGGACTTGTGCAAAGTGCAGGCGCGCTCAGCCCGGGGGTCACACAAGCTGTGACATGCCGGGGAATGGAACCTTGCCTAATCGGGGACTTGTGACTTTCCCGCACGGCCCGGAGATCGCCAGACACTGAGCGCTGTATTTTGACCTATTTGTCTACTTACACAAATCAGCAAGGTCTTGACGCCAACTTTCGTGCTCTCCGTGAGACTTCGTGCTACTTAGTCAATATAATCTCTGCCTAACCCTCGAATCTGGACTGCGTCAAGCTTCTGCTCGCGAATTTGGCATACATGTACGGCAACGGGTGTCTAGATCTCGTTCGTCAGTCGGTCGTCTCAATTAGCGGCAGTTCATCTCAAGAATCTCCCATACGGCCGGGCCTGGGAGCCGTATCCAAGTTGATTTGAGCCAGGATCTCCGGTGGTACGTGTTCGCGCTATGTTACTATGTATACCTCATTATCCATATCTAGAAATGCGTCAGGCTGCATGCGCCAGTCGCCCCACCTTACGAGTCATGTAAGGTACAGCGGTACGAGTGATACACGTTCTCAATCTGTAATATCCACACATTATACCATCAGACATATGACAGTGCTTAGCAGCATGCACTCAGAGCTCAGCCGCTACGTACTGCACATGCCCCCAGCGTCCTCGGTCTCCAGAACCACCGCTCGCCTGAGCATACATACATGCGTCGAGGCGTGTATCTGCAGGCTCAAAGTTTCGCAAGTGAAGCGAAACGCTCCCGGGCCATTATGTTCAGTTGTAAATAGAGCCATCGCCGTATTGATACAAGAACAATACAGACCTTGCAGAACGAGGTTGCACAGCGGAGATGTTTAGTACGTGAATGGCTCTTGCAGCGACGCTCGCGGAGTAATACGACCGTGCCTTCAAGTACGACAATCTCCTACAGAGGAAAGTGATCGTCAGAAGACGAACTAAGACGCTTGCCGGCTGTTATCGTCTGCAACGGAGACTAAAGACGAACGGGTTATAGCAGTAACGCACGGCTACCGTGCTCAAGGAAGTCCTAGAATAGGAGTCTGCTTATTGTGCATGATCAGAAGTGTATTTCGAACAGGAAGGGCTTGCAGCGGGTTCATCTATTACCGAGTATCGGTCGCAGTTAAACCAAGCACCAATGCTCACGAACTTGTCGCAATCTTCTGTCCATCCTATCTTGCGTACCCGGTGCTCTGTATCAGCGGGACCCGGGCCATATGCTACACTAGGTCGGAAAGTGCAGCGTTACGATCCAGACCAGAGAAGTCGTACGGCCAACCCGGGAATCGCTGGATAGTTAGCACTGCGCGCGACCACTGGCCAGTACTGTGTTCGAGTCGAAACGTATAGAGTGGCAGTTCACGAGGAGAGGCGGAGGAGAGTTGGTGGACAACTTGTCTGGCGGCGCGGAGAACAACGTCGGCGTCGCTGTTCTGGCCGCTGCCTCTCGCTGCCTCTCGTGACGGTCGCTCGACGTCCCTCTTCCTCCGCGACGTGACCTTGACGCGATCTCCTCCATCGCAGGTCGAACCTATCCATGTTGTCTACGCACGATGTTGTGTAGCCTGTGTCCGTGACCATGATCCGGGAGTGGTGAGCTCCTCTCCGGTGCTGCGTGACTCACAAACATCTAGGTCGCACCGGCGGTGTGTCTTAATCTCCCCGTTCTGTGGCTATTCGCGCGCAATGACCCTTCCTCTTGAGAACGTCCGATCGACTGGGAGGGGCGTTGCCGCAACATGCAACATGCAACAGTCACACATATCACGCTGTGACACACTTTCGGACAGTTGGTTATGTGTCGTTCAACCTCGGTGCCGCCGTGGCGATGAGAGCCGCACTATTTGAGGACTCATGGGACCGTGCTGGTGAACACCCTGCAGCGAGCTGACGTTTATGTGTCTTGTACATAGATTCCGACTAAGAAATATTACCGTAGACCAACCACCTGCCTAATCAGGGCATGTGGCGGGTGCCTTGTGACGCGGTCCGTTCCAAACATACAGCTGTTATCTGAACTCGAACAGTGTTTAGATGTGTGATAACTCTTAAGTAATTGTGTGCTTATCTTCCAGTTTTCGGCTCATTGAATGGGATTGCGGTGACCGACTCTAGTCTCTGCTCTGCCAGTGAGTCGCCACCGTGGCCGCGATGTATATGGAGATTACGTAAACACACGGTGGCGGGCCGCGGTGAATCGAGTACTACTTACTGTAATAGTCTTTGAACTAGGTACACTGAGGCGACATTCGTTCTAGGATATATATCTCGCTTTAACCTGAATGGATCCGTTATAGCCATGTACCGTTAGCCCGCCACTTAGGCCACAGAAGGAGCCACACCGTGACTTGCGTGACGTTGCACGTTGCGCGCAACGCGTTGCACGCAACGGCTCTCCCCGTGGATCGGACTTTCTGTTCCTCTTGGACTCTGGTCAGTCGACTGGCAGAGACCAAGCAACGCCTGTGAACGTGACCATAAGCCTATCCGTCACGCACCATCTCTGCTACGCCATCCCTTTCCTTGAGCATGCCAGCCGCGCCGCGTTCTCAGAGCCATCTTGTGCATCTCCGCTCATCTAAAAACACTGGGCCATGTAGTCTCCGTTGCTGACCAAAAAGAGATGCTCTGGGCCATGGCCATGGACGGGCCGCATCGGGCTGCTCTTGTCCGCCAATCTCGCGGAAGGAGCGGTCGCAACCCAACGCATATGCGCATCGTGTAAAGCGCGCCGTGTCGGTATGTACTTGGAGTAGGCAGGGGCTGGATACCTGGTAAGTGCGTCGTCATTGTCTATTAGTCTGCCCTAGTGCCACATCGCCGAGCCTGACCTTGTTCAAGTTGAGTTCGTGATGGAACGGTTTGTGTCGTTGACAGTTGTTGATGATCCCTGTCCGGTGTTACGGGCCGAGATCCCCGCTGGCCTCGATAGACTATAGATCCCGAGTGTGGCTTAACCAAGGCTTAACTTGAACTTGACTCTCACCACCAGCTCACCACTACGACGACAAACCATACACACACGCCTTCCCAGAGTCCGCGATGCCAAAAGCAGAATCTTCTCGCACTCCTCCAGTCGCTCAGACAAGGATCTTACGTTCTCTACCGGCCGCCAAACCACGATCGTGACTACCTCACGCCATCTCAGTTTTCGTAATGCTATCGCCCACTATGCATCTTCTGTACTATACTAATCGTTACCACGCATTGTACTAGATACGGGTTGCTTCTGCTATACTCCTGGACTCTTCACTTGAATCCCCATGGTCACGACATCGACATCGGCATCACAATTCGTCGCGTTAATCCCTCGCTGCACCGCCGCTTGTCTAGACTCTAGACGACCTTGACAAACAGTTCGATGTCGTGAAGCTTGTCATTCCCCGTCTTCGCCACCGTCTGCGGAGCAAACCACAACCGCAACACGATCATATAGTCGTCGTCGTCTTTGTACGTACCCCTCTATTGCGTTTATGCCCTTCACCATGCACAATTTCAGCTTAGTATCAGGCTCTACTTCGTGTCACTCGCAGCTCCAGTGGCGGCATTACGCGCCGCGGGGCCTCTGGCTGGGCGCGCGGCGAAACCGCCTTTGTCCGTGTCACGGACGGCCTCCGCCTTTACGTTATCTCAGGCTGGTCCGGGAATGTTATCGAAGCTGGCGATGCGTGAGTCTGAGTCGCAGAGGAACATCGCAGACGTACCAGTGTATCCTCTAAATCGCGATGTCAGTCTCGCACAGAGATGTTCTTCGAGTCATAGAATGAGTGTAAACATCAGATCTCAGATCTCAAGTCGCTCTGCTCTTGCTCTACTCTCGACGTTCATCGACCCGGTCTTCCTATCGCGGCACTGCTCTCTGTGCGTGCTATCCGAGAGCAGTTCTGTACCGCGCTGCAACTTCTTAAGCTTACTGAGTGTAGGTCGTCTCTGGGAGTTCATCAAAGCTAATTGTGCGAGTGTAGCTCGTCATTATTGTGTCCGCCATCTTCTTCGCCGTCATCATCATCCCTTGACTCTCGAGCGGAATCAGCCGCTTATGCTTGTCAAGGCATTTTCGAGCTATCTCGGTGTTTAGGTTCGTCAAGTCGGACTTAGGGTTGCTTATGTTACGCTTGTGCGCCTCGAGATCCCATTACCGCGAGGCGATCCTAGGTATGCCTACAACTTAGTATGTCACGGGAATCCAATGCTATGGTGCTACCAAGCGATCCGCACCGACAACGTCGATGCTTCTACGTCGATCATTCTTAAGTGAGACCAGCGCGGTCCGCTGCATGAGTGTATGCTGTACAAAGAACAACAACTGTATCGCGGTTATCACCTTCAACCTGGCTATGGCTCACTGCTCTAGCGCTATAGATCATACAGCATCCGATGTATATCGGTCGCTGCTAGTAAATTACAGAACGTTCGGTTGGTGGAAGCGACGTTCTGAGCAAACACTGCATGGTGAGTCCTTGTTACTTGCTGCGAACAGCAAACAGACCATATGATACATCATAAGTAATACAAGCATACTGTATCGAGGCATATGTCGTGACCTGAATACAATGCCTCCGGTGATGGTACACTATGAAGCAAGAGAGAGCGCACAAACAGCTGATAAAAATGTTGGACATCTAATGTGCAATGATCTGGGCCCAAGACTCGGAACGGCTACAAGCAGTCGCTACGGGCTCACCTGGAGGCCGCGTCTCCTCCAAATACTCCGCGTACGCATATTTCTCGTCCTCCGATACCTCCTCCGCGTCGGTGATCGTGTCCGGAGGAACATACGGAAAGAGAGCGGAAAGGTATGCGAAGACCCGTGGGTCGCCTGCATCCTCCGCGGGAGTGGCAATCGCGTACGTCGTGACACGGGACCGGGGCTTCCAGTCTGGCTCAAGGTAGGGGACGCCGAATGCAGCGGTGACGGGCATCGTTAGTAGCGTCAAGTCGGGGCAGAGCTCCACGAGGTGCTGGAGGGCCCCGACGGGTGGCTCTCCTCCCGCAAATGCGGCTGCCATGAACTCCAGAGTCTGGATATCCGGGAAGGCGAGGGCGATCTCCCGGACATCGCATGCGCTCATGGCGAAGCTTTTGGCGTAAACCACGAAGTGCGTGAGTTTCTTGAGCTCGAGCAAGGGCTCAAGCGTCTTGAACGTGATGCTTGGACAGTCCCCGTCTTCTTCGGAATCCATGCGCCAAGCATGGATCTCGATTTTGCGAAGGGTCGCCGCGAAAGGCGCTTGCGTTAGTGCGGCGAGATGTTTTGTGAGCAGATCGTTGTCGAAGACCTCTGCGTTGACGTGTAGCGCCAGGCTGAAGAGAACGGACGAAGCAATATTCTCCAAAAGCGCGAGGGACGACGGACCCAGGGCCTCGAAGCGCAGGGTCAGAGTGCGCAGGGAAGCAAGACAAGCAGAAGGGAGGGCCGACACGACCATGTTGTCCAGCGTGTACCAGTTCACTTTGACGTCAACGTGTTGCAGCGAAGTCGACTCGACGATCGCAAGCAGAACATCGTCGAAGAGTGGGCTTGTACAGCTGAGATCGATGAGTTCTGTCGCACGGACAAGGTCGGCAAGTGCCGCGCCTACCGCGACATGTAGCGGCTCGCTCGAATCCCCCGCGAGCCGGAGTCGCCTCAGCTGCGGACACGTCTCCCTGACGGCGTCCAGGACGCTACACAACGGAGCTTCCTCGGTGAGCACCGTGTCCAGCGACAGCTCCTGCAGGAAAGGGTTCACGAAAAGGTCTGGGTAGAGAAACCTGGCCACGGAAGGTCGACGCTCGGTCCAGGAGAAGGAACGCAGGTTCCGCAGTAGCTTGAGCGTAGGTGGAAGACACGTCAATGACCCGACGGCATAGATCTCCTGGTTTACACTTTCAGGGTCTTCGGACCACGAGATGCGCTTAATGTGTTGGCCGTACCACATCGCACGGCGTATGGGAGAATCGTGGGGGTAGGCAATTTGTTGCGGGACCTAGGCCACACAACGTGAATTTGCAAATTGCAACGACGGTGACCACGGCACTCACCGAAGCTGGATCTGTATTCTGCAAAGCTTGCATCCAGACATCCATAGGGATGACTTCTAGCAGCGGATTCAAGGTTTCCAGTTTCTCCCATAGTATCGGAATGGCACCGCCATGGAACGCCTTACTCGTGGCTGCGAGACTGGCCACAGTACCCTTGCCTTCCCCTTCGCCGTAGACCTCTCGAACGATCATGTCAAATAGCTCGTAGACGGAAAGGCATGTATGGCAGGCGGAGGGGCCGCTCTTCAACGACGAGACCGTACTCTACGGCAGACAAGGATCAGGCATAGACGAGAGTCAATGTGGAGCGACACTTACCGGGCTGACACAGTCATTGCTCCCGTCCGGTAGAGGAGGCGACTCGGACATCATGCGGGGCTCTCAATAGGAGGACTCGATGGAGCTGTGAAGAGTTAAATAGAGTTTTTGGCGCCGTTGCACCGTGGGTACTGAGTGCTTCTGTGGCCTTGGACGCTTTGATGGCGCGATCGTTTTGTGGCCTCGGAGACAATATAGGATAAAGCGTGGTTGCCACGGTTTACAGAGTGGCTACGATTGACCTGCACGTGGCAATACTATCGTTAGATCACTTCCATTGAGGTCTACGCACAAAGGAACAGACAAAGCAGGTAGCTTCAGGACGCGGTAGAAGCATCATCCTGGACTGTGTGTACACAGGTCAAAGTGCGCATCCACAAGGGCTTCGAGCCCTGAATACCTTCATAAGTGTCCTTCCAACAAGCAAAGCATCGGTCTCGGTTCGTGTGATGGCTGTCATATGTTTCGCGTCGTTTCCGCATAACAGGTCAGAATTGGCATCTAGGCTGCTAAGCATCATTCGGCCTGGCCTCTCCATTGTCCATCTGAGTTCGAACACAAGTGCCAGTTAGCGAGTTAAGTGGGGACATGTAGGCCTTTTTTGCTCACTGCAACTGATGCACCACGTATTGAACGAGGCATCTGCTTGTTTCTGTACTGGCTCGTACTCAGCTTCAAGCACGAAATCGCAACCTCTCAGTTTTACAAGGCTGTGCACTATCATCGAATCTGAATACATCATAGCTTTGAACCGACGTCAGATTTTTTAGAACGTCCTCACAATTGCTGTTCAAGAGGCGTACCACATCATGATCATTCAACCAAAATCCAGTACTCCGAGGCGATGGACTCCTACTGGACAGCTCGGCATATAACAATGGCTTGAAACCCACAACCGGGCTTACCTTTCAGCGACTCTAGCTTTGCATTAAGGCTATCAGGATGTGCTGGGTTGGACATTGTAGCCCCCTCCCCGCAGAAGGGCCGCCGCCACCGTTGCTAGAGTCAGGCTGAGTAGTACGACTTACGTAAACACTGATGTGTTGTCTGTCATTATCATATCCTGCGGTGGTCATCCATATACGACGTTGTCGCTATGCAGGTCGACCTTGCTCAGTCGAGCGATGAGTGTCATTCGAGTACCAGACTGCAAATCAACGAGCGGGAGGAGGTCGTCCGAGGAGAGTTTCGGTGACAAGTGCGTGCCTGATGCCGCCGGACGGGCGCGCCGAAATGATGCGCGGTGGCGCGGCCTTGGTCTTGCTTCAATGGGTCTTGCCCACTGAATCCACAGAATCTACTCTATATTTTATTTAGCTTGGAAGAATGATTCTGTACTTCTCACTTTCTCAAGCATTCAGACTAAGTTATGGGCTGGAGCTGCCAATGCCATTCTTGAAATCAGCCAACCTACTGACAGTCACGTGCATGCCGCGTTCAGTTACCAGTAGCAGTACATCGCCTAGTAAGTAGGCGGGGCAAAGGCTTCGTCTTCTCCCTCTTCTACTCCTTGCCGGAGTTCCTTTCTGAGCTGCGGTGTATGATTTCTGTACACCATGGCTGATCAAAGCCTCTCTTCAGGAGATAATACCGGTCACCCCGAGCTACAGCAACTACGGAAGCAACTCCATGCGATCCTACGCGACATGGCTGACCTGGGACCGGTAGTCACCAAACCTCCAGTGATTGATTCCTCATTCGATTCCGCTAGTAGCCAGGGAGAAATTACTGAAGACGGGGTACCCGCTGAGTCAGTAGCAGGGCATCGAGCCTTGAGGGATGCGATAAAGCGCGACCTAGATGTTCTGGAGAGTGTGTGTGATGTTCTACTTCTCCTGCCCAGAATGACAAGCTGAGAACGGTATTCCAGTAGTTCCTCGCTGATCCTAGCAGCGCACATCTACCCGCTCTCTCGACGAACGCGCCGTACCTCATCGCGGTATGGAACGAGGTGTTACTCGCACCGCCACCAGTCGTGTGCATTTGGCAGACATACCACGACAGTGCACACTCAGAGCTACGCAAACGAGGGTCCCGGAAGGCTCCTGGAGTAAAGATTGACGTGGTGGCCGAGAACGGACATAGATGGATACGGGTGAATACGTGAGTGCCAATCGCAGCGTACGGCGGCGGCACTGGCATTGATCAATACGTAGAGCGAAGAACTCGCGCATGCTTGCTGAGTTCCGCGAGCTCGACTCATATCTCGCCGATTCGGACTCGGACTCGGACTCGGAGGCCTCTCAATCGATATCCTCTGCCCATCGACCCAAACCAGCGTCGACGGAGGTCGACAACTCGTTGCTGCGCATGGGACGGGCTCTCCTCACAGCAGCCCAACAAAACCCTATCCCAGGCACGGTCCCCCCGAAGGTTCCGTCCATTACCCTCCGTCTGACGCGGCTTGATCCATCACCTGCGGATTCCAAGGAACACGACGCTCGCATCGGGCAGACGATCGATGCACTCCGAGACGTGGGGATCGACGTGCAACTGGGAGAGCGGGAAATTACGTCTATCCCAAAAAGTGGACCCGCAAAACAATGTCCGTCGCGTTTGGAGCCGACTTTGAAGGTCAACCTTGACCTATCCATACTGATCGCACTGGTATCGGACATTACCCATGCACCGCTCCCGCAGTCAGTAGAAGAGGCGGAGGCACGCTTCGTCCCACCTTCCTCATACATCGCGTGGAAACGCGAGCGTACTGCTACAACAACAAAAGTTGACGTAGCGGAAGGTCCTGTCAAGCACTCTCGCGCACTCGCCAATCAGGCTCTCCAAGAAAGAGGCCGCGGGCTCCTCGAAGACATATATGATCGCCTCGCGTCCATGACCCCTACAACTCCGTTCAAGGACGTCGAGTTCTGGACGACCTTTGAGGCGCGTGACCGCTTTCTGCGGATCGTGTTGAGCAAGATCGGCGGTGCAGGAGAACAGAGGCGTGCGCGTGCGCTGTTCGCAAGCGTACTGGAGCCGTCCATGAACAGCGAAGAAGCGGAGGAGGCGTACTGGCTGGACTCGAGGTATCCAAAAGGCTACCTTCCCCTACTACCCATACGCGTTTTCGACTCGGACGAACCCCCGCAGGATGAGACTCACGCTGAGGGGAGCTCCAAAACACTGGGACCCCAGACCGAATTCCCGCGCCAGCTCGCGCAGACGTGCAGGGCTATCCTCTCTGAGGGCAGCGCGCCCGCACCACCATCCGCGCTTCCTTCGATAATACCTAGCACTGAGGGCGTCGATGGAGAAGACGAGCCTATTCCCCGCGCTGCCACGACGCGCGCCAACCCTCGCTTGACTGCGCATACCGTGCGGAGCTTGCTCTGGGGCGCAATCAACGGCTGGACGACGATGACCGCGAACCGCGGGAGTGTCAAGGCGATTCTACGCGAAGTCAAGACAAGGGGGCGTGCTGCTGGCGTCGGTATAACAGGCATGAATGCAGAGGAGGGCCTGACGAGTGATCGGGTAGAGAAGGCGGCGATTTGGGTCGTCGATCCTAGGAGTCTGGCTGAAGGCATGAGATCGGACCTTCCCCTTACCAACGCTGCGTAGTCAATTCAGCATCCGTATGCCATGGCCAAGTATTTCGTCCCTGTAGCGATGCAAAAGCAATACTGTCCTTCGACGATATAATTACCCCAATCCAATAAATACGCAACGAGCGACTAAAGACTGAAATGAGTGTGTTCTTACGACGAAGAGCCGAAGATCTGTTCCGCACTACGCACATCTAATGAGATCGCAACCCAGGACTGAACCCCGGGAGACACTCACGCGAAGACCCACAGAGCTTGCGGGTTCATGTACGTGTCCGGAGTGTACGGGAAGCGCACTGAAAGAGCAGGTATGTTATTGACTATGGCAATTTTGTGTGACGCTGCATTAACTCACGCTGGGGAAGTTCGGAATAATACGCTGGTGGAACGGAGGTTAGGATTGAGCTTCCGTTGCACAGAAAAGGCGACTCACCGATCGGCGTCTCATTGTCGTCCCAACTGTAAGCTGCGTAAACCTACGTAAGAGCAAGTCGAGTATAGCTAACATAAGATGGACCCACCGGCTCTCCAGTTGTGACTGCGCCGAGGTCACAACGGCATTCAATGCTATGATCAACGAAAGGAGATAAAACGTACCGGAAGTCCGCGTTTACGAGTCTGCGAGGATTATGATCAGCAACTGAACTACCTCACGGCGAAGCGTACTCACAAATCGGGGGGAGCGAGAGAGTCCTGCACGCACGAATCAGTCTTAGCCCCCAGAGAATAGCAAGAGGGAGCGTACATCCTTGAGACCGGCAGTCTTGATCTCCGAATCGATGTCGAACCATTCCAAAACCTGGGCGCCGGCCATACCCTTGAACTGCATCGTCTCGTTTGGCTTACCTCCGAATATCGCGATGGTGGTGTTATGGCGCTCGTACATCACTGTGCTGAACTGAGCGCAAGTTGATGCGCAGTCACCGTTTCCCACTGCATTCGCACGCAATGAGCATTCGGGAACGAGGCCTGCAGACGGTCAGCGTACCGATTGCGACCTTTGACAGATCAAAGGGAGGCTCCTCGGGGATTGTGACGTTGAATGGCGTACAGACGTCCTGTCGATGGGTAGTTTGCAATGAGCATACAGGCGATCGGGCTACTCATGCACTCACGTAGAAGCGCTGCGACTCGTAGTAGTCCACGCCGTTGATATTCTTCGTCACATTGGGGGTAAGATAGTTGTAGGAGTTCGACTGCACAGAGTCATTGCCCGGGTATGCCCCTAATGACACGGTTAGCACTGATGCATCAATCACAGTTGCAAGAAACCCACACTCGTCCGGCGTATAAATCGCATAGACATCCTCGATGTCGTTCGCAATATCGGATGCGAGGATCTTCTGAGCAAGTGGGTTAGCGCGCACAGACGTCGAAAAGCCACTATTTACAAACCGGTTAGTCAAGCATAGCTGACAAAACCAGTGGATGTACTCTTACGGGAAGCCAAAGTTGGTGCCTGCGAGGTAAGAATGTAGGAACTGCCCCAAGCACACGTAGCCACCTTGGGATACAATGAGAAGCTGTCATACCCACTAGCGAGACGTTGAAACCCGTGCGTACCGCCATTGTTCGTCAGATCAATCAGCAACTGCGTCACGCCTGCTTGCTGGAACGCTGATATGACACCCGCAACCTGCGATTGGAATGCGTAGTAGTCCTCGGGTTCGAACGAACCCACGAACATCTAGGAGATACAATCAGTCTTGAGCAAAGTCCGCCATGCAAGCGAGGGCGACCAACCACACCAGTCTTGTTGTCCGGCAAGATGTAGCTCCAGAGGGCGTCTCCTCCGTCGATCGCTGTCAGATTTGGCACGAATTCAGACGGGATCCCGACACCCAAAGACTTCGATGCCGCCAGCGCAGCGCGGGGCTGGCGGGCTTCACGCGACTGAACAACGTCAGAGCCCTGAGTCAAGTAGTCGACACCATTGGTTTCGTTATTCGGGGCACAATTGCTTGCCCAGCTGCACGAAATGAGTCATGCTCTGCGCATCGAAGTCTCAACTGAGTCAATACGCACTATGATGCAGCATCCGTGAATGGTCCTCCGAGGTATGTCGCTAGATAGGGCACCACAACCGTCTCGGAGTCCGTCCCATTCGCAAGTATGACCTCCATGGTCAGGTTATCCAGGTCGGGGAATACGGGGCCCGCGACGTCACCGAACCGCTGTGTATAGTTGCCCCCGTTGATCCTGTAGCTGCTGAATACGCTGTTCACGCGCACTCCATGATCCAAGTAATTGCCCGAGACGGTGTCGGCGATGTGGTCCACGTAGTCGTACGCAGACATGCCGTCTATGCTTAGCACACGTGCGCCTGCGAGCCGAGCCCAGTCGAAGCCAATCGAGTCGTAGTAGCTGGTGTAGTTCGTTCCGAGGAGAGAGACGAATTCTACAAGGTCTGGTACAACATATACGTCTTGAATGCCGTCAACCTCTAGAGATATGATCGGCGCAGGGAGCAAGTTCTGGAAGGTCTCCCAGTAGCAGTACGAGTACCAGCCGGTATGACCATCGTTCAAGCCGCGGACCAGGTTGAACAAGTCCTTGTTGAATGCGTAGTCGGACTGGGATGTCACCGAATATGAGCAATGCGCCGAGGACGATAGATCTGGGAAAACGCACCGCGTAGCCCGTGCTATTGATCCTCGCCAGTTCGTCACGGATGTTCACCGCTGGTTGACCAAACTCCGGAACAGGAGCCAAGTAGTAGTCCTCGAAAGTGTAGAGGTCAAACACCTTGGACACAACGTCCAGTGCGTTCTGACGCAGAGTCTCGTTGAACGGGAAGGAAGACAGACATGCTCGCGCGTCAGCAGGAGTGACGTAAGTCTGACCAGCTATCGTCGCGCAAGGATCATCTTCTCGAGAGTCGAACGGAGACGCTGTGACGCAGCCTGGAAGGACGGAGGCAGCAGCAAGGAGCGCGAAGCTTGTCGATATAGAGCGCATAGTGCGGGGACAAGGATCAGGCTGCCAACTACCCCGAGTCTCTTCGAGTCCCAACAAGCGAATGGATGGATGCGCTGGTAGCCTGGGGGATACATCGCAGTCAGTCTTTTATACATACAATCCTCCGTGCAACCTGGACAGTCGACGCACCGACTGCTCCCGCATCATGATCGCATCCGGCGGGAGATGCTGTACGGCTTCATTATCATAGGCTGGCCGTGCGGGCAAGGGCGGCGCCCATGGAATCCCGGGCGATCACTGTTCGTAGTCATGGGCGTATACGTAGCGATCCGACACAGCTCGCGCGAAGGAGCACAAGCCAGGCATAAGCTGACAGCCACCGCGCTCCGCGGCCGTCGTACAGTAACATAGTGCTTGTCAGAGCCGATCTGAATTGATCTCACCGTATGGCAACTAAAAGTGAGCAGCCTCGTTTCGGGTCACAGGCGTGACAGATCGTGATTCAGATCTCGTAGATCGTGATCTTATCTTGCCATATCAGGTATGCAATCGCAGAGCGGTGACACTCTATCCACGCTGGGCCCCTTTGTTTGCTCAGACCTGGTAACTACTAAATTCAGGATATTCAGGCCGTGCCCAAGACATAGGGCAATGAGACGAGAGTATCGACGAGTGCTTCAATAGCTCATTTTGGTTAAGTTTGGATTAGGCGCCCGTGTTAATAGTCTCACGAGCGTTTCGGTCAACGATCCTCGCAGTTGTAGCCATCATTCTCAACAATTCACAGTGTAGGTCGCACATTTTGACCCATGTATACTTCACTTACCCGCAACTTCCAGGCCGTGGTCCGTCTCCGTCACGGTGGGTGGCACTGAGCGCTAATACAAATGGTCGATCACTGGCAGTGCGGCTACTTCCCTCAAACCTTTGTGCTCCTCCTCATTCGCTCGGCCGCCCTCAAGCTTTACGACCCATTGTATGGAGGTAACCTGCGCGGAGATTGATAAGCCGAGAGCTTGCGGAGGGTGATCGTCAGTATATTTATGGTGAGTAAGTACTAGATGCTTGAACAAACCTCATTGAAGTTCACAATGCCCGCTGCTTGTCCATGCTCCCGCCTTCGCACTTGTCCGCGTCCCGGGTTCGAGCACCTGTCCACCGTGCCTGCGTCCCTACTCGCCCGCCGCTCTGCTGCTCGATCACGGGCGGCCCGGGCCCGTTCACTATCGACATGTACGGCACGTCCTTCGCGTGCCCTGCCATCTCCGAGGACTTGGATGCTTTGACCTGCAGATCTAGTTCTCTGCACCAGGCAAATATTCAAGTGTCCTTTCATTGCACATGATATGTCCCGATTCTCAACGGTTCAACATAAGCTGCGTGAATGCACCCCTTCTCATGGCACCCAGGTACTGATCGGCCTCCTCTCCGAGTCACTCGTCATTGCCTACAAATCCGGTGCACTGCTGGCATCCCGCTGCGACCTTTGCGCACGCCCACGCGCGGCACCAGCCCGCCTCCCTTTGCGCGGACATCTCAGCCCGGCAGGTCACAGAGATGTATCAAACCGGAAGATCGCGAAACTCATCACACATTCCGAGTGCGGAGGGACATCTAGGAGCCCCGATGCAGGGACACTGTAGTAGTGCACTAGGTGAGTCGATTTCCCGCATTATTTGTCTCTCAAGAAGTTCCGTTCCGAAGACCGCCTGGAGCAGGCTTGGGCCGCCTTGGCCGGGACGTGCCCACTTGAGAGTCCAAGTAAGTTAAGTAAGCATGCCATCAGGTCTTCGCGGTATGGACTGTGCAGAACCACGGTACGGACCACTTTGTTTCACACTGAGTCACTGGACAGCCTGATGCACGGAATCGTGTTAGGATTTCTCATGCCGAGAGATGTGTAAGTTATGTTGCATCAACTCGGACCCAACAAGCAATTTCAAACTGACTCGTTCGAGTCCATGATCTTTCTTGCATCCCCGCGTGTCTCATGTGCTGCCCCGGTCTGAATTTTGAGGTGAGCAAATAGGACCCTGTTTGGGTAGAATACGAGCCTGACGGTATTGGGACGGTAAGTGAAAACATCATTCATATCTGTATGGAGTTAAAGTGTCTGGTGTCTTAGTCTTGGTTGGAGCGGCCCAACCGATGGTGTACGATTACTGTATGCGCAAATATGTCTTGTTGGTGCATTTCCTTGATATGGTATGTCAGTGTGATGCTAAGAACTGACCTGGCGAGCTCTTCATCCGTATTTGTCACAAATCTCCTGACATTTGATGCATAAAATATACCTTTCATGACGCATCGCGAGACGTCTGAGAAATGGACGTGTTGTATTGATCGGACATGTTTGTCGAAGCTCTCAGCGACATGTGTCATTATTGAATTTACCTCTCAGCCGTTCGTTTTGTTCGAGCATATCTTTCTGTCTGGACCAGTTATGGACCCTAAGTACAATGTACCATATACATAGCATGTACCAGTGCATGGTGCGCGCAGGAGACCGCTCGTGAGACTATTAACACGGGCGCCTAATCCAAACTTAACCAAAATGAGCTGTTGAAGCAGTCGTCGATACTCTCGTCTCATTGCCCTATGTATTGAGCACGGCCTGAATATCCTGAATTTAGTAGTTACCAGGTCTGAGCAAACGAAGGGGCCCAGCGTGGATAGAGTGTCACCGCTCTGCGATTGCATACCTGATATGGCAAGATAAGATCACGATCTACGAGATCTGGATCACGATCTGTCACGCCTGTGACCCGAAACGAGGCTGCTCACTTTTAGTTGCCATACACCGAGACGCTATCTCGGGGGACTTGATCAAGTAGCCTATCTAGGGCGCTGATACTGTGACAGTGAGGTGAGGATTTGGAGACGAGAGTAGCCAGTGTGCTTTGGATATACGGTGTAGACCGGGGACCCTCGCGGCTACAAGTCCACCGACTACCGCCCAAGATCTTGCAACTGATACATCTCCATGAGCGAGACGTGGCTGTGCATGCCTGTGTCATCCCGCATTCGGCTTTCTGGAGCTCCAGCTGAGCACCAGAGGTGAATATGCATGCAGAATGAGAAACACGTTGGATACCTGTGGCAGCCTATCAGCGAAGCAGCAAACTTGAGTCTGTATGTAAATAGTTCCCAAGAACGCACTTGGCCGCCGCTGGCCTCAGAAAACTGTTGGGCGCGCCGTAACCAACACTGCCAGTGCAACCCCGCAGTGATGCTGGAAACATGCGCACGTAACGCAGCTTGGGAGCCAACGATTGCAGAAAGCCATATGTATGCATGTGAAAACATTCCCTGGTTATAGGTGTCGCGATGGATGAGGGTCTAATGCGGGCGGGACTACACTAGTACGTGCTGATAGCAAGTAGCGAAGGTGAACTGAGCCCCGGAGGCAGGCGGGTGCCGTCGGAACGTCAGCTGCAATTGTAGGAAGCATAGCTGATGACCGTCTCCCCGGGAAGGGGAGAGGACCGAGGCAAGGGTGATGATCGTATGGGCAGTCGAATAATAGATGATCCGCAAGTAGGAATAAGGACACAGTCCAGATGCAAGCGTAAAGGACAAATGCAGCGCATGGAGAGGAACGAACCAACCAAGCTGCCCTAGTAGTACACACAGGAGTTAGATCTAGCATTCGCATCGTCGCGTCGTGAAGATCACGCCGCCACCGCTTCAGATTGCGCAGCCACAACTGGGGGCGCGTCCGCCTGCGGCGGCGGCAACATGATCGAAGTCGTGTCTAGAGATTTGCGAGGAATCGCTTTGTCTGACGAGGACACCGCCACAGCCTCTTCTGTCGTCGTTTCCGCTTCTTGGGGTTTCGTGTCTTCGTCGTTCTGGATCGTCGTATTCGCACCGTCATCAGGCAGAGGCCGGAGTTCATTCTTCGGAGTAGCCGACGAGTATTGGGATGGGAGTTCGGACTCCCCTTGCCCTTCTGCGTCCTCGTCGCCCGTAACAGTGACAGTCAGGCCCTCAGCATCAGGGGCCGGTGTCGGGGGTACTGACTCGCCTTCCTGAGCGGTTGCGAATGTCATGTAGGAACTCGCGGAGCCAGGTGTTGCTAGAGGGGCAGGCACGGAAGCAGATTTGAACGACGAAGGTGGAGCCAAAGGCCGGAGGATCTTCTTGACAGCGTCCGCTGTCATAGGCTCCTTCGGCTGGGCAGGTGTAACTTGGGCAGGCAAGTACGGCGACAAGGTCGGGGGCGCCTTGGCCGATGCCTCCTCCGTAGCTGGCTCCTGCGAAGGGCCATCTTCGGATGGACTGTCAGCGGCCTCCGGTGGTGACGCAGCATCGTCTTCATGAGCACCCCCGACGGTTGCAGGCTCACTTGGCGGTATCTGCAGTGACGGGTCTGGACTGCTTGACGGTGAAGATCCAGGTGAGTCCTCCTGAACTTCCTGCACAGCGTCCTCGCCACTTGACCTCGCTGCAGATGTACCCGCCTCGTTCTCGGCAGTATCACTGTGGCCCACGACCTCTTCGAAGACTGGCGGCGGCGGCAACAGGTCCACCCGACTCGTGCTCGCGGCAAATGCAATCGCATCCGGGCCATACGGCATGCCGAACCGCTTGAAGCTCTCGACGCTCGCCAACAGCTTCATCTGGTCAGGCGTCGGACCAGTCCGTGGATACGTCAGCTCCGTCCGGATGACAGTGTGCGTGAGTGGCGCCGAGATCGAGTGCACAGACAGTGTCGAGGGCGACGTGAGCGCTGTACCGAGCGCGGTCCCAGACGTGTTCGAACGTGTGCGGAACACGGCAGACAGGCCAGACGTCGAGCCTGAGTGCGAAGGTCGGTGCGTGCGATACGGCGAACCTGCAGAACCGGGGCGCGGTGACCCAGGCGGCGTGGCGACGGTGGCGCCGCGCGGGCGACGTCGGGGCGTGGTGGGCGACGGTGGCGTCGGGGGAACGGGGGCGGGAACGGGATCCGATGATCGAGGCAGGCCTTCGACGCCGCCCTCGCCACCGGTGTTCTGGCGACCGGGATTGAAGAGCGAGAGCAGGCGCGGAACGGACAGGGCAGAAGCGGTGCCCGACGAAGACTCGCCGCGCCCGAAGAGATGCGGCCGACGGAGCGTACCCCCGCTCCCACGCTGTGCAGAGGAGCGGTCTGCGTCTGCTGAGGTGTCCGCGCTGACAGCAGGGGCGCTCTCGCCGTGACCGGCGTCCGTAGAATCGTCGATCGCAATTCCCGAGTCTTGATCAACGCTGATGGACTCGCGATACGGGGGCGCAGGACCGCGTTCCCGCTCGTGATCGTGCTGGTCCTCACTGCCTGCGGACTCCTCGCTGATGCCGCCCACCGTATCCATACTCGGCCGGACGTTGACGGTGCGCATCGGGATCGACGACGGTAGAGGCGAATCTTCCGTCCGTGCGCGCGTGAGCGGGATCGCGTTGTCGAGCAGTGGTGTGTCGGGTTCCGCAAGGCTCGACATGCTGTCACGGCGCGTGTCGGGCGTCGCGCCTTCTTGCACGGGCGAGAGCAGCGCGTTAGCGCTTCCCGTGGTGAGGTCCTCCCTGCCCCTGCGCCAAGTCAGCCTTCTGCACACGAGGATCATGAACGCGACATACCTGAAGACGACGACCTCCTGCTCCCCAGGCTCCTTCATGTACAGCGGCAAGCTCCTCGTCGAGCGCGTAGACGCGGTGCTGTTGGGCCGCCGCCGTCGATTACTGCGCCCTGTGGTACCAGCGAGCTGCTCGGCCGTGAGCTCGCGAGCCTGCATTCCGGGGACCGTGACCGGCCTCGAGCTCCATGCGCGCATCCGGCTCAGCAGAGACTGGCGGGATGACGCCTGGCTCGTCGCCGAGGTCGTGCGCGTCGGCGTGACCGATCGTTTCCGCATGCGGTATGCCACAGCGCTCGCGAAGATGAAGAGCCCGACGCCAACGATCGGAATCTAGAAGTAAGCACGTTAGCGATGACTCGCGTCAACTGAGAACAGATGTGCTGGGGTAGACTGAAGTGATGAGGCCAGCAATGTACACGACCGGCAACGAGTCGCTTCGGTTTTGAGGGCCTGTCAGCTCCGCAGCGCCTGGGCGAAATGAACTATCGCGATGCCAACTTCCTGGCAAGCGCACGTAAAGGAGTAAGGAGCGTCCCAAGCTTCCGCGCCCGTCCGTCGCAAATTGTTGGAGTCCTCATGGTCAGAGTGCAGACAACACTGCCCTACAGCTCCCTCGCACGCAGCAGCCCCCCACACGACGGGTGGAGACTGACGGTCGGTGACTGTTGGGGACAGAGCATGGCGTCATCGGTGAGCAGAGGCCATGATCGCACCACGGCCTAGACCAGCATTTCTATACGATGCTCCAGCGTCGCTGCTCGCCGTTAAAGCTTCACGCGTATGCCCCCGGCAACGCGTCTCAAGCGGTGCGCTCACGGGCCATGAGGTTCGGGGCGTGGGGTGCTCGGTATGATATGGTAGCACGAAAGCACTCCATGCACGACGACAGAGAAGATAGACCGGATCTCTTCCCTCGACATCAGGGCCCGTGGTCTCCTAGGACCCCTATCGATTGGGGAAGAGGCCTGGTCCCAATCTGAACAAATTCAGGCCATTCAAGACGGGGAGGGGGTATGCCTGGTGCCGTCGCGACCCAGTCGACATTTGTGCTGGCGGAGGCCTGTATCAGTATCCGGGCAGGGTTCCTCCAGCCCAACAAGGCCTGATCCTGTTCGGACACGTCAACAGCCCATGTAGCGTCGCAACACGGCCTGAAGCTGAGTTAGACGTCTGCTGCATGTGCGAACTCGGCATCATCGTTTCCCCACAGGGTCCTGGCGTCGAATGCCGAGCAGCCATAACGACGAGGACGAGCGCTGGCATGATGTCACCAATAGCCAACCCATCCGCGCACCGTTGGTGCTCACTTGCCCAACGTCTACCATGGGTTGCATGGCTGACGAGGCCTGATCCTATGATCAGCACATCAATCTGCTCGTACCAAGGCCCGATGCACAGTCCCGACAGCGCCAGGTAAGGCTCGCCGAGGCCTGATTTTATCGGGACAGATGCAAAGGTCTACGTCCAGACAAAACTTGCCGAAGTTTCGGGTGGCAGGCTGAGACTCCCCACCAATACATAGAGGTGCTAGTCTACTAGCTAGCAGACCAAGGTTCAAAGTCGATGGAGCCGCGGGACCGGGGCGACGTCCTCGCGTCTCAGCTGTGAGTGCCCTCCCCGTGCCTTCGTACAGCGCACTCCCTCGACGATGTCGCACTGCACCTGAAGAACGCGTGGCATTCTCCTCCTCACTTCAAGGATGAACAGGAACGACGAATGCGGTCGTGTGGTACGCTGACCCGCGTGCGTGCAACGTATGAGCGCTCTGAGCTGCGCGCACAACGCACCACCACCTTGTCTCCAGCAAACCCATCGTCCGATGCAAAGGTTACAGCCAGCGATGAAGACTCACCCATACTGCTACTGCGGCAGGCCCAGCATCGGCCATGCTATCTGAACCATCCCTCCCGACTAATTCCTGGGCGACTGCGGGCGCCGCACTTGCTGGTGTTGCCCATACGAGGGAGAGCGCGAGCAGGGTGTACTTGGCCGAGCGACAGCGCTCACAGCACCCGCTGAGGCGCGAGGGCGACGACGTGGACATGTTAGAGAGCCAGGTCAAGCGGGGCTGAGCCGTCCAGGTAGGGTAGATTACGGTCGTGAGACAGGGTCCGGTGGGAGAAGCTGAATCTGGTGGCGGGGCACTATCGGGCTGCCGCAGATAGGCGGAACAAGACGTTTCGGGGTCGTTCAGAAGAGAAAGCAAAGAGTAGAGGTCGCGTAGAAGGAGAAAGCAGGACGAGCTTGCCCAGATTCGGGATGAGAAGGAGAAGATGGTCGTCGTCCGTTGGCGCCCCGCTTTATGAGCAGCCGGCGGAGGTGAAGCAAGCGCTCAGTGGATCTTCAGTAACTTACAGACCTCTCTATTCCAACTCTTATCGACTACTTCACCTGCCAAGGCATATTCTATGACTCTGCCATCCTGTCGCATCATCCCCGCGGCAGAGGCTGTGTCTCGAATCTCAGCAAATAAAAGTCGGGAGTTGCGACACGGCCTTCGTGACGACCAAGCCCGCGCCACCGCGCATCATTTCGGCGCGCCAGCCCGGCGGCGTCAGGCACGCACTGGTCACCGAAGCCCTCCTCGGGCTGCGACGCTGCGACGACCTCCCGTCATGGGCCGACATAGGCGCTCGCTCACACCGCGTCGATCGCGCGTTTGGCCCAGGTCTGGCCGTCGTCGACAGCTCGTCGACCTCCAGCCCTCGCCCGCGCACTCGCTACGGCACTTGCACGCACTCTTCCACTGTCCGTTCCGCGCCCCATGTGCGCCCGCCGCCTCCACTGTCCGTTGCGCGCCCCGTCTGCGCCCGCCGCCTCCACCAGTCGACGCGCACGCCCGAGACGTGTCGAAAGACACCGCTGACTCGTGGATTCGGTGCACAAACGGCGGAGGAATGTGCGATTGACCGCACCAAGACATCTTCGCGCGCATTCATCGCGGAAGACACTCCGTCAATGCGTCCGCCCCCACGGCCGCGCCTCACGACAACGCGGAAGCACACGCGTGGACATCCCGCAACTTGTCCGAAGGTATTCTGCGCGCGGGACACGGCGCGGTGCCAAGTCTGAGTGACGGCCCAACGGAAGCAACGCCCCGCCTCATCAACGTCGCGCACCGTCGCCAGTCGTCATCCCGCGCATACTCAACACTCATAACAAGCTGCACCACGCCGCTCGACATGGGTTTATGCACCGGACATGGCGCGGTGCGGCGTTTCGTGCAGCCCAGGCAAGAGCGCCCGCGGCCTCTCTTGCTCGCGCCCACCACCACGTACGACGCCCTCGCACCTCTCGTCCACTCGAGGCACCGGCGTGGACACCATCATGTACGTCCGACAATGTATTCTCGACTGCACGCTGTCTCACATCGCCCGGCGCCAATCCATCCACAGGTAGCCATATCCCGCCCAGCCAACGTCGCGCGCCATCGCCCGTGCATACTCGACACTCACAAAAAGCTACAACAGGCCGCCCGACATCGGTTTGTGCACCGGACGGAGCGCGGCGCGACATTCTGTACCGTATGTCGTCGCGCCGAACGTGGCTCGCTCGTTCGGATAGCCACCTACAGCCCTCTAATCCCTCTCTCAGCAGCAGTACACCGCGCAGACACCGGGGCGCACGGCCGAAGGTGTGCTCTGCGCTGGACAACCGTCTCACCGCCGGCACACGGCCGCAGCGCGACAGCTCGTCAAGGTGAGTACTACACTGCAGTCTTCTTGTCCGATCTGCGCGTGCGTTCACCAGCCACAGCCTGACATCGTGGGGCCGGAGCGAGGATGGGGTATGCCGGGATGGTCAGCGATCGGGCCGGTGTGGAGTACACAAGTGAGAAGGGGAGAAGAGAGAGGGAAGCAAGGATGAGGAGGGTCGAAGGGAATGGGAGAACACGGCGCGGGGACAAGACTAAACGACCACGGCGCGCTCAGAGACAACATGTAAGTGCGCACTAGGTACGTGCTTACTACACGAACCATGCTCTCCCTACGGCGCGCCCTCGCTCCGTCCGCAACAGCCCGCCGTATGTACAACGAACACGGCTCGTCCCAACAACCGGACACCCGCCTCTCGAACTCCCCTGCAGAGACCCCGTCAGCTTGTCTCGACGGCACGACGATGCTACGCACCGGCAGCACAGGATCGCGACACGCGGTCTTACGTATCCCTACGTGCCGCCCGATTCTCAGCACGCAGCGCACCAGGCGAGTGCGGCACGTCTCGGCCATGGCGCGTCGGTGAGCCCATCGGTGAGCATCCTGCGTTCGCATTACGACGACACACTCACGTTCAACCAACCGCGTCCGACACGGACGTGCTGCGTGCCGCGCCGCGCCGTTCGGCAATGTCAGGACCTCGAGAACAAACGTCAGCAATGCACGTCGTGCGACGCTCGTCAGGGCGTACTCACCATGCAAGACGGAACGAAGATGCAGGACAAGATGGCCTGCCCTTATATCCTCGTCCTTTGCCCAGGATCCCACGCAGCCGTTCCATCCACCGCCGCATCGTGACGTGTCGCCGGGCACATCAATTCTGTTGGAATACCTGGCCCGCCCTGGCAACCCTCGCGAGGATCCGTAGCCGACATGACCCTGCGGCGGGCGTTCGTGCGTGGCGCTCGTCGTTGCCACGCCGCGCGCGACCTGACGGCATCCCGCACACCGGCTTGCGAGTCGCTCGCCGTCGTGCGTGTTGCCCGCGATCTCTGCGGGCGCGGCCTGCTGTCACTGAGGCCCTCGTCATTTTGCATGGACCGCACGCGCAGGCCAGTTGTCGGGAATGGGCCTTGCACGTCGAGATTGGGCTCGCGGAGCCGTGTCTCGGCGCGCAGTGTCGGTGCTCTGGCATCCCCTCGTCGTGCGGCTGCAGGGTCTGCGCTCAGCGAGACGTTCCGCGCAGTTCGGGGGACATTCAATTGCGCGTCCACACTGGTCTGCGTCTGATGCGGGTGCAGCTACTTCAAGTTCCGCGCATGGAGACTCGCGCTCGGCTGTGGGGTGTTACGCAACCGGGAGCCGTACCTTCCGCACGACAAGCCCGAGGTCGCGCTCGTGAGACCACGGCGGCACGTCCCCGATACGCAGACGCGGCAATGTGCGCATTGGTCGCGCTGCGAGGCCTGGTTGTGCGAGTCGCTGCCCGCTCCGCCGCAGGCAGGCAGCGCGATGGTCACATCGCGAGCGGCGGAACCCAATGCACTACGAGTACCTCGCGCAACTCAACAGGTGCCACTGGTGCATGAAGCATCCCCGAACCACGACAGGTGCCGTTTGATTGACAGACGATCTCGCTTTGCGCACGCCAGCGGTGAAACGCACGGCACCAACGAAGCATTTGGACACGGCGAGAGTCTCGTCGTGGTGTCTCGTCGCGGCGAACCGTTGTGTCTCGGTGCGCAGCGCGTCGTGGATTGGCTGAGGGCGGGCAAGCGTTTGCATTTGCAACCAATGAGTAGGCTTCCCGGCGAAGGACGAGACGAGCGAACACACTAGAGTGTGCTCGTGCGTTCCCCAGTGAAGAAGCATGCGCACCGTCGGCCAGGTAGTACGTAGACGGTGAGTGCGCTATTGAACGTTCGAGCAACGAGTCAAACAGGCGGAGGCACACAGACGGGGCGACAAAAGCAACATCGCTTACCGTTACAGTGCACGCTGTCCCTCGACGTGCAGTCAGGTCGCCAGCCGCCGATCTTGCGTCTGACATCTGGACAACAACGGATGAGCTGCCTGTCGAGAACGGTTTGCTGGGCAAAGGAGGTATAGCACGTTCGTGAACAATTGTAAGTTACTGCCTGGAACGAAATGTATTCACTTTGCTACTATGAACCAAGCCGAGCGGCGCGAACTAGTGACCGTCGCAGCAACGTCAATCTGGACTGATAGGTCTGTCTGAGGCTCTCCCATTCCAGCGCGGCGTGTTAACGAGCCGAGAGCCACTGTACGCACACCGGTAGTCCAGCTACAAGTACTGGCAGTGGAATGGTACACCGGCTTAGGTTTGGGGCTGAGGCCAACGGTAGGCCATTATGCGACGTTCCACTTCTCGATTCAGATGATGGCCAAAGTACAACGCTCACACTCGCCCCGCCGCCATTACCTGACGATCGGCGTTCTCGACAACGCTCTCAGGCATCCATCGTTTTCAGGCTCGCTCGCCGGTTCCAACCCATCTGTCCCCATTAACTCTATCATTATCCCGTACTTGACATAAGGCTACAAACTGGCTAATAAGTTGAAGTCAGCTCTCGTAGTGTTCTCTCGGCTTGTATTCACGGGAGCCGTCGTCGCTGACCATTCTGCCTCACGGAGCACTATACCGAGGTACTAGTATTTGTACCATTGAAATCTGACAAATGCAATGTTCTCTGCTCGTAGTACCTTGGCCATTAAGTGTATTAATACATCGCCGATGTCATCCTGTAGTATGGGAACTTGAGACGCCTCCGAGTCGATGTCTTGCGGTGATTACCAAGTACATTTCCCGAGTCCGAGAGAAGAACCAGGCCGCCTCGATAGCCCGTTCTCCGACACTGTAATATAATCTGTGAGTACCTGAACGCACTCTCCGCGCATTCATAATTTTACATATCCGATTTATTCTCAAGGTCACTGGTATACGCGCTCTCGATACTACTTCTCGCATAACAGACTTGCGGCATCCGAAGCTCACTCACAACATCGTGGTCGCCGCCTCTGGATGAACGTCGAACAAGTGGTGGCTTTCGATGTTGCCCTATCAAGTGTGTTCCTTCTCCAGTCGTCCTACTCCTGTAGTCGTCAGTTCCCTGTAGGACTGTATGGTCCGATCGCCGTGTTGCTTGCTTCTCGGCCGTAGTAGGATCGGCCGATGTGACGTGTATGACTTGTCATAGAACACGAACTTATGCTAGTACTAGTACGACGTGACTGCCGAGCCAAGCGGTGGGCCGCGGTCTTGATTGCTGTTGTACAGGATGGGACTTTGAACATGGAAGATGGGCAACAGTGTCGTCACGGTCACCGAACACGTCCTGAGATTGTGAGATTGGTAAATACGTTAGCGTATGGTCCAGTTACATCAGCGCGCTAGCTTGGTGGACTTTGAGAGAATCTGGATCGCATTGGCGCATCAATCTGTCCATTCTAGATGTGAAGCGAAATCCACTTTACCGAGCGTAGACGCAGGCTTCCTGGATGCCCTGCCGTATACTGAGGAAGCACACAGTATCCGGGAGGTTATCTCCATGGCCCTCCTGACCATGAACAGGCCGACGGTACTAGAAAGTCAAGACTTTGCGCCGTGTACCACCAGTCGGGAACGGCGAGGCGCAGGCTGTACATCGCTTGAAGGGTAATTTCTCGAGCCTCAGAGCTCGTTTTCCGACACTGTAATATCATCCTGTACAATTGTTCATTCGCGACACTGAACATTCACAGCACAAACTCACCGCATTGAGAAGATAGTAGAGCCCTCCATATTGCTGCGTTGAGAGGCTTTGCAAGTTCCGATCTTCCGATTAACGCAGGCCGGTGATAACCCAACTCGGACTCTTCCTGCGGGTATCCGCCGGACCATCCTCCGGGTCTCGCGTGTTTCTGCAAGAGACGAATGAGTACATGTCGCAAAGGCCAGTAGGCGAACGAACGTAATCGGTCAGCGGCACCTAAGCATCCCGGGGTGAAACGGTGAGAGCTCAAGCACCCGGGCGCTCGTACGATCATATCTATTACCATGTACGGCTTACCACCGTGACTTGCGACACGATGCATGTTCACTCCTCTTGTCGTGTCCCTTGTCTGCAATTGCTCCTGGAGTACTAGTTGCATGTGCAAAGTATATTTTGTCCAAGCACACAGTGCCACTTTGGACGATCTAGGGGCAAGTGACTTGGACACGATGACTCGGAGGATTCCATGACTGAATCATGCTGACTGCAAGCCACTCACATCGTGCGATGCAAGGACACGGCATGGACAAATTTGGCCAAATTTGTCAATGGCATGTCCTTACTCGGACAAGTGTGAGCGGCAGCGGGTAACCGCAGAGGCTTAATTCCGAGATCCCCGGCAGTGTCTGAGATCTGAATGTCCAGTTCTATGAGCAGAGAATGCCCAGACACTGAGGTCAGGTAACTGAGACATAAGCGGTTACTAAGGGCATAACAACCGCAGCTTGGGATGATTTGATCAGTTGACAGTATGTTGTATAGTAACTGATGAGCTCCGCGGATCAGACACTGATCAGACGTTAACTGTCCAATGACATATACAGAATGTTAAGCTAACGGCAAGAGCATCCTGATATCAGTCTGTTTTGTTGAGGGAGTCACTGAGATACTCAACATGTTCACATTGCAACCGTTACATACACTCATTGTCTTGGAACAAACACGGAACAGATTTTCACACCCGTCAGCCACCACAAACTCGTCTAGAACATCAAGTTGTGACCATCACCCTCATATGTACATGCACTCAGGTACTACCAGCCACATACTCCCGCCGCTCACCCTCGTCCACTCACGACTGCCACCGTTGGGATCAGCACGAACATGACGACGATGACCATGCCCTGCCTGGTCTCATAGGAGGTATGTCCTCTCAATTGAGCTGCTCTTACACAGACATTGACAAGTCGGATGCGTCCCCGCTGCTCTTCAGATTCCCGCACGCTGACTGGCATGGAGGACGCGACAGTCCGACTCACCCTCAACTCACACGCTGGTCACTGAAGACGAGAGCCGGACCGACTGGCCGTTGACGACACATTGCAGGAGACGGCGCAAACGGGAGATGCGGCGATGAGCGACGTGATGGGCACGGACGACGACGATCGTCCCCCGTGGTGTCGCGACCAGCGTTGAACACGAGCGCGGGGCGCGGTGTCTGAGAGCCTCACCTCGAATCTCCCGCCGGCGGCGACGGTCTCTCTTACGCGCGCACTTCCTCGTTGGTCACCGCGCCATAGCCAGTGGAGCCTCGCACGTACGAGCGCAGCGCGCTGTCCGGCCTCTACTAGTAGGTGAGGCATGCGACAGCATCTACACGCAGCCGGACAGAGCTCACATACCGAAAACAGAACATCCTACCTTTCGCAATCCGGTAGACAGTTAGTCTGGCCTCAAGCCCGGTCATTAAGCTGATGGAACGCTGTGCAGCTGAGCGCAGCCGTCACTGGAGCGCGCGCATCGGTGTGCCGCGGTATTCACGACGCCCAGGGCTTTCCGGTCGGCGGAAAACAAGCTCGTGCGAGCGTACGTGCTCTCGCGAGTCGGTGCCTATGCCAGCGGTTGGGTGTGATGTTCCTGCGGTTTGACGATGAGGTGAGTTGTACATGAGCAGCAATCGAAATTGACTTACCAATCGACTTGACAGGTGGCGTCGAACGATCTGCTTCGCGAAGCTCTCAGCTCGGTCAACTACAGCGCGTAGCGGTCAGGCGGAGACGTCGCGGGTGGGTGGTCGCAATCCACTTGCTGAGGCGGTATTTGGCAGCTTCAGCCCGCCAATAGTCTCTGGTCGCTGGTCGCCCTCAGCCGCCGTCACCGCAGTCCACCATACGGATCGACGAACTGCATCTCGGTCGACAGGCGCATGCTGGGCAAGTGCGTGGGTGGTCGCAGAAATCTTGCCGGCGCCGCGCAAACGTGCACTTGAGCCGGTTCGGCGAGCATGCGCGGGCCCACTGCGCTCGTCCGTGCCCACCTGTACATGGCTGTCGAGTGTCAGCTAGTGTGGACGCCTGGTGTGCCTATGGTTCGATATTGAGGTGAGTTACACATCAGGACTAATTGAGATACACTTACCGAGCAAGACTGGACAGGACACATTGACTTGGCGTGTCGATCTGGGTGTCGCGAAGCTCTCGACCCGGTCAACAATGCACGTAGGGCGGGCAGCGAGGTCGCGGCTCGGTGGTCGCAATCCGCTGGCTAAGGCCGCGGTGCTCCCACCGGTACTCTCGTTTTACGTCCTGACTGCCGGTCCTGCACCCCACTCAGGGTTCGCCACAGTCCACCGGACGAATCGACGGTCTGCATTTCAAGAAGCGCGGTCTAGGGGCGTCGGTGGTTGCAGATGGTTCGCCAGCGCCGCGTTGAACAGCTTCACTGCGCCTACAGAGTCTTGCGCCGGTTTGGCGAGAGGAGCTCGACGTGCGATAGCATTCGCGGGCCCACTAGAGCTTCGCGAGGGAAGCGCGTGCTCTTATCCTGGTCAACTCGAGATGTACCTGGTCGTGTTGACAGGTCGTGCCAGCACGCCGGTGTCCGACGCGGCGAATGTGGGTGTTGCACGCACGCAGCGCATTCGAGGCGGACAGCCACGCAGACGGTGTTTGCTCAGCCACTACGTCTTATACTCGCGCCGCCGAGGTGGAAGCCACGGATCGGACTCTGCGTTGGGAGTTGTGCACGTCGAGGGCGGCACGCACGGGACGTGTTCGTAATCAGTTTCGTTGAGCACTGCGTCTGCGAGGGAGAGCGGAGGGCGGGGCGTAGACAGCGTAGCAGCGTCGTAGCAGTACACACACTTGCGCGCGGGAGATGTGCGCCCGAACGTTGGCGCCCGTGTGCGCGTCGCCCGTCCTGCACACAGGAGCCTCCAGTGTCCTCTACACAGGAGGGGCCTCCAGTTTCCACCACACAGGAGGAGCCTCCAGTTTCCTCTACATACTACAACACTCCCTGTCTCACGAAATCTGTCCGGTCTTGTTGGCCCCCTCCCTGGCCCGCACTCGCGCCAGCCCGCCTCGTGGCCCGGGCCATACGGCATGCCGAACCGCTTGAAGCTCGCCAACAGCTTCATCTGGTCAGGCGTCGGACCAGTCCGTGGATACGTCAGCTCCGTCCGGATGACAGTGTGCGTGAGCGGCGCCGAGATCGAGTGCACAGACAGTGTCGAGGGCGACGTGAGCGCTGTACCGAGCGCGGTCCCAGACGTGTTCGAACGTGTGCGGAACACGGCGGACAGGCCAGATGTCGAGCCTGAGTGAGACGGTCGGTGCGTGCGATACGGCGAACCTGCAGAACCGGGGCGCGGTGACCCAGGCGGCGTGGCGACGGTGGCGCCGCGCGGGCGACGTCGGGGCGTGGTGGGCGACGGTGGCGTCGGGGGAACGGGCGCGAGAACGGGATCCGATGATCGAGGCAGGCCTTCGACGCCGCCCTCGCCACCGGTGTTCTGGCGACCCGGATTGAAGAGCGAGAGCAGGCGCGGGACGGACAGGGCAGAAGCGGTGCCCGACGAAGACTCGCCGCGCCCGAAGAGATGCGGCCGACGGAGCGTACCCCCGCTCCCACGCTGTGCAGAGGAGCGGTCTGCGTCTGCTGAGGTGTCCGCGCTGACAGCAGGCGCGCTCTCGCCGTGACCGGCGTCCGTGGAATCGTCGAACGCAATTCCCGAGTCTTGATCAACGCTGATGGACTCGCGATACGGGGGCGCAGGACCGCGTTCCCGCTCGTGATCGTGCTGGTCCTCACTGCCGGCGGACTCCTCGCTGATGCCGCCCACCGTATCCATACTTGGCCGGACGTTGACGGTGCGCATCGGGATCGACGACGGCAGAGGCGAATCCTCCGTCCGTGCACGCGTAAGCGGGATTGCGTTGTCGAGCAGTGGTGTGTCAGGCTCCGCAAGGCTCGACATGCTGTCACGGCGCGTGTCGGGCGTCGCGCCTTCTTGCACGGGCGAGAGCAGCGCGTTAGCACTTCCCGTGGTGAGGTCCTCCCTTCCCCTACGCCGTGTCAACCTTCTGCACACGAGGCTCATCGCACGCGACATACCTGAAGACGACGACCTCCTGCTCCCCAGGCTCCTTCATGTACAGCGGCAAGCTCCTCGTCGAGCGCGTAGACGCGGTGCTGTTGGGCCGCCGCCGTCGATTACTGCGCCCTGTGGTACCAGCGAGCTGCTCGGCCGTGAGCTCGCGAGCCTGCATCCCAGGGACGGTGACCGGCCTCGAGCTCCATGCGCGCATCCGGCTCAGCAGAGACTGGCGGGATGACGCCTGGCTCGTCGCCGAGGTCGTGCGCGTCGGCGTGACCGATCGTTTCCGCATGCGGTATGCCACAGCGCTCGCGAAGATGAAAAGACCGACGCCAACGATCGGGATCTGAAAGTAAGCACGTTAGCGATGACTCGCGTCAACTGAGAACAAATGTGCTGGGGTAGACTAGAGTGATGAGGGCTGTGGCCAGCAATGTACACGACCGGCAACCAGTCGCTTCGGTTTTGAGGGCTTGTCAGCTCCGCAGCGCCTGGGCGAAATGAACTATCGCGATGCCAACTTCCTGGCAAGCGCACGTAAAGGAGTAAGGAGCGTCCCAAGCTTCCGCGCCCGTCCGTCGCAAATTGTTGGAGTCCTCATGGTCAGAGTGCAGACAACACTGCACTACAGCTCCCTCGCACGCAGCAGCCCCCCACACGGCGGGTGGAGACTGACGGTCGGTGACTGTTGGGGACAGAGCATGGCGTCATCGGTGAGCAGAGGCCATGATCGCACCACGGCCTAGACCAGCATTTCTATACGATGCTCCAGCGTCGCTGCTCGCCGTTCAAGCTTCACGCGTATGCCCCCGGCAACGCGTCTCAAGCGGTGCGCTCACGGGCCATGAGGTTCGGGGCGTGGGGTGCTCGGTATGATATGGTAGCACGAAAGCACTCCATGCACGACGACAGAGAAGATAGTCCGGATCTCTTCCCTCGACATCAGGGCCCGTGGTCTCCTAGGACCCTATCGATTGGGGAAGAGGCCTGGTCCCAATCTGAACAAATTCAGGCCATTCAAGACGGGGAGGGGGTATGCCTGGTGCCATCGCGACCCAATCGACATTTGTGCTGGCGGAGGCCTGTATCAGTATCCGGACATGGTTCCTCCAGCCCAGCAAGGCCTGATCCTGTCCGGACACGTCAACAGTCCATGTAGCGTCGCAACACGGCCTGAAGCTGAGTTAGACGTCTGCTGCATGTGCGAGCTCGGCATCATCGCTTCCCCACAGGGTCCTGGCGTCGAATGCCGAACGACGAGGACGAGCGCTGGCATGATGTCACCAATAGCCAACCCATCCGCGCACCGTTGGTGCTCACTTGCCCAACGTCTAGCATGGGTTGCATGACTGACGAGGCCTGATCCTATGATCAGCACATCAATCTGCTCGTACCAAGGCCCGATGCACAGTCCCGACAGCGCTAGGTAAGGCTCGCCGAGGCCTGATTTGTTCGGGACAGATGCAAAGGTCTACGTCCAGACAAAACTTGCCAAAGTTTCGGGTGGCTGAGACTCCCCACCAATACATAGGGGTGCTAGTCTACTAGCTAGCACACCAAGGTTCAAAGTCGATGGAGCCGCGGGACCGGGGCGACGTCCTCGCGTCTCAGCTGTGAGTGCCCTCCCCGTGCCTTCGTACAGCGCACTCCCTCGACGATGTCGCACTGCACCTGAAGGACGCGTTACGTTCTCCTCCTCATATCAAGAACGAGCAGGAACGGCGAACGCGGTCGTGTGGTACGCTGACCCGCGTTCGTGCAACGTATGGGCGCTCTGAGCTGCGCGCACAGCGGACCACCAACTTGTCCATGTCACCAGCAAACCAGTCGTCCGATGCAAAGGATACAACCAGCGATGAAGACTCACCCATACTGCTACTGCAGCAGGCCCAGCATCGGCCATGCCATCTGAACCATCCCTCCCGACTAATTCCTGGGCGACTGCGGGCGCCGCGCTTACTGGTGTTGCCCATACGAGTGAGAGCGCGAGCAAGGTGTACTTGGCTGAGCGACAGCGCTCACAGCACCCGCTGAGGCGCGAGGGCGACGACGTGGACATGTCAGAGGGCCAGGTCAAGCAGGGCTGAACCGTCCAGGTAGGGTAGTCGAGTAGATTACGGGTCGTGAGACAGGGTCCGGTGGGAGAAGCTGGATCTGGTGGCGGGGCACTATCGGGCTGCCGCAGATAGGCGGAACAAGACGTTTCGGGGTCGTTCAGAAGAGAAAGCAAAGAGTAGAGGTCGCGTAGAAGGAGAAAGCAGGACGAGATTGCCCAGATTCGGGATGAGAAGGAGAAGATGGTCGTCGTCCGTTGGCGCCCCGCTTTATGAGCAGCCGGCGGAGGTGAAGCAAGCGCTCAGTGGATCTTCAGTAACTTACAGACCTCTCTATTCCAACTCTTATCGACTACTTCACCTGCCAAGGCATATTCTATGACTCTGCCATCCTGTCGCATCATCCCCGCGGCAGAGGCTGTGTCTCGAATCTCAGCAAATAAAAGTCGGGAGTTGCGACACGGCCTTCGTGACGACCAAGCCCGCGCCACCGCGCACCATTTCGGCGCGCCCATCCCGGCGGCGTCAGGCACGCACATCTTACCGAAACCCTCCTCGGACTACTACTGTAACTTACGACCTCTTCCCGCTCGTTAGTTTGAAGTCTAGAACTAGAAAGGCACACATCTCTCGACTGAGCAAGGTAGACCTACGTCAGGCATAGCGACCACGTCGTGTATGATAACCGCAGGATATGATGATGACAGACAATGTCAAATCAGTGTTTACGTAAGTCATACTACTCAGCCCGACTCTTGCAGCGGCGGCCCTTCTGCGGGCAGGGGACTACAAATATCCAACCCAGCACATCCTGATAGCCTTACTGCAAAGCCAGAGTCGTTCACAGCTAAGCCCGGTTGTGGGTTTCAAGCCGTTGTGATATGCCGAGCTGTCCAGTAGGAGTCCATCGCCTCGGAGTACTGGATTCTGGAATGATCATGATGTGGTACGCCTCAACAGCAATTGTGAGGACGTTCTTAACTAATCTTACGTCGGTTCAAAGCTACGATGTATTCAGATTCGATGATAGTGCACAGCCTTGTAAAACTGAGAGGTTGCGATTTCGTGCTTGAAGCTGAGTACGAGCCAGTACAGAAACAAGCAAATGCCTCGTTCAATACGTGGTGCATCAGTTGCAGTGAGCAAAAAAGGCCTACATGTCCCCACTTACCTCGCTAACTGGCAACTTGTGTTCGAAGTCAGATGGACAGTGGAGAGGCCAGGCCGATTGATGCTTAGCAGCCTAGATGCCAATTCTGACCTGTTATGCGGAAACGACGCGAAACTTATGACAGCCATCACACGAACCGGGACCGACGCTTTGCTTGTTGGAAGACACTCATGAAGGTACAGTATTCAGGGCTCGAAGCCCTCGTGGCTACGCACTTTGACCTGTTTATCTTGATCGGGAGCTGCCGCACACACAGTCCAGGATGATGCTTCTACCGCGTCCTGAAGCTACCTGCTTTGTCTGTTCCTTTGTGCGTAGACCTCAATGGAAGTGATCTAACGATAGTATTGCCACGTGCAGGTCAATCGTAGCCACTCTGTAAACCGTGGCAACCACGCTTTATCCTATATTGTCTCCGAGGCCACAAAACGATCGCGCCATCAAAGCGTCCAAGGCCACAGAAGCACTCAGTACCCACGGTGCAACGGCGCCAAAAACTCTATTTAACTCTTCACAGCTCCATCGAGTCCTCCTATTGAGAGCCCCGCATGATGTCCGAGTCGCCTCCTCTACCGGACGGGAGCAATGACTGTGTCAGCCCGGTAAGCGTTGCTCCACATTGACTCTCGTCCACGCCTAATCCTTGTCTGCCGTAGAGCACGGTCTCGTCTTTGAAGAGCGGCCCCTCCGCCTGCCATACATGCCTTTCCGTCTACGAGCTATTTGACATGATCGTTCGAGAGGTCTACGGCGAAGGGGAAGGCAAGGGTACTGTGGCCAGCCTGGCAGCCACGAGTAAGGCGTTCCATGGCGGTGCCATTCCGATACTATGGGAGAAACTGGAAACCTTGAATCCGCTGCTAGAAGTCATCCCTATGGATGTCTGGATGCAAGCTTTGCAGAATACAGATCCAGCTTCGGTGAGTGCCGTGGTCACCGTCGTTGCAATTTGCAAATTCACGTTGTGTGGCCTAGGTCCCGCAACAAATTGCCTACCCCCACGATTCTCCCATACGCCGTGCGATGTGGTACGGCCAACACATTAAGCGCATCTCGTGGTCCGAAGACCCCGAAAGTGTAAACCAGGAGATCTATGCCGTCGGGTCATTGACGTGTCTTCCACCTACGCTCAAGCTACTGCGGAACCTGCGTTCCTTCTCCTGGACCGAGCGTCGGCCTTCCGTGGCCAGGTTTCTCCACCCAGACCTCTTTGTGAATCCTTCCTTGCAGGAGCTGTCGCTGGACACGGTGCTCACCGAGGAAGCTCCGTTGTGTAGCGTCCTGGACGCCGTCAGGGAGACGTGTCCGCAGCTGAGGCGACTCCGGCTCGCGGGGGATTCGAGCGAGCCGCTACATGTCGCGGTAGGCGCGGCACTTGCCGACCTTGTCCGTGCGACAGAACTCATCGATCTCAGCTGTACAAGCCCGCTCTTCGACGATGTCCTGCTTGCGATCGTCGAGTCGACCTCGCTGCAACACGTTGACGTCAAAGTGAACTGGTACACGCTGGACAACATGGTCGTGTCGGCCCTCCCTTCTGCTTGTCTTGTTTCCGTGCGCACTCTGACCCTGCGCTTCGAGGCCCTGAGTCTGTCGTCCCTCGCGCTTTTGGAGATTATTGGTTCGTCCGTTCTCTTCAGCCTGGCGATACACGTCAACGCAGAGGTCTTCGACAACGATCTGCTCACAAAACATCTCGCCGCACTAACGCAAGCGCCGTTCGCGGCGACCCTTCGCAAAATCGAGATCCATGCTTGGCGCATGGATTCCGAAGAAGACGGGGACTGTCCAAGCATCACGTTCAAGACGCTTGAGCCCTTGCTCGAGCTCAAGAAACTCACGCACTTCGTGGTTTACGCCAAAAGCTTCGCCATGAGCGCATGCGATGTCCGGGCGATCGCCCTCGCCTTCCCGGATATCCAGACTCTGGAGTTCATGGCAGCCGCATTTGCGGGAGGAGAGCCACCCGTCGGGGCCCTCCAGCACCTCGTGGAGCTCTGCCCCGACTTGACGCTACTAACGATGCCCGTCACCGCTGCATTCGGCGTCCCCTACGTTGAGCCAGGCTGGAAGCCCCGGTCCCGTGTCACGACGTACGCGATTGCCACTCCCGCGGAGGATGCAGGCGACCCACGGGTCTTCGCATACCTTTCCGCTCTCTTTCCGTATGTTCCTCCGGACACGATCACCGACGCGGAGGAGGTATCGGAGGACGAGAAATATGCGTACGCGGAGTATTTGGAGCAGACGCGGCCTCCAGGTGAGCCCGTAGCGACTGCTTGTAGCCGTTCCGAGTCTTGGGCCCAGATCATTGCACATTAGATGTCCAACATTTTTATCGGCTGTTTATGCGCTCTCTCTTGCTTCATAGTGTACCATCAGCGGAGGAATTGTATTCAGGTCACGACATATGCCTCGATAGAGTATGCTTGTATCTTATGATGTATCATATGGTCTGTTTGGTATGGCAGCAAGTAACAAGGATTCATCATGCAGTGTTTGCTCAGAACGTTGCTTCCACCAACCGAGTAAGTATTCTGTAAGCTACTGGTAGCGACCGATATACATCGGATGCTGTATGATCAATAGCGCTAGAGCAACGATCCATAAGTAGCCAGGTTTAAGGTGATACCCGCGATACAGTTGTTGTCCATCGTACAGCATACACTCATGCAGCGGACCGCCTCACTTAAGAATGATTGACGTAAAAGCATCGACGTAGTCGGTGCGGATCGCTTGGTAGCACCATATCATTGAATTCCCGTGTTGTAGGCATACCTAGGATCGCCTCGCGGTAATGGGATCTCGAGGCGCACAAGCGTCACATAAGCAACCCTAAGTCCGAATTGACGAAATTAAGCACCTAGATAGCTCGGAATGCCTTGACAGGCATAAGCGGCTGATCCCGTTCGACTCAAGGAATGCGCACCGTATGCTTCCGGTTCACAAATGATACGCAGCACTCATCACCACTCCTCGTTTGGTCAAGCAAGTCATCCAAGTGCGCACGACAGCCAGAGACAACTGGCTCGTGCATGACGACGAGTCAGAACCTGATGAACACAAATATACAAGCATTATTGAAGAACGTACTCAGTCTTGCCCGGCTTTCACGACGGGCTCGCGAACATTGTGCGCAAGAACGTCCGGAATATGACGGCGCTTTTCAACACCGTGAGTGTACCCACTGAAGGTCCGTCCGCACTAAGTGCGAGATCATCCACCGAATACTGCATGGAGATTCCAATGACGGCGAAGAAGATGGCGGACACAATAATGCCAACGAGCTACACTCGCACAATTAGCTTTGATGAACTCCCAGAGACGACCTACACGCGAGAAGCCTAAGAAGTTGCAGCGCGGTACAGAACTGCTCTCGGATAGCACGCACAGAGAGCAGTGCCGCGCCAGGAGGACCGGGTCGATGAACGTCGAGAGTAGAGCGGCGGCAAGAGCAGAGCGACTTGAGATCTAAGATCTGAGATCTTGAGAGCCACAGCGGCGGTCGTTCACACGGTCCCGAGTTGGTCTCGAGCCACCAGAACAGCGCCGAGATTGCTCCGCGCGGCCGGCGTCTGCCAACTCTCCGTCTCATTCAAGTTGTGAACTGCGACCCTACACGCTGCGACAGGCTTCGACACTTTTTTGATTGTGCTCGACGGTGAACACAGTACTCTACGCAGTGCTCAATATATTCAGCGGTTTTCTCCTTGGTGTTATGACGAATTCGCTGCTAGGTCAAGTTGAAGACGCTGCACCTTCTGACCTGGTATAGCCCGGGTCCGACCTCTGCCAGTGGTGCAGAGCCCCGGGTGCGCAGGATAGGATGGACAGAAGATTGCGACAAGCTCATGATAATTGGTGCTGGTTCTCAATGCGACTGCTACTCGAAACTAGATGGACCCACCGCGAGCTCTTCCTGCTCGAGATACACTTCGAACTTGTTCCGGCCGTGCGCTTGAATGCGTAGCCTCCCGTTGTGTATCGGACCTCCTCCAGAACGGTATCCATACGTTACTGATAACTTAGACCCTATTCGACGCGCAATGCATGAGCATCCTCAATATGCCACCGTTGTATCCGCATACATGTGCTATGATCGCTGCATGAGGTGCGTCTGAAAAAGAATCCCAGATAATCTCATCGTTGCGGCGGCTCACTCGGTTCACTCTGCCTTTAGGCCATGAGTCATCATTGAGTCACCGTCGCCAGGTTCCTCGGCACTGTAGTACTGTAGTTACCTAGGGACGCTAACTTCCGACTCGGTCGCTCAGCGCCTCTCCTTCGTGCTGCAAAGTCTTGCAAGACATGTCCTCGCATCCCAGCTCGAGCACGCGAAATTGAAGGGCGGGACCTGAGGCCTGCTGTTTACACTCGTTCCATGACTCGAGGAACATCTCTCAGGTGCGAGACTGACATCGCGATTCGGACGATACGCTAGTACGTCTGCGATGTTCCTCTGCGACTCAGACTCACGCATCGCTAGCTTTGATAACATTCCCGGACCAGCCTGAGATAACGTATATACTGAGAAGCGACAAAACGAAGACATATCGTACATGTATATCCGAGAGTGTCCAAGCATGGAACCGGGATGATTTTCTTGAAAGCGGTGAGGTCGATTGTGTGCCCCACAACGCTCGTATCCTGGAGTCCGTCTGGCGCCTGATGAGACATAACTCAGAACTGCGATCTTCTACATCGTCGTCACTCACTGAGTAGATGTCACGGTCCTGCATTCCTCAGGCAAGAGGCTCAATACAGGACGAGAAGAGGGCATGTCGGTATATGCCTTGGATCGGCCAGTGCCCATATCATACATATTGATCGCAGGATAGGTCACTGTAGCATCGAAGTTGAGACAGCATAGCAAGCAGTGAAGAAAGAGGAACGTGCGTGGTAACACGACAATGTGAAGGCCATCAGGATGGTCGTTGACATCTACTAGCCATATGTTTCAAGATGGCGGATCGTCAAGGGAAGCATTTCGCGCCGGTCGTGCACCACGAGCAGAGAACGAACATGGTCGGCGCCCGGGGACTGTGGTGTAACTTAGCTATGTGGAACCTTGAAGACATGATTGTAAGTGATTCGGGGCCGAATACTGAAACAGACGTACGAGTAGGTGTCACTACGGTTTGGGCGGACTTCATCCATGACCGCCAATTTGAAAGCACGCACGGAAGGACTTGCATCTCAAATGAGCCAAGCGACACGACGTGCATAAGGATCGAAAGCCATCAGCTCGAAAGCGGGCGAGGAGGCACGATGCTACATTCGTGACGGTTCAAGATCAAGCTCGTGTGGAGGCTCCACTGGAGGGGAGCTGAAGGAATGAGGGGACGGTGGCCGCTGCAGCTGCCGGTCGGAAGCGCTGCTTATGTAAGTCGAACATCGCGCGAACCACCTTCCTCGAGAGCAGAACTATGAAACATCGTACGTTCGGTATGACTCATAAGGCACTATGATCCCTATGCTATGCCGTAGCGTAGCACGGGCTTCCGGTAGTGTGATACATGGCGGGGCAATAGTCATAACAGCGCGACAACATAGGATAAGAGTGGGTAGACCGTTTACTTGGCCTGTGGATTGGCTAATCAGCATATCGAAAAGAACAAGCCGCAAAGGACGCACCAAGATGATACCGTCGAACCGCTGCTTGAACCATGCCATCGTGTCCTCCTTCTTGACACGGTGTTGGAACCCAATCCTCGCCTTCTTCTGTTTCCGGCGTGCGACCCGCGCGCCTGGCCGGCCCATCACGACGTAGAAATCCATACCGAAGATACCGATGCCGGGGTCGTACCGCGCACCGAGGTCAATGTGCTCCTGGATACCGAAACCGAAGTTGCCGGTCTCCGAGAAGTTCCTGCGGCGGAGCTCGTACTCCTTGACCTTAAGTCCCCGCTCGAGAATCTCCTCTGCCTTGGGCCCCCGGATGGTGACGTGCACCGCGATCTTTTCGTTACGACGGATTCCGAAAGTACGGACCGTGTACCGTGCCTTGGAGGTGACAGGCGTTTGGCCGGTAAGCTGCTCAAGCACTTTGGATGCCCTAGTGAGACGATCACCAGATTCACCGACGGAGATGTCTACAGTGTGCGTGTTTGCATTAGCAAGGCTCTGGCTGGATATATGCGGGGTACATACTGATAACGAGCTTGTCGATGCGAAGCTCCTTCATGGTGTTCGTGGGGGCGGTCTTCTGGTCGGCCTGCACGCATGTAGGGTCAGTGTCTGCAGGACGAGTATTGCAGCGGCATGGGTGCTCACCATCGTGTCGGGCGTGTGTCTTGCTGGTCCTGCCTTCGGGCGTTGCGATCCTCAGTCTCAATGGCTGCTGCCGGCGTCTACGGTGGCTTGGGAACGGCTGCACAGTTCTTCGGCAACACCCGCCATAGGCTCTCTTGAAGATCACGTGGGTCGTCTTTCTACCAGCCCCTCCAACTCGTGGATTCGCTGAATCGCATGTTCCCTGAATCCTGAGTGTATGTACATTGTACTCGGTCTCAAGACTCGTCGTACATAATCCAACAACGACGCACAGGAGATCGTGTGTAACGGGCGCTGCAATTTTGTGAGCTCGACACATCGTACATCGCTGGCCCCTCTGTTAGTAATGCTACTGTATCTACATCTCTGGTTCGCTCCCTCTTTCGTCGGCACCGCTCTCTCCATGGCTCTTTCAATCTCTATCATGCGCAGATCAGTTCGCATTTTCTAACGTAAAAGACGGGTTCGCCCACGATGGACGTCTCAATGCTAGTCATTGCACATTATAATCAGCTGTTTATGCGCTCTATCTTCATAGTGTACCATCACCGGAGGATATGAGTGACGGTTTCGCGGTAAAATATTTACTGGCCGGTCGTACTTAGAAGCATTCACGTAGTTGATGCAGATCGCTTGGTAGCACCATATCATTGCATTTCTGTCAGAAATACCAAGTTGTAGGCCTACCTAGGATCGTCTCGCGGTTAGGCATTGACATCATCTCGAGGCGCACAAGCGTCACATAAGTAAGTCGGCATCGCGCGAGCCACCAAGGTCCTCGAGAGCAGAATATGATTTTTTGGAACATCGCACGCGGGGCCTCCGCGAGTCCGGCGATGGTTCAGCAAGGTCAATGAGTTCGGTCGTCGGGTATGTACTTTGCCCTCGCAACAAATCTAGTAACAGACTTTGACAACTACCTGTGTAGTGCCTCATAGAGCCGGTATCCTCTATGGCCAGGCCAACGACCGCGCTACCAGGTCCACGACAATGGCCGCTAGTTCTAGCGCACTGCCAGTGGGTCAACGCCTGGATGCAGGACCCGCTCAACCGCCGGTTCGGCTAGGACTGGCAGCGCCTCGCGAAGGACCTACTGTTTGACAGCAACGGCAGCCTCAAGTACCAGCCCGAGCTGTGGCGCGACATCCGCAAGGTCGTCGTACCCGGTCTGGTTGCGAGCATTGGTCATGTCCCCATTCCGCGCGGTACGAGACAACGAAGAACCTCGACAGAGATCCCCTAGAAAGGTCGAGGCCGTTCGAACAACGTTGAACCTAATCATCTGTCTTCCGTATAGCAGCATTACTGTACTGTACAAGGTCATCAAAGCTCACGAGCGTGCCTCCGAAAATGTCCAGCGAGCTGAAAAGGTCCTACTTGAACGGCGGCAGCATGACGAAGATGGGCATACTCACCTCCCATACGTAAGGTCCACCCGCCCCTCTGAGAGCCTGTCGACTACACGCAGATCATCAACGCCTGTAGAGGAGAGTTCATACACCGATAGAGTACAGGAAGAGATAGACCTACTCTTCGCTCCTCCCGCATATGTAGTCGGTATGGTCACCCATGTACCTAGCCCTGCGGATAGTCAATACTGAGCTTCGTGCATGTCAGGGCCAGGACATACTGGCGACAAGCTCTTCGTCGATCCCCTGACAGAGACCCTCGACGTCCGCAGCATGGATTAGGAACTCGCTGCGATGTTTAGTCCCGCCGTCGCGAACTCGATCGGTAGTGCGTTTACCTGCAGTATTCCGACAGCATGTCTAACGAGTCTGACGAATGTCTCAGACATGGGTTCGGCGCACACACACGACCTACCCTTGTTGACCTCCATATCTGTGATCGTCTGCCATTTGTTCATGGCGACGAACCACTTGTCCCCTCTTCGTCGGCAACTGCAGCAGGTTAGACGGTGCAAATACCAAACCAACTGTTGAACGTACCTGACATCAACGACGAGCCTGTCCTTCCCTGTCAGCGACGAGATGCCCTGCAGCCGTTCGAGGGAGAACTTGGCGTCGGGAAAGAGATGCGATGTGACGATGACCTGCAGGCACACGAGTCAAACGCCGTCGCGGGTTCGCTGTCATCGTCGGAGGACCTTGCTCGCCCCCGCCTCGAGCCACTCGCCGCAGTTCTTATCTGTAATGCCCCCGCCGACCTGCAGATGACCTGTGCGGCGCGGTGGTCAGCTGGTCGTCTGCGCAGAACGTCCGGGACGCACCTTCCCATGCCCGCAACGCTTCCCTCGCTGCGTCGTCGTTCCCAGGCCCCAGCTTGATGATGTGGCCGCCCTCGAGGCCGTGCCTCTTGTACAGCTCAGCGTAATGCGCAGATGGATGGCTGGATCCGTGAGGGCATCTCGTGAGCGAACCGGGGACGAGTGTGGACAGGGACGCGCCTGGCGACGAAGTTGGTGCGTAGCGTGCTTGGGTCGCTGTCAGAGAGCGTCCCGCCGACGATCTGCTTGACTTGGCCGTTGTGCAGGTCGATGCATGGTCGGAAGAGCGACCGTCTGCGAGGTCCGGACATCGCGGTGCGGGCGAGAGCAGTGGCAGGCAGGCTGCAGCTGCCAGCCACCGAGTTCCGCGCCCGCGACTCGCTCTCAAGTTTCCACCACATCATCAGATTCTTCGTCGTCGACCGCTCTTATCTTTGCATCTCAACGCCGACAACTCTCTGCGAAAACATCGCACGGAGGAACATCTAGGAGCATGGGACTAGTGGGGCGCGTGGGTGTTGACTTCTGTGCTGATGGGGGGGGGGCGATTCAGGGTTTCTGGGGCGTAGAGGCGAGGCGAATATATTCTCAAATGTGTGAGCATCGCCATGATGGGCTTTTGTTTCGAATACGTTGAGTACGGAATGTCGACGCGAGTGAGCAAGAGTACATTGTGGATTTTGAGACAAATCGCCGCTGCGAGCGCATGAAGTGGTGGCCAGCGCGGCGCTGGCTCTTCGCTCTTGACCACCATCTCTCCATCGCCTTTCTCCTTCACCTCACCACACACGCGCCAGCCCTGGCTGTCAATGTCGGGGAAGGCCCCTCCGCGCGCACCTCGCGCGCTGTTGAACTCCTTTCCGGGCGCGGCGTCTTCATCCTCGGCCACAGCATCGACCTCTACCGGCACGTCGAGGATAGGAGCGACGCCGCCCACTGGACCACGCAGTCTGGTATCAGGAGTCAATGGTCAGTACGGACAGACTGGAGCGAGGGGCGGTGGACGCGGTAAGCCCTACGTGAATGGCCACGGCGCGATCCCTACGGCCCCTGCAGCGACCTCGCCGCCTACTGGGCCGAGGAGCTCGTTGAAGGGTAAGCAGGTCGACGTACAACCGAATCACGCTAGTACGAACGCGATACATGACCTTCTACCATCGCCATCGTCGGCGACGAGTCAACGCGGCCTGCCATACGCGCATGTGCCGCAGACAAACGGCGCCGGGCCCAGCAAAGTCAATGTCGAGGCCATTGGCCTGACGAACAACAGATCGCAGCCAGTATCTTTTCGACTGCGGCCTCCTCCTCCTGAACCGAAGACAGAGCCTCCTCCTCCACCACCGCCCACGACGGAGCCGCCGCCACCCCCACCGCCGAGCTCAACACCACCGCCACCACCTCCTCCTCCAGACTTGGAACCCCCGCCGCCTCCGCCTCCCGAACTACCTCCACCTCCACCCCCGCCAGCACCATCATCCCAACCACCACCTCCGCCGCCATCTGAACCACCACCATCATTTGCCCCGCCACCACCACCTCCAACTCTACCTGTTCCCCAACCACCACCATCACCGCCCCTACCTCCATTCTCTGAACCGCCACCACCCCCACAGACGGCACCTCCACGCTTACCTCTGACAGCACCTCGAAATCATGCCCCATATACCGCAGGAGACTTCTCGACACGACCTCTGCCTACGGGTCCCCGAGCGCATGCTGTACCTCCGCCGCCGCCGCCGCCGTCACCGCCACCAGCAGAACCAAAACTCTACTCTCTCCCGCCCCCACCGCCATGGCCTCCTGCGCCGTCCACTTACCCGCCCGGCAAGAACTACAAGGTGCTGTTCGACCATATAGTCGACAAGGACCGTGATGGGCAGATTCGGATGCTGGCAGACAAATTGCGCGAGATGGGCATGGACCAGGGCGAAGAGGCGCGAGTGAAAGGCAAAGGGAATGGGAAGGAGATTGTGATTCGGTACAACGGTGAAGTGATTGAGGGCGAGCACCCGACGGTGCTGCGTGATCCGAGAAGGGAGGTGAAGGTGAAGCGGAAGGACACGATGCGACCAGTTCGGGTGGATTTTGTTCCTATCAAGTATGAGGTGTGTGATCCTATACTCGTCATCTCTCCTTTGGTTGACGGCCATGTCAGCACGATACAAACTCGACGGGACCACCACTTCCTACAGCTGTGCTTGTGCTGAACCTCTCACCGCTGACGCCGAACTCGCATATTCGACGGTGTTTCTCAATACATGGCATCATCACCTCATTTGAGCCTCAGATCGACAAGACCACTGGCGCTGCTCTTGGGATCGTGTACATCAAATACAGCACACATGCTGAGGCGCGGAAATGTGTCGAGAAGGAGAATGGCAAGAAACTCACTGCTCTGAATGGGGTCGCAGGAGGCGGCGAGGAGATGGTCATTGTTCTCGACGGGGAGGGAAAGAAGCTGCAGGCGATCTTGAAGGGACTCAGCGCGCAGAAGCGCAAGGCGCAGGAGGAGAAGCGGCGGAAAGAGAGAGAGAAGGCGAAGGAGACTGGTTCTGCGAAGGGGACACCGTCCACGACAGCACCGCACACGCCCTTGGGTTCAGTTCACTCTTCTCGTCCGCCTGCTCCGTGGCAGAAGAGCGCATCAATGCGGCCTGCGCCTGCAAGCGCGAAGCTGCCGCCAAAACCGGTGATTACGCCCATGAACACACCCGAGCCGTCGACTGCCAATTCCCATCTCAATGGTGTTCCAACTGGCCCAAAGGGCGCACCACCTGCGCCCGTACGCAAAGTCGCCCCGTCAACGTTCCGTGCTCGACTCATGTCGATTAGCAAGTACGGGTCCACTACACAACCGCCGTCGTTGCGCCCGCCTTTACCTGCGTCTGAGTCGTCGTCCTCCACTCCTCTTCGTCCTTGGGCTCGTAGGGGTCGCGATGGCCATGACACGCGGTCGCGTTCGCCCTCGCGGTCTCCGTCTCCTGTCATGCGACGGCCCGGGCAGTCTTCCAAGAATGCGTACCAGAAAGACCACGAGATTGTCCTCGAGGCATTGGCAAAGAATGGCTTCGAGCACGTTACTTTGGATGGACACGGAGGGCAGCTGGGCAGTGCAGTACGAGAAGAGGATGTGAGGCAGTTCTTCCAAGGGTTCAGAGTCGATAAGGTGAGCTGTCAATATTGGGCGCTTGAAGCTTCCCGCGTTGCTCCCGCTCTCTTCTCCGTCTGCAGTACGCGCTGAAGATTCTTTCACCTAGATTCTCCGCGATCGACTGGGCTGGTATGTTACCTTTGAGACGAGCGACTCCGCGCGGCGCGCGGCGATGGTACTCAACCACGGCTCGCGCACCCTCGCGTCGCGTTCGGTGAACGTGACGGTTCACCCTGCACCCGCGCCTCCATCTGCGCCTGCGCGAAAGCGGTGGACGGACGGCGAACTAGTCGATGAAGCAACAAGCGCGGTCGCTAAGGAGCTCAGGGCGCTTCTGGAGAAGGACCTGTTGGACAAGGTGGTCAGCACCGGGGTCCAGAAACTCGTTCTGGAGGAGAGGGTGAGAAGGGCGGCTCAGATACCGGACGGTGAGCAGGAGACAAAGCAGTGGGGCTCTGGCCTTCGAGGGCTGTCCTTCAAAAAGCAGCGGAAGCGACCTCGTGAAGAGCGCGAGACGCCTTCACTGGTGACGCCACAGCCAGATCCAGAGGTCGCCCGGTCACAATCACAAACAGTGTCTTTCGTCGAGGAGCCTGCGGTCGAAAGACCGAGGAAACGACAGAAGAAAGTCATGCCCAAGAAGGTCATCAATGAGGATATCGAGTCGGAGGAAGAGGACGTGTCGGAGGCTGCCCCAGTGGCAATCACGAAGGCGATCGTCAATGACGATGTTGAGTCCGAGGATGAGGATCAATCCCTCCCAGCCACTCCCTTACTGCCTGACGCCGCGCGGAAACGATCCACGTCCGAGGTGACTGATGCTGAAGAGCCTGTCAAGAAGAGGCTGAAGGCGCAGTCGGGGCTGGACGACATCGTTCCTCCCCCGAAGAAGGTTAAGAAGGCCCCCAAGAAACCGATCAAGAAGGTTCAGGCCCCGACTGGCGTCCAGGAGATCGTCCACGAAGTTCTGCCCGACGACTTTGACTTCGATGTGCCAGAGGTGGCGCAAGTCAGGATAACGCCTACGCCACACTACGACTCCTCAGTGTCCCCTCTTGCATCACCTTCCTGGAAGAAAGTCACCTTTTCTACCCGCGAGCATGCGCTCCCGGATCCATTCGACGAGGGCATCTGTGAAGACGATGAGGACTTGTACTTCGCCAAGCTTGCCCTTGCGCGAGATATGGGTATCGATGAATCCGAGCTTGAGCCTTCGTCAGCCCCTGCGCCCGATCCCGACGCACCGCCTCCCTTTCGAATCCATGTCACTGGTTCTGCACGTACCGAGGGCTACTACAAGATCTCGCACGCCGAGAAGTCTGCGTACGTGGCGCAGTACGCATCCCGTGGCACTGTCAACGAGGTGGTACCCGAGAAGGAGCAACAGCCTCAACAGAGCATCACGTCCTCCCGGTCTAACCGTGCCAATGCACGTCGTCGTGCACAGGGCCTCGAAGAGATCAACCAGGTCCAACGTGCGATGGCCTTGTCGAAGGGCGAGTCGGCTGCGACGGAGCTTATCAAGTTCAACCAGCTGCAGACACGGAAGAAGCACCTGCGTTTCGCTCGTTCACCTATCCACGATTGGGGTTTGTACGCCATGGAGAGAATCTCGCGAGGGGAGATGGTCATCGAGTACGTCGGCGAGATCATCCGTGCGCAGGTCGCAGACAAGCGCGAGAAGGCCTATGAACGCCAGGGCATCGGTAGCAGCTACCTGTTCCGTATCGACGAGGACTTGGTTGTGGATGCGACGAAGAAGGGGAATCTTGGGTACGTGGTTCTGTGCGACATGATCACACAAGATTGTTGATTGTGTTTTGCAGCCGTCTGATCAATCATTCGTGCGAGCCCAATTGCACGGCGAGGATTATCACGATCAATGGCGAGAAGAAGATCGTCATCTACGCAAAGCAAGACATTGAATTGGGCAACGAGATTACTTATGGTGGGTTTATCAGTCGTCTCTATGCGGAGATGGTATACTGAAATGGCCAACTCTCAGATTATCACTTCCCTATTGAGCAAGACAAGATCCCTTGTCTGTGCGGTTCTGCCAAATGTCGCGGTTTCCTCAACTAGACGCTCTACGAACAGTGTCTTGCCATAATTTTCATACCCTGTTTCTCCGATGTTCTCACTCGTCGCTCTCCCATCCGCACTGCATCATTGTATCTTATTCTCCACGCATTGCTCCCATCGTCCTATAGTAATAGTGCTCGTGCTTGCATTCCTGGGTCTCCTCGTCGTGTAGCGCTTATATTTCAACTATGGGGACTTCCTTCGGCTGGTCGAGAGCACGCTGTACAGATTGACAAAATGCGGTCGCCTGAATACATACAACAACACATCTACTACTGGTTCCCATATTCTCCTTTCCACTTCAGCTCGATTCTATGCCTGTTTCCGCTGCAGGTTCTTGGGGAGCTCCTTCGCCCATGGTAGGAAGTCGCGGCCTTGCATGTACGGCCTGAGCGGCTCCGGAACGACGACACCCTAGACACAGATCCGAGTGAGTAACGGCAAACGTTGGGAAATCGTTGCTACCATACCTCCGGCGTCTGGTAGTTCTCCACCAAACAGCAGAGTGCGCGTTCGGTTGCGCAGAGTGTGCCGTTCAGCATGTGTACGTACACTTTCCGGGTCTGGTCCTTGGTCTTCAGACCGCAGCGTACCTCCAGCTTACGCGACTCTGCATGCATGAATATCGAACATCACAGGCAAGCATCTTGCCACACTCACGGTAGTCAGTGCAATTCGAGCACGAGACAAGTTCCTTGTACGCGCCCTGGAACGGGAACCACGCCTCCAGATCGTACTTCTGCGCCGCCGCGAGATTCAGCGCGCCGGAGACGATCGCCACGACACGGTAGGGGATGCCCAAGCTCTGGTAAAACTCCTCCGAGTTCGCGATCATGGCGTCGAGCGTCGGCCAGCTCTTGTCAGGCTCCGTGAGGATGAACTGCTCGACCTTCTCGAACTGGTGCACACGGAAGATGCCCCACATGTCGCGCCCCGCAGAGCCGGCCTCCTTGCGGAAGCACGTCGAGTAGCCCGCGTAGCGGATCGGCAGCTGTGTCTCCGGCGAGTCGAACCACTCGTCCGAGTGGAACGCGGAGATGGGCTGCTCCGACGTCGCGATCAGGTACTTCTCGTCCTCGGCGGCGATCACCTTGTAGAGCTCCTCGTCGAACTGGTCCAGCTGCGCAGTCTTGGCCATCATGTCCTTGTTCATCATGAACGGCGGCTGGATCTTCTTGTAGCCCTTTCTGCGGAGGAAGTCGAGCGCGTAGGAGATGAGGGCTTGGTTCAGGTCAATGCCGTCGTTGGTCAGAAAATAACCTCGATGACCTGTGATCTTCGTGCCTGTGTGTTGCAAAGTGAGTATGAAAGCAGTTCGAGTGTGACGCCAAACGCACCTCGCTCAAGATCCATAGCATCCAGCCGGAGTAGCACTTCGTGGTGCGGCATGATGTCTGTCTTCTTCTCCACCTGCACACCTTCACCCTTGGGATGCCATGTCTTGACCGTCTTGTTGTCGTCCTACTGCCGTGACTCAGCAACGAGATGCGAATCGAGTGAGTCGAGCATACCTCGGACACGCTGACCGGGACATTGGGTCCAACGATGTTGCCCACAGTCGAAGCCTTTTGCCGCATCTTCTGTTCAAACTCCTTCGCCTCCGCCTTCTTTGCTACCACAAGTGCATCCAGTTCCTTCTTCTTCGCAACGAGCTCATCTGCGTTTTCTTTTGCCTACTGCGATGTCACGCGCCGGTCTGCAGACTGAGAGGGCAATTGATGTCTACCTTTTTCTTGGCAGCGATCTCCTTCTGTATCGCGTTCACCTGCTTGTTGGTGTTGTTTGTCTCAAAGTCCACTTCAAATCGGTCAGTATTAGCAAGTCTCCACTGTCAAGCGCGACGCACTCTTTACCCAGTCCGCGTACATTTGGATCACTTCGTCCACCAACTCCACGGACAGACCGCGTTTCCGCTGCGACTCGCGGATCTCCTCCGCATTTCCGCCCTTGTTGTCAATGAAATGGAGCACGTCGAGCGTCATGACTTAAGGTAGTTGTAGGATGCGAGCAGACTGAGAATACTGACCCCGCAGAGACTGCTTGGAGACTCAGATTGCAGCGTAGAAACAAGTCCGAGTCATCGATTTCATTTCAAGTCATTTCTTTCAGATTGCTGGATCTGGTGATCGAGCATAGGTTATCTTATCACTTACTGTATCGGGCCAGGATCTCGGCTGGACATCCTAATAGTTAGCCATCCCATGGCTCATGCACTATTCAACAACGGCTGCACCAAAGCGGACTGATACGACGCCGTCTATTCGTCTCAATGGTAGCTATCCGCTCGTGTCGTCACAATTAGAAACGAATACAAATACTTACCTCGGAGACACGATCGACCGAGTACTCGAGCCGGCCGGACATACTTAGTACTTACATAAGTAAACGATCGTGGTCGAGTTCCCGATCGGGCAATTATTTCGAGGCGCGTTCTTTCCGCTTTCGAGAACTTCGGATGGCCGGACAGCGGTGGCTAGCGGTGTTCCTCGACTTTATCGCTGTCGCCTGGCTGTCGCAGTATGAAGTATTCCCCTCCTCAGAAGTATAAACTGTATAAACTCAAATATTCCCCAGGGAAGGTATATTCCCCGTGCCCGGTCCGCTACGAGCCGATGGGTCGGAGCTTGAACAGACATGGCGTGCAAACAAGGACACACATCGTGGGGTTTGGTATGCGCGACGCGCTGTACACGCCCTCGCGTCGCCGACGATGTACAAGCTCATCCGCCGCATCTCCAGCTCCTTTTTCCCTCGCCCCGATCGGCCATGGAGCGAAGACGGTGAGGAGCCCCTTCTGCGCGTCGAACGCGCGTCTGATGCGTGTCTTGAAACCCAGCGACGTCCTCTGCACCGCAGATCGGCCGTAAACGGCGGCTAAGCTCGACGGAGCCCGACCTCGAGCCGTCTGCGAAGAAACAGCGCTCAGAGTCCGCGGATGTCTCCGACAGTGCGCAGACGACGAGGGAGGATACCCCCGTGCGCACAGGGAAGGAGACGGAGGAGCCCGAGGTGAAGGCGGTCACCAAGGGTGTGAAGGAGGTCGAGCTGGAGGACAAACCCGCGGCTTCGGCCAAAACTGCAGCAGCAGTCCCCCTTCCCGACTCGCCGATTCTGCAGCCGACTCAGGAGGCGGATGAAGTAAAGCCGGAGTCGGCAGAGGAAAAGGCAGAGGAGCCCGTCGCGGAAGCGACTACGACGGAACAGTCGCCGAGCGCACCAGAGGACGCTCCCGCAGTCACGCCTGAGCTTGTCGCCCACCACGAGAAAACGAGCGACACAAATGCTAAGGGCGAGGATATTCCTGGCTTGAGCGCTGTCGGGGAGAAGGGCGCGGGGAGCAAGGAGGCGGAGGCGGATGGTGCAGAGAAGAAGATCGACACGACCGAGGCTCAACCCGAGGCGGACAAATCTACGAACGACCAGTCTTGACTGGGACACTTCCTCTCATTCATATCGCGGCTCACGGCTGGATCTCAACTCTTCATCTACTGGCATTAATCTATACGTTGCTTACTTGTTGTACCCCTCCTCGCGGCGATATCCACCATCCCTCTTGCTGTTATACCACTGTCTTGAACTATCCGTCCTCTCATACTTATCGTCATCGCCATCTCTGTTCTGTAAACCATTGTTCGCATGTCAAAGCCCATATACTCATGCTTCTTGAGCATACAAGTGTTCATTTCATTCTACACTCTCGCATTTGACATCCTCGTCTTCTCCAAGTTTTCCCTATGCTGTTGTTCAGCTGATCTTGCCATCCGAGCGCGATTGAGTAGAAACTTCGGTGCGTGCTCTTTAGTTTGACCCATGTTTCGTCATCCCAGTACTAACCGAGCTGTAGTGAACGTGCATATCCGCACACTGCACTGCGTTTGTCCTAGCTGGCCAAGTGTGCGTACGTCGATTCTCGTCGAACCCCTGTCTGAGCCATTCGTTAGACTCGCTGTCGGAATACTGCAAGTAAACGCACCGATCGAGTTCGCGACGAAAGGACTAAACATTGCGCATCGCAGCGAGTTCCTGATCCATGCTGTCGAGGGTCTGTGTCAGGGGATCGACGAAGAGCTCGGCGCTAGTATGTCCTGGCCCTGGCGTGCACGAAGTTCGGTACTGACTATCCGCAGGGCTAGGTACTCGGGTGACTTACCGAGTACGTATGCGAGAGGAGCGAAGAGTAGGTCTATCTCATCCTGTACGCTATTGATGCCTCGACTGTCCTCTACAGGCATTGATGACCTGCGTGCAGTCGAAAGGCTCCCCGAGGGGCGAGTGAACCTTACATGTGGTCCACGGAGGTGAGCAGGCCAATCTTCGTCATGCTGTCGCCGTTTAAGTGGTACCTTCTCAGCTCGCTGGACGTTTCCGGAGGCACGCTAGTAAGCTTTGACGAGCTTGTACAGCGCAACGATGCTGTTATGCGAAAGACGTAGGTCTAGGCATAACGACGTTCGCGTGGCGTTGACCTTCCTTGGGGAAGTATTTCGAGGTTCTTCGTTTGACTACCGCACCTGCTTGCAATAAGTACGAACTGTGTGCGGAGACTACAATTCGCTCAGGCTGCACAGACTGCTGTCCCGCACATCCAAGTCTGCTCTGCTGATTTCGAAAGAAGCACCATAATTCGTGTAATACAGAACTGCCCCTGGATGTGCCCTCTTTTGTAGCCCCGCGTGCGATGTTTCATGTTTTACACAGTTCTGCTGGTCAGGTCACGTGTTTTGAAAATAGATGCAAACAATGCGCTCCGCGTCGCGTCTGGTTTTTCAACCACGCCACCTTCCTCCCAGCCAAAGGCTCAGTCTGGTACACCCATCCGCTCTGCATCATTGCTGTTAACATGGCTTCACGCTCTCGCTCAGCCACTCGCCAGGAGGTCCCTGGCACCAGGAACAGCACTCGCGCGAACTCAGGTGCCAGGCAGACGAGCCGTGCGACTCGGAGCACTGCGGAGGACATTGAAGAACAGGATAGTGGAGCTGCCTCCGACAGTGATGTTTCTGATGTCGACATCTCTGCCATACACAAGAAAATTGCAGAACTGACCAGGATGGCTGAGAACTTGAAGAGCAAGAAGAAGGTGGCAAAAGCCTCGCTGGCCAGTGAATCACATGTGAAAAGTAAGTCACGCGTATTTGCTGCAATTGAGGACTCTGATAGTGTTGTGTGATAGAGATCCATAAGAGGAAACTAGAGGCCATGGAGGCTGAGCAGAGATCCACCAGCGAAGAGGCCCCCAAGCGCAACAAGAAGAAGAAGTTGGCTGTAGAGCAGCCCCAGCACAGTGCGTGCTACATGTGGTCAGGAACTGACACTGAGTGCCTTCTGCAGCCCAAACCAAGCCCAAGCCCAAGCCCAAGCCTGCCTTCAAGGGGCAAAAGCGGAACAAAGATATCAATAGTACAGAAAGTGATGAAGACGGCAATAGTACAGAAAGTGATGAAGATGAAGAAGACAAGGGAAGTGACAGTGACAGTGATGATGAGGACAAGGACAAGGAAGAGGACAATGATGAGGATGGGGACAGGGAAGGGTATGAGGATGAGAACAAGGACAGGGACAAGGACAAGGATGGTGACGAGTCTGTTGATGATGGAGTAGAGGTATGTGGTTTATCCTTTGGAAGACTGTCCCCACTGACTGTGTAGACCATGGCGGAGTCGAAGAGCACTGGGAAGACACAGGTGAAGAGGTGTGGGCGCCAGACACGCACCAAGGTGACACAGCTCCCCAGGGACATCAAGGCCCTCGTCTCTGCGGCGCAGAACTGCCTCCGTCTGCGCATTGCTCTCAAGAACGCTTGGACGTCTGAGCCATCAGTCAGCAGCGGCCGTCTTCCTGAGAGGGACGACCTCATCAAGAGTAGTCTGCAGGATGCCTATGAACTGGGCAGGGCAGGGGGGCGTGACAAGTCCATAAGGACCGCCTTCCAAGTGCTGAAGGGGAACAAGGGGAACAAGGACACTAAGGAGACTGACAAGCTGCGCAAGAATGTCTACACAGTGGTGAGCGTTTGTTTCTGTCTGTCATGATGAGTCGCAAGTGCCTGACTTCCATTAGGTCTGGGCGGCCGCAGCGCAGTTCCGAAACGAGCTGAAGAGGAAGGCCAAAACTGTTACCTCTCAGATGTACAAGCTCGACAGCCTGTCTTCTCAGCAGAAGAAGAACCTGGCCACATGGTTGATCACCACTCACCCGACGACCGTCGTTGGTGGCTTGCGTAACATCCCTAACTTTGTCTTCGGTGGCATGATGATTGCCTTAGATGCGCGCAAGCATTTTGATGCCGAGGTGAGAGTGCAAGTTCATTGCGGAGTACACCTTAATGATCTGGGTGACAGAAGAGCGACTTTAAGCGCGGGGAGGTGTTCCTCCACCCGGCTATTTCAGAGCTGATTTACCAGCACTGGGGCCTTGGAGCTCGAGCGGACGCGAACCTGCATGCGGCCACGGAAGAGTTCAGCGAGGTGCCGAACAACCTGATCGCTGTGGTGTGCAACGCTGTGAGTCCAGACCGTCATTCGCATGGCTATCAGAGCTCAATCCACAATGGGGTCTCACGGATTTGTGACGCACAGATCGAGTCCGCCCTCATGGAGTTTGCCAAGCCAGGTGCAAAGAACTTCTTCACGAACAAGCAGTATGCTGCCAAGTACGTTCATCACATATGTCAGAACATCAAGGCTTATCTTTCTTCTTACAGATGGGACGGCACCATGGCAATCTTGGAGTACATGGAGGCTCAGCACAATCCGTCCTACGTGAATATGAAGCGTATTGTGTGGAAGTCCATCATGTAAGCTGTGTGCAGTTGCTTTGCAATCAATCCCTCAATGCACTGACTATCTCAGATCGCGGCTCGAAGACACGGACGATGTGGGCGAGGTGGGCGTGGATACTATCGGTTTCCTCGACGCGGCCCTTGAGGAACAGGAGAAGGCTATGGTCTCAGGAGGGACTCGGAGGAACACGACATTGCGTGGTTCAGTGCACAGCAACAACAATGCCCAGGCAGATGCTGCAGATCCAGCTGAGGACACCGATGCGAATGAGAACATCAGCGAGAAGGATGTAAGTGGGGAAGACGAGATCAACAAGGACGAGATAGACGAGACAGAGGACAGAGCAGGGGCTGCTTAGTGCGGGCATTGAGCAGGACGGAATACTATGCAACTCTTCAACCAGTGACGGTGATCTTGGATATCATCGCGGTGCGCATAAGCCGTGGAATACAAGGGCTCCTGCCTGTCGATGAAGCAATGCGCGCGGCTAGGGAAACACCAGAGCGGGATTGCATTCGGCGCCAGTTGCGCCGCAAGGGCGTGCGAGTGAGAGCTTGAAGTGAGAGTGCGAAGAGCGCGAGGGCGAGAACCACTGGCAGAGCGAGAGCGCGGCCGCAAGAGCGAGAGCGCAGCCGCAAGAACGAGAGCACAACAGCGGGGGCGGGAGCTCAGGGGCAAGGGTGGGGGGGAGGGATGGCGAGGGAGTGGGTGATGGCTTCGCCATTGCAAGACAATCGGGAGGGTATCTTCACCATTCAGAGCAGGGGTCAGCGCAGACCCGCGAGAGGCTTTGAGCCCAGTGTACCCCTCCCATCGGGTGGCGGAGGCCGACGCGAGAGCTGACAGCGGGATCACTGACCGGCTGGGCCAGGCGAGTGTCCTCAGCTGCACTTCTGCGCGGCGACGCATCCAGGGAGTGGGAGAACTGGGCGCCTCCGTCCGCGATGGGCGCGGAGGCGCTGAGCAGCGGGCACCGCAGCCAAGCAGTACACTGCGAGATCCGAGCGCGGAGCGGGACGATGCGGTGCCCGCCGACTCATTGTGCCAAAGTCAATACGCGGGATGCCTGTGCGGGACACGCAGGGCGGCTCGTAGCAAGGGGTGCCCTGGGGCGCGGCCTCCTGGGGCGATGAGGGAGCTGCATGATGAACCGCGTTTGCGCAGAGGGATGCCGAGCGATGGGTAACGGAACCGTTTGTGGGCGATGCGATAAAGGTCGTGGGAGTGAGTCAAGATGCGAGCTTTCGGGCTGACACTATTAGCTTTCACAGCTGCTACATTTGGGATGGCGAGAACTTACAAAAGAGATCGTGGGTGAGCTTGTTCTGTTCCGGGGAGGATCGCGAGGAGCAGTGGCCAACCCTTAGCACACCGCACACCAACGTTAGTGTGCTGAAGGGGAACAAGCAAGCTGCGAGGCAGCCACTGACCCCGCGAGACTTCATGTATCGTGCATTGCAATGCTCTTGGACGCTAGTGACACTGCGCGATGACAAGGCCTGTCTGTCAGTACAGGCCTATTTTACGCAGTGCCGCCCTCTCTCTAAAATCCGGTTGCGCGGCCTGCCTCCCTTGCCACCGTTGAACTGGTCGTAGATGCTCAAAACACTGACCGGTTCAAGGTATACCATGCTAGCATTCGTTAGTGGCTGCAACACTGGTATGAAAAAAGTCCTACGGAATCACTCACTAACAGCTCGTTGGTCGCCCTCTCCTCGCCATTCTTCTCCACGCGGAAGCGTCACGGTTAATTGAACGTTTCCGAAGAGTTCAAAAGGGTATGATGAACTGAGTACGTTGTAGTAGGGAGCGGTGAACCGCCTTGAGTCGATGGAGTCGTCCAGTCGGCTTGGAGGGTCTGCGGTAACGACCTACTTGACGCACCGCGCGGTCAACGTTTACGCACTGTTGCGGAACAAGCACGTCAAGCACTGGCAGTGTCCCGCAGACCCAGTTTAGAACAAAGCAGTCAGGCGAGGGTCATGGATGTCGATGAGCAAAGATGGCGTTGGTCGCCGCACTGGACGATCGGACCGCCGTGCGGCCCGCCGGGTGGGTGTCGGCGCCGCGTATCGGGGAGGGGAAAAACCACACCACCTTCACCCGGCGGGCCGTTGCTCGGGCCTGCATCCAGGCGTTGACCCAGTGCACTAGAACTGGTGGCCGTTGTCGTGGACCTGGTACGCGCGGTTGTTGGCCTGGCCATAGAGGATGTAAACTGGCTCGATGAGGCACTACAAAGGTAGTTCAAGTTGTCAATGTCTGTTACTAAATTTGTTGCGAGGGCAAAGTACATACCCGGCGACCGAACTCATTGATCTCGCTGGACCATCGCGGGACTCGCGGAGGCCCTCATCTTTGCGCGAGTCTTCGTACAACGCGCGCACTGTGGCGTTGGTGATGATGTCGAGGCTCGCGCCATTGGCAAAGCGCTCCAAGAGTGTGCGTAGCTCATACCACGCCTGGCGGTTGTCGTCGGATGTAACCTGCCGCTGTGAGTTCTTGCCATGGTCAGCGACGACGCGGCCGGGGCCGACGTACTCCGCGCGCCGGTGTTGAGCAGCCAGCACATCGCCTCCTGATAATCCTTGTGGTTCTGGCACTCTATCACAACCTGGGCGGGAAGTCCTTGTACTCGTTCGTCTTGTCCTTGTGCTCCTGAGGAACACGGCCGAGGACGTTATCCTGCAAACGTGCGTGTGACAAGGCGCGCTGTGTTGTAGGCAAGCAGGACACTTACCTTCACGGCCGACAGAACGACTCTTCTTGACATCAGGGTGAACATCGTCGACATTCTGCTGAATCTGCTCACATCGAGCCTGGGCTTCGGAAAGGGCGCGCTCCTTGGCCGCGTTCGCCCTCTGAGTGGCGATGTCGGCGGCTTCGTCACCGCGGTATTGCTCGCCGCTCTCGGTCTGGATGGTGGTACCTTGACTGACTTCATTGCGAGGGTCCTCCACGACGCGGCCAGTGCCTGTTACAGTATCTTGCACCTCAGGCACCTGGATGAATATTGAGATCTTCGAATGCCGCCGACACTGCTGAACTTGTAGCTAGTAACTGAGTATGACTTAAGGAGTCAAATGATCAGGCCTTCAGAAGTAGGAGGTATGTAGCCACCGGCCGCTGCAGTCGCACGCGCGATCATGGGCGGCGGCGTCTAGACGGTGACAGCGTTGCCTCTTTTGGATACAATGTACTCGAGCGTCTAACCAGTAATCGTTCGGAATTAGTGTGACAATCAGCGACTTCGTGCGATATCCTGCTCGTAGGGATTATGACATCCTGCTCGTAGGGATTATGACCTTCTTATGTTTCGACTCACGGTTCTTGAATGGCAGTTATGCACTAGGCTGTTTGAGCACCACACGTGCTTGGCCAGGCCCGGGGTGTGCATGAAATGTGCGTGTTGTTCTGCTTCAAGTTCACTGCCTCGACCACTATCCTTCACCTCCGTCACTATCTGCTCATACATGTGCTCTTATGCAGGTCCTTCGACCGTTATGTGGCCTGGCATTGCCTCCTCATCCAGGGAATCCAGCATGGCGATTGCTGTGTCATTCAGGATATGACCGATTTCAAGGCTGACCGTCTCGTTGGACTGCGGCGCACGTCTTCGTGCCAGCATCGTAATTGAGCATGGCGTCACGCTAGCCAGATACACGAGTTCAGCTTGCCTCAACCTCCCTTTTCCGCCGAGCATCGTGGCGCGGCTCGGTACTTAAGCCTCCTCCCGAGCCCTGGCAAGGTTCGAGGCATCTGGAACTCTCTTCCTTGAAACTCTCTTCTCTTTGCTATCTCAGGGCGCCCGCAGGACGGCTCTCGACGTCGAGCGAGATGCTCAGCGCGCTTTACCGCATGCTGCAGGCCAGCCCTGCTCCCGATCCCGGACAAGACCGCTCGTCGGCAGACAGTGCCAGGGAAGACACGAATGGCGAGGCGCGTGCGGCGACCAGTGCAGATGATTCTGGTCTCGGGCTGGAGACGATGCGTCTAGAGCGAAGACCGTCCGTCGATGCTAGCGCAGTGATGGACGCTAGGCGACGCGCCCCTTCCCATGTTTCGTGGAAGACACCCAACGTGAATCCGAGTCCCAGTCCCATCTCTGATTCCGTATGGAGTTCGCAGTATGAAAGTCATTCTGCGTCGGCACCATCATTACTGCTGCTGAATCCCGGGTCAGCGACAAAGGCAGCGTCGATTCATCGACACAGTTCGCAGTCCTTGCGCACCCCGTCCATCACAGCCTCAGAAGACTTGTCGAGGCGGAACAGCCCGGAAAAGAGGGAGAACGTCGAACTCTATCCTCCGAGGCATCTCCCAGTGATTGATCCACGTGTGCGGTTCCCCAGCGGAAGGAGGCCGTCGACGGACTCAGTGCCCCCTACGCCGGAATCCACCAGGGTGCATGACGGACGTGAGTCGATAGGACACCCCTTCCACACATCTATCGTTGACGATGCGCTACAGACCTCGCTGCATATCCAGGAGCGTTCATCAATCGGCCCCTCAATCGTACTACCAGCCAAACGTCGACAAGCACGACCGCCTCTGTGCCCGCTATCCCGCCTCTGGACCTCCGGCCCGACTTCCAAAAGACTATCGGTCCGCCCATTCGCAAGTCGCGTCTCCCGCCGCCGACGCTGCCCACCGTCGTAGGCAGTCCTCATCCGGGAAAGTACTCCGTCATATACGAGGACGGCTCTTCTGCGCGAACCTCGCGAAGCTTCGTCACCGCACCCTCCGTGCATTCTGTTCGCGACGTGTCCACGCCCGAGCCTGGTGGCGACGCACAGCATGCAGAGGAACGCCCAGTGCACGCACGGGATTATGCTGTTTCCACCACGTCGAGCGTCGACGTCACGCCTGCAGTGCGGACGAGCGGCCTCCCAGAGGGGCTGTACGACATTGACCTGGGCGAGCCCTCGCACGCCGGAACCAGTACACACGCCGGGAGCACCAGCACGAGTCCGCGGCTCACACAGCCTCTCCTGCCCGCACCTCCCAGCGCCATCCCGCGCCGCCCGCGCTCCATCTCCTCGGGTGGCTCTCGCTCTGAGAGCTACATCTACAACCGCTGGCTCAGGGGCGTCTCCTTCGGGAGTGGCAACTACGAGTTCCACACCCCCCGTGCGTTCTCGCGCAGCCAGAGCCGATCGTACCTCGCAGGGCGGGCGGGGATGACGAGCGCAAGCATCCTTTTCTGGCTGGGCTTCATCGGACCGTGGTGTTGGCTCATCGGCGGGTGGATGCTCACCACGGAAGGCGAACTCGAGCCCGAGTTCAAGCGTGAGATGGACATCAAGCACGGTGCAGACGCGATCCTACCCCAGTGGTTCAGGCATGGCAAGAAGCGTGCGAGGGTGGAGACTTCCTCGTGGCGATTGACTGGCTCGCGGGCGTCGAGTTTGCGGAGGCGATACCCGAGCGGGAGGCTGCTGAGGTGGGATCGGGCGCGGCGACAACAGGCGCTGGAAGGGTACGACGACCGAGGAAAAACTGTGAGTAAGGCCTCTCTCTAGGTTTATAAAGCGCTGGCAGGCCTCTCTCTAGGTGTAGAACGCGCTGGCAGGCCTCTTTCTAGGTGTACAAAGCGCTGGCGGGCCTCTTTCTATGTATACAGGGTACTCGCAGCGCTCTGCCTATAGGAGAAGGCTCGGCATCCGTTCGAACTCGAGGCGCGGGGATCCGTTCAAGCTCAAGGTGCGTCGTTACTCGTATATAGCCTCTCTATGTACAGTACTTCTATTAGCACAGTCCGTCTGCGAGTGCAAACAAGAGGTACATTAAAGCACGCAGCGACGAGCGTTCGAGATCATCTCACGCTAGTCCAGTCATTCCCGCTGTCCTATGCGTCTCGCCGTCTGGTCCACTCACGGAATGGGCTACGTGCCCGAGAAGATCACCCCCGAATGTGCAACATCGAGCTTTCGAGTCCACGGTCCCGTCAGCAAGCATCGCACGAGGCAGACGCAAAACCCACCTACAGCCCATGCGTTCGCTCTCGTTTCTCCTGTACTCATCACTCCAAGTCCACTTCCCCCGTAGATATCCCTATGTGTCGCGATCATCTCCGCCTAGCGTGCCGCTTGATGGGAGATACTGCGCTTCTCCTTGCAGCCTACGTTTCCGTCCGCTATTCATACGCGCAACTTCTTGAGTGCGATGGAACCGCACGATCATGATGTCGTGCACCTGCATGATCGCTCTCGTCAGCAGCCGGTTCGAGAGGATAAACTCAAGACTTACCTGTCGAGGAGAGAGCACCGCAGTCGACGCAACCGCTCGACTGTCAACCGAGCTGTTGCGCTCATCACCATGTCCCCGTCTCGCCCCGGGCCGCACGTACCCATCTTGAGCTTCGCTGGGCCACTCGTCACACCCCCGCTCTAGCCACACCTCCCGCCCGCATGCCCCGCAAGCCGGCGAAGCATATACGTGACCTTTTCAAGTCGTTCATTTGAGGGAGCGGGCTCCCGCTCGTAATTAAGCCGCGTCTGTAGCTTGGTAAGCAATCAACGTCCTAGAACTGAATAATCGCAGACTTACCAAACAATGTCGGCGCTTCACTCTTCCGCCGCGAGTCTCTGTAGATGGGCCGATCGACTCGTTTCCTCCTCGCTGGCCGCCACTGTCGTGCGTCCAATCTGTGCTTGCTGTCTGGATTGTGTCTCGGGCGGCACCGGTCACGACCATCGCCATCCGAATGCTGTCAATGATACATGTCGTCGCTGCGTTCTCGATGGGCACCACCACCTGTTCACGCGTCAAGTCAGTAACTGAGCTACCAAATAGAGACAAGGGCCGACCTCCGGACTCGGAGCGGCTATTGCAGCAACGCATTACGCGTGTCCCGCCGTCAAATAGTGACAAGCGGTCAGCTGTCACAGTCTACAAGTTGCTGAGACCGGCCTCGACCAACACGAGACTTCGGATGGCCGATGGTCAGTCCACCGACCGAATACTGCACACAACCACATAAGCTATACATCCTTTTTCATACGCATGCAGTGCTTACCGATCCGCGCGTCGGCAGTGATTTTCCGTGAAGACGAGCGGTCCTGTAATGTGGTTGCAAACCCGGTCTAAGCTCTTGACAGGCAATCTGTGACTTGAGCGCGTGTTCGAGCGTGACTCCCTCTCGATCCAGTTTGTGTGCGTTGAAGAATCGGACATCCGGTTGGGAGCGCGCTCCGCGTCTTACAGTACGTTCTCTGCTTGTCTGCGCAATGAATACTTGCGAAGGTTGAGAGATGCTCGCTATAAGGTACTCGCTGCACTACTCGAGTACGTACCTCGCTGTCACAGCTCTGCTGACACGAGCCCTCTCAGGTTCGATGTCCGACGCGCTGGCACCATCAAGCTCTCCCTTGGACCAAGCTTTCCGTCGCTGTCTTCTACCAGACAACGGCTGGATACCGCGCGGCACAGACCGCCTTCGGTTCCGGTCGTGATTGAACGTATCGCGGTGGCTTGAACCAAGCTTTTTGAAATCAATTCAACGGAAATGCTAGAGTTAATGGGGACAGAAACGGTTGGGAACCACAACAAAAAGGACACACCAATGTCTTGAATATGAACGAGCTCTTCGTTCCAGTTGGATCTACCAGATTTAGATAGTTTCTCTTCAAGGCTCGGACTTCATGCGTGAGCACTGTTCTCACACCTCACGCCCTTAAACCTCGTGATGTCTCTCCGATGCATGCCAGTACTGACTGTCTGCGTGCACTGACGCGCCAGCAGATAAGTGTTCTACAACCTCAGTAAGATATACTAGTACTCACTGTGTATGAACAGTTGCATCGACGAGGAGGTTGAACAAATGGGTCGTGGCGTAGGTCAGTAGGGTGAGTGTCAAGACTTAGAGGCTGTACACCGGCAATCACAGAATACACAGATTCAGGACTTACCTAATGACCATGCAGTGTACGTTGCTGCTCAATCACAACTGATCAGTTGTCTTCGGTGAATTAGCAATACGTTCAGAACTCCGACCCTGGACGGGTCCATGATCACACTGACTCAGAGAATCTGATCTAAACGAGTAGCCGAGGCTTTGAATTGTATCCAACAAGACCGGCTTGTTGATGCGCGCACTGTCATCTCATTCCAAATCTGGCAGTTCCTCATGTGTCAGCTTCGCTTTCAACTGTGGTCCGGGAGCCACGTCCCAGACTGTAGTGCTCATGGTTCTTGACACAGCCCCTCCAGATTGTCCTATGGACAGCAGACTGTACAGTATTGGGGACATCCTCAATACTATGCAATCTCCTGTTCACAAGCCAAGCCGCCAGGACAACTGATTTCGTAAAGACAGAACCAGTACAATCTCAGATCACACTAGAACAAGTCAACAGAATACATCGGGGACATTGCTACGTACAACTACCACGGTGTACCCTCACCGCAATGGTCCGCGCCTCGGCTTTCCTATTTGCCGATGAGTCGTCGCTCAAGTTCACTATGATACATATTCGCTAGGATACATACTCCGAGGATCTCCGCAAGGAACAGATCCTGCTGCTCAAACACGTCAGTGCATGCCGCCGGGGGACAGCGAATTCGGATAGGTTTCCGAGGGAACCTACTAGGTTAGGTCAGCGCGCGAGGCCCCAGTGCTGT